GCAAGGGCTTCAGAGAATAGCGGTAGGAACTCGTGGTATTCGTGAGGGATATGTGCCGTGGGGTCCTTGTTTCCTTCCAGTGCGCCGTTGACCTCGGCAAGCGTGGTGTTGAAAATCGTGAGGCTTTCCTTGTTGACCAGTTCTTGGAATGACTCCATCTGTAAGGCTGAGATTCTGACTGTGCTTTCCCTTGAAAGGTTAGTGCATTCTTGGTGATTCTTCCTTGGGGGAGACGTAATGTAGCGGGCCACGATGTCGCCGGCCCCCGCGCTTACCGCTGGCTCTTGCTGAGCTGCTTTTGACGCGAGAGCATAGGTGGATACGTCAGGTGGGTCGGTGGTGATTCCATGTGCAACTGTGGGCACCGCATTGCAGTTGGCTGTGCAGTATTGGGAGCCGAAGGTGAGGGTTCGGGAGCTGAACCGGATGGCCACATCGTGGAGGTCCATCCAGGGGATTCCGAGTACAACGGGGTAGTGGCCTAGTTTGGTGACAAACATAGGGATTTCCTCGTGGTGTTCCTGTATGGACAGGGTGGTGGTGGCAACATGTGTGATGTCGCCTGACTCGATGGGACGGCCATCGATGACTTCGAGACTTCGCGGGGATTTCAGGGGTACGAGGGGTAGGTGGTGATGGCGGGCGAAGTCTTTGTCTACAAATGCAATTCCGGTTGCCCCACAGTCGATCAGCGCATGCGTGGCAATAGTTTTGTCACCAAACGAAAGGTTACACAATACAACAAGATGTTTTCCTTCCATTGATGATTCTTCCACAACCATTCCTGACACTGAAAGACTAGACAAACGAAAAATAGGGGACATAGGAGACAAAGACTTATCCTGGGTACGACCAACAACAGTGCCATCAAGCGGTTGTTGGTCTAGGCTTTTCCCGACTGCTGGGAGGTCTCGCCGCAATCCTGGTTGCAGTTGTGATAGGTGTGAGTCGGGGTGGTGTTGGTGGGCTGGGCTGACTCCAGCCGGGCAACGGCTGCTCGGAACGGATTTCGGTTCTTGTTGGGGCAGTGCCTGGCCATGTGGCCACTTCCCCCACAGTACAGGCAGCGGCCTTCGCGGAGCCGGGCAGCACGCTCTTGGTCTGGGATCCTGCGGCTGTTGGCACTCAAGTCCATGGCTCCGGGGGCCGTTCCTGTGGCAGTGGTCGTCGCGGGCATGGTGTTGTGGGTGGTGTGCCTGAGCGGCGCCGTTGGGTGTGGGGCGCTACTCTGCCGAGGGGGGTTGGTGGTGCGACGTCCCTCACGAAGTTGGAGGGCACGCAGCTCGGAGTCAAGGCGTTGACAGAGGGCCACAAACTCATCGTAGTTGAGGCCCTGAGTACGGCCCACAAGTTGCCGGTGGAGTTCGATGGATACTCCCTCTCGCAGCGCGTCAAGTTTCGCATGCTCGTCCCAATTGAGCTTGGAGACAAGCATCTGGAATTCCGCAAAGTAGGAGGTGAACTCCTTATTGCCTTGTTTCAGGTGGTGTAGCTTGGCTCGAGCGGTGGCCGCTGGGTCAGGGTCACCAAATGCGTTGTTCAGGAGTGTGATGATCGCATCAGCGTCGGTGAGGGTGATGTTGTGATTCTCGATGTACGGCAGGATCTGGGCTTGGGCGCGGCCTTCCAAGCGGTTGAAGGCATAGGCCATTCGGAGTGCTGGAGTTGGGAAACGGGCTGGGTCGCTGTACAGCTTGAGTCGAAGTTGCGCAACGAACCCTTCCAGTTTCTCGCGTGTTCCGTCGAACATGGCTGGCTCTGGGACACGCTCAGCGCGGCTTTGAGGTTGGGTTTCGACGGTTGCGAGGCGGTTGGCGATGCGGCGGGCGTCGGCAAGTTGTTCTTCGAGGTCGTCGAATCGCCAGGTCGGTACGGCTATTGGGGACTGGGTGATTGCGCGGGCGAGGATTCTGAATTCATTGTACAACCCCATCAGGGTTGCATCATCGGCGGGTACATCATGATTGACGATGATTTCGAGTTGTTCGTAGATGGCGGCGGGAATTTCTCGGTAGAAGGGGGGTGCCACTGGTACTTCGTCCTGCTGGGGGACGTCGGGTACCTGAGTGTTGGTGGCCATGGTAGTTCGCTAGGTGGAGAGATAGGGGACGCAACAAAGTGTAACGGCACGGTCGGGCAAGGCTCCAGGTAGCGAAGTCGGGCTGGGGAACGGGTTCTGGGTTCGGTAGAGGCGAGACGGGTTCGGGGAACAAGGTGAGGCAGGGCTCAGTGCAGACGGCAACTGAGAACAGAGGCAGGGACAAGGACTACGGCGCAGACGGCAGCCGAGGCAAGGACAGAGGTAACAGTGGTTGAATTAACAAGTTGTTGCGTGAAGAACTAAATACAGAGGGGCAACGGCCCGTTTATATAGAAAATCCTCCACTTCTTCCCGCAACCTGACAATGACCGTGGGCGTGTGCCAGACCCTGAGAAATCCACCTTGCCAGTACCCCACTTCCGTGACTCATACCCTGCGCAGCCGCACTACCCCTGTTTCCTGCACACAGCCCCAATCTCCTGCGACTCATTGCTGCGCTATCCCTGCTCCCTGCACACAGCCCGAAATCCTCTGCGACTCATCCTTGCACTGCCGGTGCACTGCCTCTGCACTGCCCCCCAACTCTCCCGATCCTTGTGCCGACCCTCCCTTCGTCATTCCATCGCGAGCCGTGACAAAAAGTCAGGGATTTCGACAATTCACAACGGAATAATCTTAAGGGTGTTTGTTCGATGGTTTGTTCGGTGCGATGATTGTAGTTTGTTCGGTTGCCCGCTCGGTTCGACTTATAGTCGTCCCGATCCTCAGCACGTGATTCCTCTAGAGTGCGGCCTAACGTAGCTCCGTTGCTTCCTTTGCATCGGAGTTCCGCGGCCTAGCCTTGAGTCGTCGTCAGCTCTCTTCGGATAGTCTTCTCGACTAGGCAGGTGGTAAACACCACGCGCCCAAGATAGATCGGAGTTTCCGAGCAATTATCTCCCTCATGCGCCGGCAGAGTTCTTCGCTCGAAGTTGTCTGCCCCCATCGGTCGATGTTCGATTCTCTCGTCATAACAGTTTTTTCCTGGATCGGAGTTCCTACTGCGGGGCCCTATGATCGGAGATCTCAAAGTCCTCTGGACTGTTATCCCGATCTCCCGCATCTCCGATCACTGTCTAGACTCTGGAATCCGTTTGCTCCCTCCTTCCTATCTTGTCCTTGATCGCTTCTAACTATCCTTTCGGCTCGCAACTCTATTCTAATCACCCGAACTATCTAATCACATCTCTTGCGACCGTCGTGACCTCCGATACCTATCGGGGTGTCACAGACGATCTAATCCTGTGTTCCGATCATGTAACGGCACGGTCGGGCAAGGCTCCAGATAGCGAAGCCGGGCGGGTGATCGGGGACTAGGCGGGGCTGAGACGAGGCTGGCTCAGAGGACGAGGCAGGGCAGGGCTCAGTGCAGACGGCAACTGAGAAACAAGGACAGAGACAAGGACTACGGCGCAGACGGCAGCCGAGGCAAGGACAGAGGTAACAGTTGTTGTATTAACAAGTTGTTGCGTGAAGAACTAATTACAGAGGGGCGCCGGCCCGTTTATATAGGAAATCCTCCACTTCTTCCCGCAACCTGACAATGACCGTGGGCGTGTGCCAGACCCTGCGAAATCCTCCTCGCCTCTACCCCGCTCCAGTGACTCACAGCCTGCGCTGCCGCGCTACCCCTGTCTCCAACACACAGCCCCAATTCCTCCGACTCATTCCTGCATTGCCGCCTGCGCAGCCCCCTGCGCAGCCCCTGCGCTGCCTTCCAGCCCCTGTTCCGACTCTTCCTCGAACGTTCCGTTGTGAGCCGTGACAGATCACTACCCAAGGTACCACTCATGCTGTGACTTTTCCGAGAGTCTATTAGGTTGTCACATCCGATCACTTCCGAACGGACCGCTCGTGCTGTGACTACTGCAAAGTCTATTGCTGTGTCACACTACCAGAGAGTCCATTGGGGTGTCACAGGTATGGAGGAAAACCTTTGACAACCTGCATGTATTTGTGATGTTTTCAACAGGTTTTCCTAGGTGATTGAGCGCACTCCAAACTCAGTAATGAGTCGATAGCCCCCCTCCACGAGTTTTGGCGGCTATCTCTGTGAGGTTCGAATTGCGATCACGAGATATCATTAGCCTCAAATCCTCGGATTGTGGCCTAGTTCTTTCAATGACTACCCATAGTAATGATTGAGGATAACCAACAGCGATACTAATGTATTCGCATGCCTGAGGTATGTTGCCAGCTCGAGGGGTGTAGCAGTGATCGACTGAGAGGCCGGTGCCAATGCAGGTGCCAGTATTGGTCATATCGAAATGAAGATGATGGCTGGAGTTGGAGTGATTTTCGTAGGTAGCCGGCATCGCTGAGCCGGGCTGATAGCCTGTTAAGAAAATATGAGCGCCATGTTTCAATTTCTTGACTAATTCGCAAAAACACAGTGGACGGCCAGCTAGACATACCAGACAGAAGCAGAAGAAGATGAAGTAAGCATGAGAATAAACATGATTCCCGAGACGCACGGTGTGTATTACGAATATGACAAATCTGCACGCATATTTTGCACGAGTGACAAGCACTGGATTTCCGTCGAGAACCCTAACAATGGTCACTCGTGCTCCCATCCTCCCTGGGTGTGGTTTATGAGGCAGGCCATCGGGTCCATTATGCTGCGACGGACTTTGCACCCGTATTGTCCGTCGTGTAGGCTACGTATTCTCTCTAGCTTGGTAGATATCAGATAGATGCCCGTCCTCTATTGCAACAAGGTGTTTTCAACATGTTTCGCTATTTGTCCACATTAAACCGCCGTAGTACAGTAGCGCGCTCCGAAGCAGTGAGCAAGTCATTACAAAATATGAATTCAATGTAACTCGAAAATATGCAAAACAATTTCAAACCTTCTAACTCAATATGCTAAAGGTATGATCCGGAACGCCCAAATCCTCCGCATCAGGTATGCATGTACTCATACATCACGACTGCTACTTCCTTGCGCCTTTTGCCTCCTTCGCCGTAGCTCCTCCTCCTCCCGGCTAGCCCGCGCCACATACTCCATCACGATCCTCTCCTCCTCTTCGTTCTTCCGCTTCCGTTCCTCCTCAAGCCGCAGACTGTCTTGTACCGCGCGCGCCAGCTCATCGTCATCATCCTCCACGGCCTCAATGACCCCATGCTCGACAGCAAGTGGCGCTGGCGGAGTATAGGGGGTTTTTGAAAAATGTGCGCTCGCGCTCCTGCTATTCCTCTCGCTCTCGGCAAGACTCATCCGCAGCGCCTCCTGGAACTCTTGGGCCTCGCGACTAAGTTCTGGATTGTGGGCCGACGCGGAGCTGGCGCCAACGTGAGCACCCGGCGCGTCGCTGAGAGATGCTTGGACTGCACGTCGCAGTTCTTCGTCCTCGTCGTCGTGGTCGTTGGAGTTGTCGAACATGGCGATGGGTTGGCGCTTCTCGTCCGCACTTGTTGACCAGGTGTGTGAGTGTGGGATCGCTTGTGATGAGGAGGCAGCAGACGTCCACATTGCGCGCTGAAGCTCATCTTGGTCGTCACTCATGCGTCGTTTCTCGTTTCCGAACGTTGCGGCGTTTCCACCTGACTGGTAGGCGGGTGGTTGGTATGTCGGTAGATTCTGGGTTGATATTGAGTCGCGGAGCGCGCGCTGAAGATCGGGATCGTCCTCCATTGCGTCGCCGTAGAATCCCGCTGTATTTCCCTTCTCCTTCTTGTCCATGGTGCCACCGGAAGACCATGTTGACGTGTGACGTGGTTTGACGGCGGCAGATTCCCTCAATGCGCGCTGCAGCTCGCTGTCGTTGCCGGCCTCCCTCCTATCATCATCGTAGGAGCGCATATCCACCAGCTTTTTCTTGTTTAAGTTCTGGCTGCTGCTGCTGCCACCTGACGACCACGAGGATATGCGACCACTCCAACTACCGGGAGAGGTGTTGAGCGACGTCCATCGCTCGATAACGAGTTCCTTCGTTCCCAAGGGTGACTGCAGTGTTTCGTGGACACCCTGTGCCGCGCGGGCGGAGGAGATGTACCCAGTCAAGTCCTTTGTCCCGAGTTTTGCGATTTCGCGGTGGATTCCCTTCATCGCATACGCGGGGATCGCCCATATTCCGGCTCCAGGCTTGAGTATCAGTCCGCCGATGCCGCGGCCAAAACCCTTGAGCGCTCCAGCGGCACCCTCTTGCTTGGCTCCCTTGATCGGTTGTGTGACAAGTCCGGTTATGCCATCGTAGAAGCCCAGCGAAAATTCTTTGCCGGCTGCTTTGAGACCGCTGTGGAAGCCGGTGACTCGCGTCTCGGGTCGGATCTCATCTCCATATAGGGCTGGGGCATTGCGGAAGCCTTGGGAGATGCCCAATGTGAAATCCATAGGTGCTAGATATGTCAGTTATATTATGCAGAAGAGAGAGGTAACGGGATGCCTTACATCGCATGCCAGCGCCAACAATCCTTCTCACACCCTTAGTCGCGCCCATGGCGTTCCCAACGAATTCTGCATCGAATTTGAAACCTCCGCCCTCCTTCTGCTTTCCCTTATCCGTTGTCGAGTTAGGAGTTCCTGGCGTGCCAGGCGTGCCAGGCCGAATCTTCTCGGATTTACCAGTCTTTTCCGAAGTGGCTGTCGCAAAGCTGTCCACGCTGGTGTTGTCGTGCATCGGAGACCCTGGTGTAGACCCTGGTGTAGACGGTTGACCCTCAACACCCTTCCCCTTATCCTTCGTAACGGCCTTGAATATCTCGATCGGAAAATCTCCAACACCCATCATGATGCTCCCCATCGTTCCGACGATTGCACCCGCACCTCCAGTAACCGGATCTGTCGGCCCCGAATTCACCGGCCATTCCTTATGTCTCCACAGCCTCAACCCGCCAAAGCCGCCTTCGATAAGATTTGCCTCGACGAGCACACTCGCCGCCAGCGCCGAAAGCTTCCTGATACCGCTGCGCACCTTCCACACTGCCACGCGATCGGGAAGGAGATCGCACCGCGCCAGCCCCATCTCCTCGACAGAGGAGAGAAAGCTCATGGCGCCATTCTCCACGCCGGTCTCCGCCTTGATGCTATCGCCCATCGCCTCCGCCCTCGCTTGCATCTCTCTTCCCAGCGCCGCCTGGATAGCGAGCGCAAGATTCTGGCTTGTCAGTTCTTTATGCGGGATGAAATTCGGTCCCGCACCGGCCTTGGCCACCATCGCACCCCAGAACGGCTGGTCACCGAAGAAAGAACAGATGACGGTTGGCTTTCCGCAGCGGATTCCAGCGGCAGTGGTGCCGGCGCCTCCGTGATGGACGACGGCGGCGCACCGTGGGAACAGCCAGTCGTGCGGACAGTTTCCCAGGAGCATGACGTTTTCGGGGATGTCGAGTTCGCCGGCTCCGACGCCGCCCCAGCCCTTCGAGACGAGCGCTCGGCATCCGACTTGAGCCACTGCTTCGAGGATCTTGCGGGTCAAGGCGTTTGGGTCTTCAACGACGATCGATCCAAATCCGATGTAGACGGGTGGAGGACCCGCGTTAAGGAAGCGTTCCAGCTCTGGTGGAGGTGAGTAGGAAGAGGCTAGTGACAGGAAGTAAAATCCGGATATTTTGATTCGCGAGGGCCAGTCGGCAGGCTTCGGAATTAATGTTGGCGACCAGCAGTAGGTGTGCGGTACCTTGAGTCGAGAGATCATTCCCGGCGCCCACATCGTGGAAACTGCTTCCAAGCCCAGGGTTCCCTCGCGGAACCTGTTCACCAAATCGCCCAGGCCTTGCCATGTCATCATGTCCACCAGGGCGTATGAGAGGAAGTTGGTAATGTTCGATTCCGCGTTCGACGACTGAATGTTCGCCAGCGGATGGGGAAACGCGGAAGTCGGCGACCACGGCATGGTAAACATCAGATGCAGCGGAACTCCAAGCCTCTCTGCGCAATGGATGTGTCCGAAACTCGGTGGATTGGCGATGATCGCATCCGCAACGAACGGTGTCGCAATCGACGCGCTGTTCCCCCCTCCGACTGCTGGCTGGTAGCTCATCCCATCGCCCGGCTCGATACAAGCTCTCCACCCGCCCAGCAGCATTTCCCACATGCTCTTTCGCCGCTTCGACACCTCGCCCGACTTTAATGTTTCCACTCCCGGCATCAAGCCCGGATTCTTGACCATGAACGCCATGAGCTCACTCGGGTCTCCGCCGAGCGAGAAGAACTCCAGCCCATTCTCCTCCACGAAGCCTTTAAACGTCGGATGCGTCGCCACCCTCACTCTGTGGCGATACCGTTCCTTGAGCTGCTTGCCCAACGCAATGAACGGCTGCACGTCTCCGCGCGACCCGATGATCTGGATCAGGATGTTAAGCGGCGGCGTGTCCTTCGCAAAGTCGGGGATTTGGTAGGAGGCGCCTTCAACGTTGTAGTCCTTCTCCTTCAGGCCGGCGCCCCATTGCGCGCGGAGGACGGGTGTGAGCACGCTCGAGAGGCGCAGCGAGCGCTGGTTAATGTTGATGTTGATTCGGCCGTCCTCTAGAGCGATCAGAACCCAATGTCAGCGTTTCTCCGTTTCGCACACCCAGCTCGACGTACCTGCCAACTGCGCCTTGGTGTCCATCCCGCTGTCTGACACGTTGATGGTGCCGTACGCGGGCGCCTCGGTATATTCCGGCGGCCCTTCGGCCTGCTGCTGTGTGACTGCTTCGACGGCATCGGGCCCGGACTGCCCGCGCTCGGAGTAGCCGGGCGGCGGTTCGTCGGGCATGTGTGGCCGGGGTGGTTGGTAGGGGTCGCCAGAGGGATTCATGCGGTGCTTCCTGGGTGCTGTGGCGTCAGTATTTCGTGAATTGGGGAACCGGGGCCGCTTTATGGAGGTGGAGCGGAGCTGCAGAGGTAATATAGACTCTAGAGTGGGCAGCTTATTTTTGGGTTTAAGCTTGAAACGGTCGCGGCAAACCGGTGACGTACGCAGTCGCCTGGTGGGGGGGAATCCTTGAATGTTCGCTTGTCGATCCTTGCACTGCCTCACTGCACCGCCACTTCCAATGAAGGCGCATGGGAAAAGTGAGCTGGACGTTCGCCATTTAAGATACCAACAACCGCATGGAGACGAGTACGAGTACGAAAGAAAGGGGCTGGTATCGCAATAATCGCATGATGTGGCTCCGTTTAATGGTTCCTGGATAGGTACCTAGCTTCACCCTTCCAGTGTCGAAAACCCGAGTACGACACCTGCATATCGTACTTCGGACGCTTAGGCACGGGGGGGTATATTTGCCCGATCCACCATATCGCCGGCACTACTTCGGAGGGGCACGCAAGAAACAGCAGAGCCCGTCTTTTCAGGCATCTACAGTTATGTACAGTACTAGTATACGGGCAGATACGGTACTTACTGGCAATAGGTGCTCTTGAAGCCTTAACCCAGCCACTCAAGGCGGTGGTGAAACTGGATTTCGGGTTCAATAATCGCCGACGCACCGATTGGTGGTGAACTTGATTGGATAAGAACAGGAGGCCATCCTTTCATAAGAAGGGGCCGGGTTCTCAGCTTCGATTGATTGGTTGAGTGAGTGGCAAGGACGGTTTCTGGTGATTCGCCTTGGATGCCAGTGTTTTATGTTTTTGCTTCTTCATCCTGTCTGCAGTTGAGACCATGACGAAATGCCTACATGATTGTTAGTGGTGCTCCAATCATCAGACAGGGGGGATCAAGCGTACGGTTTATTCCGCAATCGCGTGGCCAATTCAAAAACCCGAATACGAGCCCTGCATATCCGGACATTCAGGCACGGAGTTTCACCCGACGACATTTACACCGGCAATACGCCCAATTCACTTCGAATGTGGCCGGAAATGCTAGGGGCGACACAGCGACGGGGCACTCAGCCACACTGCCCGCACGTCCACTCACTTTGTAGCGATCCGGCAGCTGCATCTCCTATTTCCGAATCCAAACGTACGTCTTCTTGATTCGCAATCCCATATCTATTACAGTACAAAGGAGCACCACTCGGCGCGAACAGAAACTCCTAACCCTTCCTACAAACAGCCTGTCACCGCGACCACACCGAGCGCGATGCCCAGCGGTGCCCACGCAATCCGGGCGTGCACCGCCGCGCTCGCGGGAGTGTTACCAGGAGATTTCCTGCCCAGATACCACGCGCCGAGATCCGTCAGATCCCCGTCGCTGTCGAGCATGGCACCATTGGGGCCAACGTTGCTGACGGAGCTGCGGAACGAGCCGAACCATGAGTAGCGCTGGACGTAGGCCAGTCGGTCGAGGTACTCGAGACTCGTGTTGAAGAAGGAGTAGGTGTCGCTCCTGTACTGTGGTAAGTCTCGAGGGACGACCGTGTGGAAGCGAGGGAGGGAGCGTGGAAAGCAACTTACAGCGACTGGTGCGCATACCCAAACTCGGTAACCCACAAGTCCTTATCGGGGAACATGGCGCGCACCTCGCCGATATGGCTCGCCAGGCCCTCGAAGTTGCCGTACCAATGAACAGGCACGAAGTCGACTATGTGTCGGCACACATGCCGGTCAGCAGCCACTCACTCACTCACTCATTCACGAACCGTCAGGCGGAACACAACGAACCAGTGCAGCCGTCACACGCCTCCATAAACGCCTTGATCCACCTCTTCCCGTCCTGGGTACTCGCGACCCCCGGCGCGCCCAGCTTCAAGCCCTGATCCTTCAACGGCTCAATCATTTCCTTCCAGATCTCCACCGCCCGCGCGGGGGACATGTTGCTCCCGCCAACATCGCGGCCCATATCGGGCTCGTTGAAGCCGAGCACGTACTTTATGTTGTTCTTGTCATCGCGCAGCAGCCCGCGGACTTCCGTGGCGAAATCGTAGTTCGCGGCTGGCTCGCCCCAGAGCATGGGCACGAACTCGAGGTTGGAGAGTGATGCGGACGGCGCGGAGCGGTAGTTGTAGTACCAGCTTATCGTTGTCGGGTCCGATAGGAATACCGCCTCGTCGTTGGGATTCTTGGTGTCGACTTGGACGAGGCCGCGTTTGTCGGATGCGGCCGTGAGTGAGGGGAGGAGACATAGCGGCGGGAGGAGGAGGAGGGTGCGCATTGCAGAGTAGTCTATCGTCGGCGGAGTCGGAGTCGGATGGGAAGGCTGTCCATCGTAAAGCAGAGGACGGTATATTTCGGAAAGAGGACGCAACGAAGGGCTCAAGTGCAAGGTGGACTGTGGGACAGGAAATGCAGGAACCTGCTCCCGCCACCGTCTCAGGAACCAGCTCGCACTGCGCAGTGATGTCGACGGGAGGCCGCTCTGGAATCTTGATTCCTGATTGGATTTTCGTGTATTATTTCTGGAAACGTGATCTGCACTCGCAGGCCTGCAAGGGCGGCTACATATCACATAAGGCAGGTGGGACTGCATGGAGAAAAACGAGTGATAACTACATGGGCAGGCCGTTACACAACCGAGTGGGCCGGTCATTCCAATGCGGAGCCGCAAATGGGCCATCGGGATTCATCATTCGGCGTCATGCTGCGATGAAATGAAAATTGATAAACCTTGAAGAAGAACGGCCGTTATCTACGGGCCGAGTCGGCAGCCATGGTAGTTTTACAAAGCCCATGCTCGGAGTCCGGCACCTACCTACTCTACGTACAGGCGAACGGCTCCGAAGCCAGGGCACTCCCCAGCCGATGACGCAGGTCCCAGAATCGGCCTGGCCGCTACACAAATTAGTACATATTGAGCTCGTCAAGATGAGTCGGAATGACACTTTTCTTAAGACGGTACAAAATCGGCGTAGCCCAGGTAATCAAGTATTTAGATTCCAGGAATCACCACCTAGAATCGCATCGCATCTTCAATTGGCAGGCTTCGAGGCTCACTCAACATCTCTTCGTCCGAAATCTCAACACACAACAATGGCGCCCTCCCTCCTGTCCCAAAAGCTCCTCTGCTTCGATGTCTACGGCACTCTCGTACGTCCCTACCCCGACGGCTTACGTGCCTTGTCCCCGCTAACCTAACCGTCCAGATCGACTGGGAAACCGGCATCTACACCGCGGCCCTCCCGCTGCTCTCACAACTATCCCCTCCACCCACTCGCGCCTCCTTCCTATCCACCTACGCGCGCCTCGAAACCTTGCAGCAGACCGCGACGCCGGGGCTGCGCTATTCGCAGCTACTCAGCGCGGTGTACGCCCAGCTAGCCGCGCACTACTCACTGCCCGCACCCAGCTCGGAGGCAGAGGCGTTCGGCGCCTCAATCGGCGACTGGCCCGCATTCGCTGACTCGGCGGATGCGCTGCAGCGGCTGAAGGCCAGCTTCAAGCTCGTCGTGCTGTCGAATGTCGACCGCGAGAGCTTTGCGAACAGCTTGCCGCGGTTGGGCGGTGAGGGGGTGTTTGATCTCGTCCTCACCGCTGAGGATATTGGCGGGTATAAGCCCGCGCTGAGGAACTTTGAGGTCATGCTGGAGGAGGTGCAGGAGAGGTTTGCGGTCGCGAGGGAGGAGGTCTGCTGTACCGCCCAGAGCTTGTTTCATGATCATGCGCCTGCGAAGAGGTTGGGGCTGGTGAGTGCGTGGATCGATAGGCAGGGGGGTTTGATGGGGGTGGGGGAGGTGGAGGGCGCGGGGTTTGAATGGAGGTTTGAGACGCTGGGGGAGATGGCGGAGGCGGTCGAGAGGGAGAAGGGGGAATAGCTTTAGGAATCCAGATGGCCGGAAGTTCCCAATATTCGAGAAACTCCTGGTGTCCTGACGACTGTGTTGCCTGACACTTCAGGATCGTCTGTCAGCAGCTGATGGCTGCAGGTGCAAAACGACGAATTGACTCCTGTAACGTGCGATGATTGTTACCTGCGTGCACTAAAACTTGATTCTTGTATCTCAATATCCAGACTCATCGAGGAAGATAGTGAAAGCGGCCGCCGAAGACCAGCAGCTGTTTGGGCTGTCGATGTCCGGTGCATAGCCGCATTGCCATCACTGCCACTTGGACGACTCCCTTCCACGGAAGAGACGGCTCGAGTCCGAGGAAGCGCTTTAGCCCTGCGGTGAGCCTCCATTCGCCGAACTCTCCGTATGTATCCCAGAAAAACCTCGCCGCTCCCTCGCGCCTCGCACTGAGACGGCGCGGTACCGGTGCCGGTATCGCCAGCCAGCCCCGCTTGTACGACCCCGCCCCGCGCCGCCATCAAACCACCTTGAAAATCCCGTGCGACCTGCAATCCCCGCCGGATGAGGAAACGAATTCCAAATCTTTGCGCGAAAACATTCCAAATCGCCCCGCACGCTAGTCGCTAGCCGTCGATCAATGGCGCCGTGACGTAAACCACGATTGATTCTAGCCCTGAAGTGACAGGCAAGTCAGCCCCGCCTTTTGAGAGAGAGAGAGGTTTAAGCAGCGTTCTTCTCCCGCGAATCCATTCCATCTCTCCTCCACCCCCCACACAGCTCCATCGAAGACGAAAGATCATCAAGAATAATCACCAACGCAATAATGGCCATCACCGTCGGATCGAAGCTCCCCGCTGCCCCAGCCTCCGTCTGGGAGACCTCCCCCGAGAACGCCGTCATCATCCCCACGAGCGGAAAGGTGGTGATCGTTGGTGTTCCCGGCGCCTTCACCCGTATGTTGCACCCGCTCTCCCTCCCACTGCACATCTCTCATCTCCCATCCCCCCCATCTCCTTCTGCTGATACCCGTCCCTTGGTGCTAACCCGCATGCGCAACAGCCCCCTGCAGCTCCCAGGTCCCCGGCTACATCTCCAACGCCTCCGCATTCAAGGCTAAGGGCGTGACGGGAATCTACGTCGTCGCGGTCAACGACGTGTTTGTCGTCGAGGCGTGGAAGAAGTCGTTGCTCGCCGGAAAGGAGAGCGATGATTGCGTGCACTTCCTTGCCGACTCGACCGGTACTCTACCCACCCACCCTATGGCGAGGTCGGTAGCTGACAGTGGTGCCTACAGGTGAATACATCAAGGCCCTCGGCATGGGCTTCGACGCGAGCGGACTCCTCGGCAACACCCGCAGCAAGCGCTTCGTGGCTACTGTCGAGGATGGCGTCGTCAAGACTGTCGTTGTTGAGGACGAGGTGCCGCAGGTCACCGTTACCGCGGCTGATAAGGTGCTGGAGAACTTATAGGCGCGTTCGCGGAGTTTGGGTTGGGCGCGGTTTGAGACAAGATGAGCGGTTGAAGGTTGAATGAAGCGAGGCTCATAGCTGTTAATTGAAGTCAAACGAGTTTTAACCCAATTGCGTGCGTGCGTGTCGGCGTTTTCGGCATGTTTTTGGCCGCGTGAATATGTAGGCGTCGAGTGATCCGCAAACTTGCCGAGCGCCTCGCTCTGATGGACAGTCCAGCACATCCGTTCCGTAGTCTGCAGACTTGCCGTCGGGAGCAGGGTGCCTCGCGCCGGTTTCCAGTCCAGCACACCCGGAGTTACCGTAGTCCGCATGCCGGTGAGTATGTGTGTGTATCCAGCGAGTGTGTATCGAAAGCCTTGTCGCTCACAGCATTCCATCTCGAACAGCTCACCAGCTCACAGCCATCCCGGCAGAGATCACCCACGCTGCCACGCACAGTTCGAACTTCGGGTAAGCCCGGGGCTAACTAATCGGAATACCGCCGTTTCGGAAACGATCGTCATATGTAGAATTGCTGGCCATTCATCGCCCGGCAGAGTGAGTGCGTGAATACCGGTACATAGGTTGGCCTGCAGCGACCGGCCAGGCTGCGAACATACGAATGTGCGCTGAACACATCATACGTAGCGTTCGTTGTTCAGATCTTTGCCTCTCCCCCGCAGTCAGAACACGCAGTCTCTCGACATCATTCCCAGCACCCACAAATAACGGGTTACGGCTTTGTTGGCGCCGGGCAGTGGGGATTCCAATGTGCCTTGAATAATGTGCCTTGAGGGCGTGTGCATATTTCTGTTTGGAACCGATCAGTAGTTTTTCCAGGAAAAGAGCAAGGAGTGAAGTCTATACCACCAATGTAAACGATGTAAACGATTCCAACATATGCACACTACATATGCGTTACGGCCGCCGGCAAACACTCCTCGCGACAACTTACAGGGAGTGGAGAGATGGCCAACGCCTTTCAAGTTGCCGCATCGCCGGATCGCCGAATGAAGCAGGTATCGCCGTGTCGGCCTTGCCTGTATAGCACTTAGTTAGTATCAAAATAATCAATCTGCTGGGCGCGATGGAGTGACTTGTTCCACGGTAGTCTTCTAGAAGACCCGGATCGAAACCAACTCAATTTGTTTTCTTTACTTTCATTCCTTCTTCCCTCTCACCTACTTTGTTTGCGACAACCTAATCTGCACGTCAATTCTCGAATCCTCGAATCGTCGATGTGTTTTCCCAAGTGACCCACGGAGTGCATATGAATCCGTTTCTTGTCTTCGCGGTCGATGGGCGGTTGCGTATGCCACCTCTCTGACAAGCACGGACGTTGGTAGGTGATGTCCGGCGGTGGCTGATGTTCGTGGCTCAACAGTGCAACTCTACCGAAAGGGGGCGGTGCACGATACCAACACCGCAGTTACCGTACGAGAAAGCACATCATATACGACGTGCCCATCCGTCGTCGATCCAATCCTTATAGTGCCCTCTTTCCAGCAGGGACCGTGCGTGCGGACGGGCGTATGGTACATTATTTTCGCGGCAGCAGCGTACCTACGTTCAGATGGCAGCCAGCAGCCAGCAGCAGCCAGCAGCAGCAGCAACAGCAGCAGCGAGTGACCGCCAATGCACCAACGCGTTGTACCTGCTTAAGTTCGGGTTGTTTGCTCTCGCGCATCCAGACCTGCCGGCAGCATCTCTCGCACCGACTGCGTGATGTGTCGGCCCTCAAGCTGTTTCACGACGATGCCAACACTGCGTCAGATTAGATGAGCTGGAGCTTGAGCACCAGCTCCATCTTCCGTTTCGGTAGGCAGGCAAACAGAATGGATGTGACACGGTGACACGGAGATGGGCAAGGGTTCGTGGGTTGTTGACTGGGCGGGGTCGGTACTGCACGGTGTCTACTTGCTTACTGTGGTTACGGTGGTTATGGCTTTACTTGCTATGCTTACGGCTCCCGTTGATTGGAACTTGGGATGCATAATTGCTTCAGTGGCTAAGTAAGTAGCTACCAGTTGACCACTGCTGCTCCGTGGACTCGTGGAGGAGGAGGTGTGCGGATATATACCTGCCGTAGAACATCCTGGGGGCACTCCGGACTCGGTAATAATTTAGGCTAGCCGCAGCCTCTATCGATAAGGCACTCGTTCTCATTCGCTCCGACGCCCCCTCCCTCTCCGAGTCGAACAGGAACCTACATAGTACAGTACACACAGCTTGTACTTTGTTTCCACCCTCTACCCTCTCCACTACAGTGGCGCATTTCCCCCCGCCGGCCGGCCACCGACTGGATTCGATTCTCTTCTTCTTCCATACGCAGAATAAGAAGAAACGTGGGGTACCTGCATCGTTGTCCTGATAGGTATGCAGTGTGTTTTTTTTTCCTTTCTTTCGTTCTTTCTTCTGAGGCCGAAGACGACCCATGTCGAATATCTGCAGGGCGGTCGTGGCTGGCGGTGACTGGCTGGCTGCAACGACGGCGCGAAACGGGCCCCCTCCAACACCAAGCAACCAAGCAAGGCCAAGACGAAGAGATGACTGCCGACTGAGATACCCTATGTAGAGAGTGAAAGAGAGATGGGAACAGGAGAAAACACACACTGCTTGGGTTGAGTGGGTACTCGGACCACCCCACCATCGTCGTTGGAGGAGACCACCATTGACGTCGTTCGCCCTTCCCCCTCCGTCGTCGCCCGGTGAGACATTCGATCCCCAGCCGGGATAGTTTTCGGGTGTGTTTCTGTTTCTATTTTTTTATTTTTTATCCGTGGCCGCCTGTACGCGAGCGAGCCAGCAGTCTCCTTGACGTCGACTACCTGCGGGCCGGCCTCCGGGACACGCCGTGGATTTGGGCGTACCGCTCTATTCGACTCTATTCGACTCGACTACAGCGTAGACTTTGCTTTCGTCCCGTCTGCACGAACTATGTACCCGCTCCCCTCGCCGCTCGCCCCTCGCCACGCGCCACTCGTCCCATTTGAGTGCTTGTTATGTACTCTATGTACTCGACGGCCCATCCATCGGCACAGTAGTGCTGCCACTGACCGACTGACGGCTGAGGAGAGAGGGCGAGCGACCTCATCATCTCCAACTAGCCTGCTGAGCGCCCTGCATTATTCCCCTACCTAGAGTACATACCGACTACTCTCCATGCAAGCAAGTCGGTACACGTAGGTTGGGCTGCTGGACGGTGGAGGAGGGGACGGCATGTACTTGCCTCAATTCCGGTATAGAGTAGTTATTTCTCACGCTGGCGTCTGGACAAGTCTTCTTCCTCGTCTTCTTTTTCGCTGAGGTGTGTGCATCCCAATTGAATGGTTGTATGGACGCCCGGAGTCGACGTCGCGGTGCGGTGAATGAAAACAGCTCCGTTTCGCACTCGTCCACGATGGCCTGCGAAGGGGCGGACATTGACAACCACTCGACTACTCAGTGAGCCTTGCGATTCGTACCCGCCCCATCCACCCCCCGTCCGCCTGTCTCGTCCCTGCGTCGCCGTTTACGATACGATACGATACCCACAGTCTACGTACCCAGAGGCAACCACGTCGTCGTTGTCGTCGTCGTCGTTCGAGGATATGTTATAGCGGAGGTCCGAAACGGAGACGACGTTCCACTGTGACTCCACACCAACAGCCACCATATCGTCTTATATCCACGGCGACACCGCAGGCGCAATCGCAGACGCAGACGCAATCGCATAGAAACTACCTCGACTGTCCTACGTACATACTGTACCCAATTGATACCCCCCAGCGAAGCTTCGAAGCTTCCGGAATCGAGACCCGAGAGCAGTGTTAGATATGGTATGTAGTGTTTCCTCGTGCGCCCACACGGACAATCTCCCCTTCCGTCACATATATGCTAATCACAACCCCCGCCAGGCTGACGCCCTCAATGAAGCCCTGAACCTGACACGAAACCAGGTAAGCTCCGTTTCCCGTCTGCCCCTCGGGCCGTGCGCAACCCCAGAATTGATCAGCAGCTAACCCAACTTCCAAACCACAGGCGCTCGGGTACGTTCCCTCGGTCGTCCCGCAACCCTCCTCCCCTCGGCGTAACCTAACCGATCCGTGCGCTTCAGGAATGCGCTCTACATCGCGTGCGGGATAATAATCTTCATCGGGCTTGTGACGAGCCTCGTGACAACGGTGCGCGCACACAACTACGATGGCGAGTCGCAGACGGCGCAGGTGCGGGACCGGCCGACACGGTTAAAAACATGGTTCCGGCGGCGGTTCCTGCTGCCGGCGCTGTTCGGCGACCACCACATCCGGCCGATGGGGTACTACCAGTGGCCGACGCGCGGGCAGACGCTGATGGTCTTTGGCTACCTCCTGCTCAACGTGCTGTTCCTCGCTACGGACTATGTCGGCACCGGCCGCACGGTTAAGGCGGTCAGTGATCGCGCCGGACACCTCGCGATCGTTAATATGCCGATTTACTTTTTGTTTGCGGGGAGGAATAATATCCTCATTTGGGTTACGGGTTGGCCCCAGAGGGACTTTCAGGTCTTTCATAAGTGGATCGGCAGGATATCGACGCTGGAGGCTATCATACATTCGGCGGGTTATGGCTATTTTGCGGCGCAGAATCGTGAGTGATGGGGAAATGTGACGGCGACGACGACGGGACAGAGCTGATTGGTGGCTTCATTTGCAGATTGGGATATGTCGAAAGGTGGGAAGAGAGAGGCTTGGTTCAATGGAATTGCTGTAAGTGCTCTGAGGGTCTTTTCGGGCTGTAACGGTGTAACTCCGGTACTGACGACAAGCACAGGCGACGTCAACGGTGTGCGCCATGCTGTGCTTCAGCATGATGGCCATGCGGAAGAGGTGGTACGAGTTTTTCCTGGTGGTGCACATAATCGGCGCAATTCTTTTCCTGGCGTTTCTCTACGGGTGAGCTTCCCCCGTCCCCCCTCATTTGTTCCCTCTTAACCGTCCCCACAGGCACGTCAAAGATTTTACGCATCCGTATTCGATCTACGTCTGGGTCTGCGTCGGAATCTGGGCGCTGGATCGGATCCTGCGCGTGGTGCGCCTGATAATCTTCAATTTCCGCGGCCGCAACGTGGCAAAGGTGAAGTTGATCCCGGGGACCACCACGATCCGCCTCACCGTGCATCCCAAGATGGAAGACGTGGGCTTCGCACCAGGCGCGCACTACTTCCTGTACTTCCCGGACCGCTGGTGTTTCTGGGAGAGCCACCCTTTCACGGCAGCGGCATGGCGCCCGGCGGGGCCCAGCCTGACCCAGGCGCCCGAGAAAGTCCTCGTGCTCCTCGAGAAGATCTCAGCGAAGCGCGAGGCGCCACCGAACAACAAGCGGATCCGCGAGCTCGCAGCCGACGAGAAGATCACGAGCCTGCAGCTGCACAACACGCACGACACGGACACGGACACGGACCGGGAGAAGAAGCGGCCGTCCAAGCCCCGCGCGCCACGCAAAGACGCCGCCTTCGTCGTCACCACGTCCTCCGCGCGCCGCGGGCCCCAGCGCGCAAAACTCACCTTCCTGATCCACGCGCGCCACGGCGTCACGCTCGAGCTGCTGCGCCGCGTCACCGCCGCGCCAAATCACTCTATCGAGCTCCCCTGCCTCCTAGAGGGCCCCTACGGCATCGCGAGACCAGTGCAGGCCTTCCCGACGGTGATCCTCATCGCAGGCGGCGTCGGCATCTCCACCGCCCTGCCGTACCTGCAGCAGCACCTCTCCACCGGCGTCGAGACGAGCCGCCGCTTCGTCCTCATCTGGAGCGTGCGCGATGGTTCGCTCGCCGAGAAGCTGCTCGCCCACATCCGCGGCCTGGGGTTTAGGCAGGATGTCGTCGTTAAGGTCTTTATCACGCGCGCGAAGGAGGGGGACTCGTGGAGGCTGCCCGTCGGCGTGAAGGTGAGGTATAGGAGGCCGAGGATTGAGGATACCATTGTTAGAGAGGCGAGGGAGAGGGTCCCTGGGACGCCCATGTGCGTCGTTGCTTGTGGTGGCGCGGCGGTGGTGGATTGTGCGCGCAAGGGGAGTGTACTCGCCCTGGAGGATGCGGGCGGTATGAAGGGCACCGGAGAGATTGCGTATTGGGAGGAGGGGTATGGGTGGTAGCGAACTGGGGAGTGGGGGATGGGGAGTGGGGGATGGGGGGGGTACAACTGCTGGGCTTGTTGTAGGGTATACGGCTTCGATTGGGGGTTTATGTGGCGTTTTGGTTTTTAAATTTCCATTTTTTTCCTTGTCTTTTTGGTTGATTTGGGTTTGCATTTGGGATCAGTTTTCGATGAGGGTGGCTTTTGGGCAGCAGAATTTCATTTCCGGTCGTCATAGGAAGGATTTCTGCTGTCATGAGAACACATGCTTTGCAGCATGTATGATACAATGAATTAGATCGATCATACTCATCCCCGGTCGGCGGGACTTTATTATTTGACACGACATGACATGTACAGTCCCTGGCTGGCGCCTACTTCGAATCCGCTCAGGCGGAGCTGCGGAGTATTCCACTGCACTGCGCTGCACTCCAGTCTCCATGACCGATCACCGGCGGACCCACCCGAACCCACCCACCCAGTGACCCAACTGAGGACTCCGCACTGCTCGGTAGGACTCAAGACTCAGGACTCAGGAAATCCCACTGTAGGTAACACCGGTATCTAGTACACCGTTACCTAGGTACCTGTCAGAACTTGGAATGGTGCTAACAAACATTGGCAATTTAGGAAGTTGGGAATCGAGGACTACCGACTGCGAGCGGGGTGCGGGCGAGTTAGTGAGTTGGCGAGTTGGCGGGCAGTCGAGCGGACAGGCGGGCAGGCCAGGTATGTGCACACTAGAGTAGGTTCCACCGTTGCAGGGACCAGCACATCGGACAGCTTCTCGCCTCGAAACCGTATGAAGGTGTCACGGTACGATGGCAGGCACCACGGTATCACGATACCAGGGTATCACGGCATCAGCAGTCGCAGATTCACAGATTCGAGCAGACACGGGCCACATGTGGCATGTGATACGTGATATGGCAGGCCATGGTGACATACGGTAGTCCGAGGCGGAAGTTGGAAGCTGGCGGCTGTCAAGCTGATCACGCATCGCCATTCCCATGATCACATCCATTCATATTCCCAAGTCTCGACACCTCTGGCATCCATGACTCCACGAGGACGGAGCACTCTTCTGTTCTCAGCCAACTTCCTAGAACAGCCGATTTTCTAGAATATACGCCGCCGGAATCCCACACTCGCATCTCCTTCAAAACCCTCCAACGTTCACGCCAGGCTGACCGACGGCGGAAATCAATTATCACCATGCTACAGAATCTGGTCGTTCCCAGGAGCCTCCAGCCTCCAGCCTCGAGCCTCTAGGCGGCTTCATTCTTCGGGTACTAGCATTGTTGGAGCGGGGGAGCGGGGGAGCGGGGAGCGACAATCGTGCTTGGAATCTTGCCCAACTAGGCCAGTACAGCAGTGATTCCCCCTCGCGGCTCGGGCGGTCGAATGGTCGAACATACTATATATCTAGTACTGACGTGAGTGAGTGAGTAGAGCTGACCCGGCCGCCCTATCGTGAGTTGTGAGAATCCATCCAGAAAATCCATCAAGTTGTAACTTGTTAAGCTTTTCTCTCGACTTCCGCCTCCTCGTCCTTGTATATCCATCTCATCGACTAGCTGGGCCCGACAACAGACGGATTGCCCAGGTTCCCGCCCACTACACTGCTGATCATCGTCTCCTCCCCCTCCACGAGGCAAAAGCAAAAGCGGAAGCGAAATCCCCCAGTCACTTGGAATCGAGACAAAAGAAATACTGATTCAGCCGGGATTTGAACCCGGGTCGGGCGCAGAATGCTTGATGGCAAGCGCCCATGATACCCCTACACTACTGAATCTGTAGATGTGCGGCTTTTCACTGTAGATTATCCAGCCTAATGTTATGAGAAGGTGGAAATGTATGGAGATATGTGGACTCGTGCATGATTCATGCGATATCACTCGGTGGCAGAAGGCTTTGCACTCGGCGAATGTTGCAATCTGCAAGGTGAGGCCGGCTGCTGGCTGCGATTTAGAAGTTAGAATTTAGAATGGACGATTCCGCTGGCGCCGATGGGAGTACAGGTATAGTCGAGTGTGCGCACCAGAGCTGTGAATCTTGATTGAGTGGCTTCCTCCACATTCCATGACTATCATTCTATCAGATAAGAAGTAAGCATGTCTTTCGCGGAAACTACCCAAGCGATGCAATGCGAACTGAAACGAGTGCCGGTAGACTAGCCGCCAAGCCCTTCCATGTATCAGGGTGCACTTGCATCCAGCGAATTGTTCTGGCTTGTATCAACTGGGGGCCTGAAGCTGCTGATGGAGGCAGAATGTTAAACGTTTTTCTCGCCCGGAGGTGTGCGCAGTCAACGGGGGGAACTTGAGGGCTTCGCTAGGAGGGGAGGGGAGGGGAACGGCATCAGACTATCAGTGGTAGATGGATCGCAGTCGAACCGGAAAGTCCTGCGTGCCGGCGACCACGGCAAGTGGCGATCTAGTCGGTACAGTGGCTACGGCAATTGAGGGCCGAGGCGGCAGTTCATGCCAGCTTCGCCCGCGGTAGCTGTGGTGGTGGTGCTTAAGCTTGAGCTTGAGCTTGATCTTGCGCCGGTGGCATGTGCGTATGGGAGGCAGTGTTCTACTCTACATAGACCAAGCCAGACCACTTTTAGGTATGCACTAGACTGGTCGGGATAGATCCCGACCGACGAACCGTTGATCTGTACTGCGCCTTGGTAGACCGACACCGTGGTGGTGGGCCTGGTGCTGTAATGGTTCAGGTCTCGCTGCCTGCCACCAGACCGCGAAACGGACGTGCAGCTCGGCCCTCGAGTGACGAGACGTGCGAATATCTCATCGGTCGGATTGGCGGATGTACCGAAACAATCTCCATTGCCCGGAAGCCCGGGTGCCCATGCGGTCGGGTAGGCAGCTCCAGCCAGTGGTGTGCGTGGCCTCGGTAGAAAGAAACTTCCGAGGATTGCTCTAATGGAATAGTCTGCGGGGCCCCGTGGGGCGGCCTTGATTTTCGTTCGCCGGACAGTTCTTTAGATGACTGGCGGAAGTACCGGATAGGTAGGTATGTGCCGCGAAGGTTAAAGATGGTGCACCTCGAACCTGTGTTTCCGCATTTCGGCGATGCCGGCGGTCTACAAACGGCGGAGATGTAGCATTAGTGTATAAGGAAGACGACGCAGGAGAGGAAATGCAGAGGATATTTCGGACACACAATCACTATTATAATATAATGCTGAGCTTCATAAGCAATCGGCTGAAAAATACACCACCGAAGCATAGGGTTTTCAGGGGTTTTATTGGGAAACAGAGGTGGAGATAGAGTTAAGCTTTATACTCCTTAAATGCGCTAGCACTTCACAGTGATGGCTCATATATACGCTTTTAATGGTAAGTCTTCCCCCGCACACACCTCACCCACGTGTCCGGATGACAAGTTAAACTGCTGAAATACGGACCGTCGTCGTGAAATATCACTCTGGCGTGACCTTATGCAGTCGGATGACGCCACCTCTTTCGGGATTTCTGGTCGAAAGGCCCCACAAACTGTTGGGGTACGCTCCTCTCCCACATATCCTACACCAACATATCGAACGAGGTGAAAGAGCTTGGTATCAGACGAGCTTCGCGGATCAGAAGGAAATAGAATGATTGAAGATAGTTTCCTCACATTCTTGCAGCAGCTCATATCCTTTAGGTTGCCTGTGGGGTATATACATTTGCATGGGGAAAAGGCTAACCTAATTCACCCGCTAAAGGATCCCACCGATATCTGCCGGCTCACGTGCCTCGACTTTAATACATAACCGCCATAGATATGGTACAATGATATTTGATGATGCGATTGAAGCGGTGCACCGGTTGCGGGTCCCACGCCGTTGTATAGGTATGTCACTGACGAACCAGTTGAATCGGAGTATACTAACTTGGTACTCTCACGGTCCCCAAAGCATCACGCGAAAATCTTTCCAATAGGTTCATCCCTCTCAACAAACTGGTAAAGCCCTGATTGCGCACCGTGAATTCTACGAGACGTTGAAACGTTGGGAAAACTTTACCAGGGATAATTCATGTAGCTTCTTCTTTTACTTCGTAAAGAAACCATCCGCTCAAGTTTTGACCGACAGCCATGGACCATGATAATTAGCTTCTTCTTTCACTTCTTAAGGAAACCATTCCCTCGAGTTTCAACTGACAGCCATGGACCCTGATATCTTTTGCACGCCCTACGGGGTACCCCCCCATCCTGCCGGCGTGGGTCTTTTCCTCCCAAATCCCCACCAGGACCAAAGACCCCCTCCGCCTCCGCCGCCGCCTTCACCGCCGCCGCCGCGTTTCTTCCACGGACTTCCAAATTTTACCAGCACCAGCACTGTGCAACCCGTTCTCTCGTGCGGCTGGAACAACTGCGACCAGCAGTTCCCGACGATCGCCGAGCTTAACCTGCACGCAAAGAACAGCCACGCGAGGCGCATCCCGCCGACCGACCCCACGAAGAGCGTCAGCAAAACCAACACCCTCGCCTGCCAGTGGACGTCTTCTACGGCGAACTGCAAACGCCTCTGCTCGAAACGCAGTCATCTCGTCGAGCACATGGACGTGCACGTGCCGTGGGTGCGCTTCGCGTGCACCTTTCCCCACTGCTACAAGTCCTTTGCGAGGAAGAGCACGTGGGATAAGCACAAGCGGAGCGTCCATCATTAAGGGTGTCGATCGCGCGGTTGGGCACGGTGGGAGGAGTGGGGTGGCGGGCAGCTACGGTGATAGGGGGCGGTGGTGGAGTTGAATTTGCGTTTTGGTTTCTCGAGTTTACCGTACTTTACCTACTGTATAGTGAATGGGGGGGGGGGGGGTGAAGGATATGCTTTTTTTACCCCCCCCCCCCCCATTCACTATACAGTAGAAAAAGTAGATGGAGCACTTAACTTGTATCTTCCATGATGTTCATAGAGCGCGCACGTTGGAGCGTGTCAACTGGCTTCAAAAACATTACTGAAATGCGCAGCTGTATCAAATCTCACCCACAGTCAGGGTTAGGGTCCACCAATAATCAGAGCAGAATACTTGTGCACCGCTCGGACACCGCATATCGGCTAAGGAGTTTCCAAAGACAATATCGTGGTTCTAGAAGTGGCAGATTACCAACAAACAATCTGCCGCATTCTTGGCTCAGGTAGAGAAGGAAGCAACGGAGGAGGCGGAGGGAGTGGTAAACAAGGAGGACGACGGGCGGGTAGATTTCATTAACTTTATCATTTCCGTATATTCTCCTTAACCCACTCTACACTCACTCGGGTGTAGATACAGTAGGCATTTTGTACTCAATAATAACTTAAGTGATCAGGGCGCCTCCGAAGGCACCTTTTCGATCTCAAGTCGTATAGGTACCCTTGTAAAAAAAAGGGGGGGGTTTAAACGTGAGCAGTGGGTGGGGAAATGGTTGCGCGATCATTAGATTTCACAAGCGGCCCCGCGGTATTGCGCAACTATTGCATCTAGAATAATATGAGCAACGTAAAACCGATGCGGAATTAAAATGATGATAGACAGTACACCCATTTTAAATTGTAAACTCGGCATAAAGCTAGACAATATGTGAGCTTGTAATACGTTGATCTAACGCCTAAATAAACAGGAATTGGTGGAAATATAAAAACACAAGTACGAGATATATGGTTGGTGCTCACTTGAGCGTTTTTTTGGTATTTTTCTACCGTTGTCGTCACGTTTCGACAATTTAAACGTTTTCTTGGCATTTTTCTACTGTTTTCCGGTGTGGGGGAGCGATGGGTGAGCTGCCACGGGAGGGAGTAATGGGAGTTTGGTGGGAGTGGGGATGAAAAATGACTCTAGTCATCGAACAGGAATGACTGAGTCAAGGGGTGATGTAGGAACTGCGGTAGCTGCAATCGGCCGCAATAATAGTAGTGAAAGAGTCGAAACGTTTGGCCCGCCTAGATAGGGATAGTGAATGTTGAAGCACTCCTCCACCGCAACTCCTCTCCTGCCGCACCTTCTCCCCCGCCGCAACTCCTCCCCCACCGCAGCTCCTCCCCCAGCACCTCCTCCCCCGCCGCAACTCCTCCCCCTCCGCCACTGCTATTCCCCCGCCCGCCGCAACTACTACTGCCGCTGATAGCACCTCAGTCTCATAGCTCTCCTCCCCCGCCACAACTCCCCCTCCCGCCACAAATGCTATTCCCCCTCCCGCCGCAACTCTACTCTCACCGCAGCTCCTCCTTTCCCCGATAGCTTCTCTCGCTAATAGCTCATGTTTCTTATAGGTAGCTCACCTTGCAGTAATACTTGTCTAGCCGCTGCAGATACTGGCCGCCGTGTATAGTTTGATACTGGATACTGGACACTGGATACTGGATACTGGATACTGGATACTGGCCGCCGTGGATACTGGCCGCTGGCCTCGTATGTAGTACTAGTAGAATAGAAATCCATGTGCTTAGTGCTTCAAGACCAATGTGAAAAATGCTGCATAAGCGAGAAAACTCGAGCCCAGTTTCATCTCTGATATAGTTTCAACAGTTCGAAAATGCCAAGAAAATGCCAAGAAAACGCTGCTGCAACGTTTTAATACACTTAAACGCTTTGTTTTAACTACAGAGGGAATTTCTGGCCAGTTCCTTGTCTATAAGCAGGATCACTTGTACTACGGCTCCCAATTTTCACGGGAAAAGCCTGTGAACTGTATATCCCCTCCCTTCGTTATAAACTAGCGACACGTCTCTGTATCCAACACGGACTGTACAATGTTTTGAATTGCTTCTATGGGTCAATAAGTGGACATGTGTGAGATTCTCAACTATCACGATGTGGTATTTACTTTTCCTACGGGTTTGAAAACAAAATAATGGCACAACAGTCGCTCCACCGTTAAAAATACCCCCCCCTTTTTTTTACAAGGGTAGGTAGTTACCAGTGTTATTGTAGAATACTCGAACTCTCCCGCGAAGCTCACTCATCAGTGTCAGATTTTAGAATACGCTAAATCGTCTTAACTGAATCATTGCCTTTGCCTTCATGCCTCCTCCTCCACATTCGAACATAGATCTCCCTCGCCACATCCCCACCTCTTGCGCTGCTTTGCACAGCTACGTCGCCGCTGCATCTCTCTCAGCTCTCTCTCCCTCCTTGGCCACCACCACCCCCTCCGCCTCCTCCCCCTCCCCTTCATTCCCCTTCCCCCCCCCCTCCTCCTCCGTGCCATCCACCTCATCTCCAGTCCCCCCACTAGGTCCTACGTTGTCGTCTTCTTCCTGGCCCTCGTCCATCTCGTTGGCATGTAACGGCTGAGTTATTTCGTCGGGACCGTTGGTTATGGCTGCTTGGGTTGCGCCTGCGATGGAGCTTATGGGGGCGGTGGCTATGGACTTGCGTGCGGCTCTGGCCTTTATGAACGACTGGACTATATCATCATGACCTCGTGCGGCCGCTATCGCGCATGCTCCACGGTAGGTGTTGCACGTAGCGTTTTCATTGACCGTACTCGCTCCACTCCTCGAGATACTAGCACAGTCGAGGTTGAATGTTGCATTGCCGGAGCCAACGAACGCGCCATGGGTTTCTATGCTGCCCGGAGGATGGCCATCGACTTCAGCTCCGGCATCCAAGAGTAACTGGATAATATCACTAAGGCCTCTTGCAGCCGCTACCGAGAGTACTCCACGGTAGGTGTTAATCGTGAAGTTGTTGTCGACTACAAAGGATCCATGAATTTGCACACTCGCATAGTCAATGTTGAGTATTGCATTTCCGGAGCCACTGATCGTGCCATGGATTTCTATGCCGCCCGGGGGATAACCATTGGCTTCGGCTCCATTATTCAAGAGTAACTGGACGATTTCGCTATGACCGCCTCCAACTGCAGCAGAAAGTGCTCCATGGTAGGCGTTGAGAACGGCATTGCCGCCAATTTCCACACTGCCGTGAATATCGAGTGTAGTATAATCGACGTTAATTTCGGCTGCGCCGATGGCGGTGATCCCGCGATTGATTTCGATGCGATCTGCGGGGTTTCCGGTGGCTTTTGCTCCAGCATCCAAAAGCATCTGGACAATCTCCGTATATCCGCCCCCAACGGCTGCCGAGAGTGCTCCAGTGTAGACGCTAACCCTGGCATTGCCGGCGACCCTGATTCTGCCCGAGATTGCGATGTCGCCTGGGGCATTGACTTCGGCCTCAGCTTCCAAGAGTAACCGGACTATCTTGCCATGACCTCCTGCAGCCGCTGCCGTGAGGGGTGTACAGCAGAAGTTGAATTTGGTGTTGCCGGTGAGCCTCGCCCCTCCCTGTGTTCTAATTTTTCCCGAGGTATTGACTTTGGCACGCATTTTCAGGAGCAACTGAACCATAGCGACGTTTCCCGTAGAGGCTGCGTGTTGAAGTACAGTATATCCAACCTCATCTTTGAGTTCAATCTCGGCATGACGGGTGAGGAGAAACCTCACGGTATCAAGCTGGCCATTCCGAACCGCCATGTGCAATGCCGTTGATCCTTCGCGGTTTTGGGCTTCGATTAAGCTACCACGTTTCAGGAGAATTCTGACGATGGATTTGTGTCCGCATGCACTTGCAAAGTGCAGGGGATTGTTCTTGTCTCGGTCTTTCGCTTCCTTATCAACATCGGCACTAAGTAAAGCTTTGACGGTCGGAAAGTCTCCGGATAGTACCGCTAAGTGCAATGGAGTTCTTCCGGCTCGGTCTCTCGGGTCATTTTCGACATCTTCCAACTCTAATAGCTGCGTTACCACATCGGCCTGTCCGGTCACTGCGGCTAGGTGTAAGGCAGTTCGTCCGTATCCGTCCCGAGCTCCAACATAGACACCCTTCCTTAACAGAATATCAATCACATCCCCATCTCCGCTGTACGCGGCCCAGTGTATTGGCTTCTGTCGAAAATTGTCTGCCACTTCGATGTTCGCACCAGCCTGAAGGAGTAGGTTCGTCGCCACGGCATTCCCATTCATGACTGCGCAATGAAGGGATCCCCTTCCATCCCTCCCACAAATCTCCAGATCTGCCCCAGCTCTTATAAGGGCCCATATATCCTCTCCATCATCCTCGTCTTCTTCTACCTCGTGTTCCTCACGATTCCAATTTGCGACAGCATAATATAAAGGCGTCCTTCCAGACACGTCGACGGAGTTCGGATCTGCACCAAGCTGCAATAATTTCTGTATAGTCATCGTATCTCGCAGCATTGCGGCATAGTGAATCGGGGACCATCCCAGGATATCGGTTGCATTCACATTTGTCGCGTCGGCTGTGATTGTAGAGACACGTAGTTCATGCCAATGAATCTCAATAATCTTTGCAAAAAAAGGTGAGGGTTCGAACAACTCGTATACGCCTTCGGGGGATCCACGAGACCTTTGATCGCCTCGCTGTTGCTGCCGACGTCGTGCCTGCTCATCTAACCACGCTTGGCTACTCACTGAGGCAGAGTGCAGTCCCAAACTCTGCCATGCCCCTACATCCAGTCGTTGCTGGACCTTGTATAAAAATGCGAAGCGATGAATGACTCGATAACCGGATAGAGGCGGATGAACCGCGGGCTCTTGGTTGGGGTTCAACTCCTTCCACATCGCATGTTGTAGCTCCTGTAAATTTTCGATGCCGTCCAGTGTTTGTTGGGATCGGCGTAGGCTCAAGTGGTCGGCGACAGACAGGAACACATCTATCAAGATAGCAGTCGCCTGCAAGGAAACCGGATGCCCTTCACCAAAAGTCTTGCATTCTTGATAAAGTCGTAAGTACACCGGCACCACATTTTCCCAAAGCCCCAGCAACTCTGGGCCCTTCATCTGTTGCCTCACAAAGTCGACCATAGACCGGATTGGTAGCCTTTTGGCGTAACTCAGTGGCGGAACGATGGACAGGTATGCTTCCTGCAAACTGCACAACCCCGTTGCTTGTATGTTTTTGGCCATCCCCGCAAGTATTTTGTTTTCGAGCCTCAACGATAGTAGTGTGTCAGGGTCTTCCATCCTGTATTCGCTGAAGGACACAACAGAAGTGTCGTCCTTAAAGTTGATTCGCTCGTCCTTCGCAATCGACCACATGAAAGCCGAGAAGATGTGCTGCGCCAGTAAAGTCTCAAGCAATCCATCTGAGTTAACGGTGAGAACGGATTGCCCCGGATCTAAACGAGTATTGTCAGTCCCATGATCAGATGACTCCGGACGTTGCTAAACTTACCTATGTTTATAGATTGCTCTTCAGATTCCAATCCAAGAAACCCGATCGGTCCCGAGAATCCAGGAAATCCTTTTGGGGTATCTTTGGTGCCGACGATTTCATCGCGGGGAAGCCCGCCTAAGTGGAGAGCAAGTCCGACATCATTGCCGATCCACCAGCCAATGTCTCTCCGCAGACTGGTATCACCTGGACCTAGCAGCCGAACAATTTTCTGGCTCAACTCCACGTCTTTCTCAAGCCAATCATTCTCTGTCCCAGACCCTTTCGCTGCCTCTCCCTTAGAAACCATCTCCTGAAGCGAGATAGCGCGCATCTCGTGGATATGAAAAAGCCACAGAGACACCGCTGCCTCTATCTCCGCACCATCAGCTTTCCACCTTCCCCCGGGGCTTTTGTAAGCATGAAACTCGATCCTTTCAAATTTTTCGGCTTTTTTATCGTGAAGTTGAACTTTCAGAAACCATGAGAACTTCTCGGCCACGTTTTTAACATTCGTATCGGCACCGATGTGATCGTGTGGGAATAGCGTATCTAAGGTCACGCCGATAGCTCTCGCGACAGCAACCGAAGGTTCTATTGCTTGTCCCGGCCATCTTGTGAGCTGCCCCAATCTCTGCCGTACTTTCATGGCGCGTTGTGCGTCTGTGTACTCGGTTGGTGGATCCATCTCCATGAAGGATCGATTTGTGTCGCGCACGCTGTATTCCCCGCAGTACGCTAAATTTCGGGCATCTGTGGGAATCTTCCAAATCAATCGCTCCGCCGGCGGGGGGGTAAAGTCAGTCTCAGCATGGGCTGGCAAACTAGGTCCACCCGGTTCACCTCCAGAATGAACCGATTGCAATTCGCGTTGCTCTTGGACGAAGTCTCGCTGCAGACGCTCCTTCAGTTCCTCGGCTTCTCATCCAAGTACTTCGTCGTCCGCCGGCCAATGGATGCCTCCACTTTCGTCGTCTCCAAGTTTCTTTGCCATCCACAATGCTAGCCAATCCATTTCATGCTGGGCAGGAACCTGCCTGGGGATCGGAGTCTCGGTGAGATACCGACGGAGCCACGCACGCCAGACCGTCATGAGAGAAACGGCTATAAGCTGAGCGATCGAAGCCGACCAGTTCATACCGCGGAGACCCTGAAACTGAAGAACAAAACCGGCCAGTCCAAAAGATGTTCCAAAGACGGTCACATTTTCGAAAGAGGCGATCCACTGTGCTTTGCGTCTAACCCAGTCCCATAACCCCTTCGGGGGGCTACTAGGTATATTCGGGTCCGAGTCATTTGAGGTCTTGCGGGAGATTTTCGTACGATCGAGGTCATTGTCCCTTCGGGACGTTAGAATGCGGTCAGACTCGTGCTTCCCGAAAATGACGAATGAGTCAAACGTCTGGTCACTGACTATGTGCGATGTCTGCAACCATAGTATGCGGACGGTTTCGGGCTGCTTCGCTGGAGCCTTCGCCGGAGTTTTCAGTTCTTGGTTTCCGGTCTGAGTCTGGGCGGGTGCAGCAGGCAGAGAATGCCCGGCTTGATTTACCGAAGCATCATCATTATCTAGTTCTCCGGTCTGGACGGGTGCAGCAGGCTGAGAATCCCCGGGTTGATCTACCGAAGCATCATTATCATCCTGTCCTCCGGTCTGGGCAGCTGCAGTAGGCAGAGAATCCCCGGGTTGATCTATCGAAGCATCATCATCATCCCGTCCTCCGGTCTGGGCAGCTGCAGTAGGCAGAGAATCCCTGGGTTGCTTTACCGGAGTATCATCATGGTGCTTTAGCATGAATGCCGTCTCCTTGGTGCTTTTCTCCACAATGCCCGAGCAGAGGAACATGCCGATAAAGAGAGCGATGGTCCCGGTGGCCAGAACCGGAAATGGCCATGATCCAACGCCGTCCTTTGGTAGTTTCTCGAGAAGGGCCGGAAGGTAGACTAGAGCTCCACAATAGAATAGCACGCCGACTTGGAGAACTAGACCGCAAATCGCCGCAGCATACAGTTCGCTGACCTTATTGCCGCCGTGGAGGTTCAGCGAAATGCTTGGGGCTGCCTGGGGGCCTCCTATATTGGAAGCCAGTCGTACGTTGTTGAGATCCGGTGCTGGACTGTTCTGCTCCAAGTCCTCGGTTGGAGAATTTCGTTTCACTGGAAGCATGCTGGGTGTGGCCAAGATACCATCCTCTGGGAACACTTGTCAGCGAATTGCGGAAGTCACTGGGCACTGGCGGCAAAAGCCATCAGATGTTCTGGAACGCATACCTCTGGCTTCGAGATGACCGGCTTGCATCGCACTCTCCACAGTATGTAGCCCGAATGTCTCCCCCGTGTCGGTGCCGTCCGCGGATTTGAGATATATTATCTGCTTAATCTCCGGTCTTCCCATCGTCCTGATAATGCCTTGCCCGTTCCAGAGCTCGCACACCTCGTGTGAGGTTGAGGACATCAATTCCACCTCGACGGTTGCGCGGTTCTCGCGAGCCCTTCCGATCAGTGCTTTCAACCACGAGGGGCCGCCGACCCGGATTGCGCCAACGATAGCCGTAATGATTCCTAAGGGTGCCATCGCGAATATGACATTGTCAAGCCAATTCACTTTCCGGCGTTGGCTGGTCAGTCTATCGGATCACTACACGCCCGAGGATAAACCGAACGATAGGTGGAGTGTCAACATACTCGACTGGCTCAAGTATTGCTTTGCAAACTGCTCGCCGAAGAGCGTCAGTAGCCTAGTTATCATGGCCGAACCTCAGTACAAAGACAGAACGCGGGGTCTCGGCCTCCCGTGGAGTTACATACGGCGCCAAATCAGAGAACAGGTTATTCGACATGTCATCGCCGTCGTCCGCCGCCGCCACGACCGATCCCGAGGGAATCACAAGCAAGAGAAGAAAGGTGATCATCATCGGTGCCATCGTCGGATTTGAAAGCTGTACTGCGGGTTACAGAGAGCACACGGGCTGGCAGACTACATATCTGAGGTCCATGATGGAGCCGCAAAACTACCAATGTGCCTCTAGCTGCAAAGTGAAGCAGCTGTTGTCTCTCTTTATTTATTTTTTTGCTTTTTGGGATGTTTTTTTTAATCTTAGCTTTGGCCCCCTCAGCAGCTTGCATGCGACACGTCTCACTGAAATACCTGCACAGGCCCAAACTGGTGGTTCACAATAGTAAGCACGCAGGTCATAGGCGGAGCTGAAGATAGGCATGCAGAACGGTGCTGTCCTATGCCGGTGCCCAAGTCGGTTGGCGAGAAACCATCCTTCCCGATTTCTCGTTCTGTGATTACTCACGCTCTGATAGGATCCTCCGAAGAAAGGGCAGGCCGGGCCCTAAAGACCGAAAAACGGACAGCGCCACGCTTCCACCGACCGAGGCCAGGCATACGCCCACCAGGGAACCAGCAGTCAACGAACAGCCGATCCGATGGCTACTGTTGGTAGTGCAACTACTGCCCCTGGATGACGAGGCAGAAAGTGCTGTGGCACGTGCTTGAGCGAGCAACAATGAATTTTGCCAGATGGAACGCACGCTCGAAGCTCCATCCCAGGTCGATGGAGAACTTTCAGAACCGAGAAGCGCGGGCGGCGGGTGGGGGGCATACCAGGGGGCTTGCAGCAGTAGGCGGGCGGTACTGGATAATGGATGTGCAGTCGACGGCATGGCTCTGTCGGGCCCAATGGTCCGGAATATGTAAGTTCTCGTAAGAAATCCTTGATAGTGCACCGATACTTCTTACGCCTTGCGGATTGGCTGAGAGGGTAAGTATCGGAACCAACAGCATCTGCCAATGTTAACTAGATACTTTTTATAGGGTATTTCCTGCCTCACGAAGGATGCGGAATAACATTGTTCCGCTCGGGCAGAACCCAGACAAGACAGTCCCTTCTTTGCATGATAATGCTCTTTATCCTCAATGTCATACGTCGTCTGAATCGCAAAAGGCCACAAATATTCCCCCTCCAATGCAACATCGAACCCGGCCACTCGCCAGAACCGATACGGTACCGTTCGCGTGGTCTTGGTCTGTGAGTCGTCACCTCGCGAAGGACGCTGGCGAGACGCTAACGCGCGGTGCACTTGCTGATCTTCCGGAACCCAGGAACGCCACTCGGCCCACCAAAACCTCATCAAATATATCTGCGGCTGCTTGTGGCTCCTCGTCGCCACCGACCGCCGTTGGGGAAGTATCCACGTATCGACATCTCCATCAAACCGCTGAGAGTTAATTCTCGAATATCTGTGTCCAGAGCAAGCATCCTACCGTTCTTTCAGCCATCCGATCCGCCATCCGATCAGCAAACGCCTCTGGGATGCATTCTGACGGCGATCAAGACAGCAGTATTGACAGCCACGACACCTGTGTTGGGGTCCGCTATGAAACCTCTAGCCATCTGCGCAAATCTGATGATTCCCACGCCCAGTTCTTCGGAGACCTCGCTTTCGATTAGCAGCCATAGCACGCAGCTCGGAGGTGTTTGTTCTCATTGCCGGGCACCGAAGGGACAACACTCGGGTATTACGGATGGTCGTAGGAGTTCGTGAGCGCTTCGGAGCTATTTGAAGGCGGTAGAATGGTTGCCTCCGCTGTGTCGCCTAGTTTGCGCAAGTTGTCGCCATGCTTTGTTGCAGTATTCTAGTCGGCGGAATGTGTGCACCAACCACGCAGGTCGCTCCTACGGTGGCCTTCGTCGGAGTCCATCCCACCAACGTCCTCAACAGCCATCCTCCCACAAGACCTCACGGAACAACACCCCCGCATTTCAGCTCTCGGCGGCAGATTGTTTCCAATCTTTACCATATTGTAACCTTGGATCCGAACAGTTTTGAAGTCATCCAGGGGAAACCTCTGTGCGACACCTACAAGTATAGAAGTAACAATCTCAGGAGCTAGCGAACGGTATCGTACCGCAAACCTTGACGCCAACGGCCCGAATCATCACCAGATGTACATAGCTCGCCACGGGCCTGTCTAGAGTACAATCGCCATGCGCGCATGCATGACCGCGGCCTCTGCGACCAGCTCAGATGAAAATTAAGGGACCAAGTGAAACAGTCGAAGACCAAGGAATTCATTTTCTCGGGAAACTTCTGGAGTTGGAATCCCCGACAAGGATGAGATCCATGAAGAGATCCTTCTGCTCTGCACCCCTCTGCTTCGCGAACCGGTCGGAATTCACATGAAGACCGTCCTACGGAAGTTTAACTTGGCGGTTGGACGGGACTGCAAGGATTTTGACCAGTTGTTCCACCGTCCACCACTAGTTACGTGACTTGATATTGGTTCTCGGGTTAGTGTTAGCAACTCATCATAAGCGTGGCAGCCCTAGGGATATGAACATAGGGCGTCCAGTTCGTCATTTGGAATGCCCGAGACAAGACGGAATTGACAGGTCTCAAATCATAAAGAACGGCAAGTTTCGGGCTTGACCAGAGGCGGGCCAATACCCCACGAAGCCCCAAGATGGGTGCTCAAGTGTTCATGTACATGTCGCCGCTTCTAGTCCTCCGTTCCCGACTTCCCAATTTATCCTCCTCTGTTCCTCACCTCTCAGGTCTCGCATCATATCTTACATATGCATTACTCGCTGTTCAAGATTCCACAGCATATTTTCGCATGTCTGGACTCTGGTCAGAGCGATTGATCGAGTGTTCAGAGAGGGTAAACGGTACATTCACAATCAGTTTCAAAAAATTGACTTAAAGTACTAGGTCAAAAGTTTTCGTACGATGGCCGTTTTACACCAAAAATGCTCATTTTCAAGTAACCAAAACCCACCCTTCACGTGGCGGAAAAAAATCGAGTCTTTCATAGAAGCTTTAGAATCGCAAGATGCATCACACATAAAAAGTCTGACGACTTTTGCTTCGGGTTGGTGGAGCATGGTACGGTGTTGTGCACGGGTTGGAGAGTGATTTCAGATTTTGTATGGGGCCCCCATACAAAATTATTGCGTGACAACCAGTTTCAACACCAACTTCTCTCCCATACGGCATTACTCAACCACCACCAGTTAAAATTATGTGCCGATTTCCATCGAGGTTCTCTACCTGATTTAGAAGACCTTCTAATGGTCCACATATTTTTATACTACCTTATGGTTGCTGTATCTATGGCGGGAAATGGCCTGTCTCGGTGAAAGGGAAATCCGCCAAGCCACTCTACTTCGCATAAAATAATCCGCCTGGCGAGCTGGAAATCTCATTGAAGCTTTATTAGTATATATACATGATATATGCAAATTATTAGTACTCTCTTAAGTGCGGTTGTTGTGTTATAGAGATATGTCTGTGGTGTGGTGACGCTTTTGGGGAGGTGTACAAAAACTTTTGACCTGGTACTTTACTTTCCATCCCAGCCCAGCGAAATCTGTCACAAGCGATAGGGGGTTTTCCCGGTAGCCCTCCTGCACAGTGAACACCCATGACTAGACCTCTATAGACTAGGTATCCATTTCATATAGCAGCTCTTCCGTACGAGCGATACCCGAGGAAAACGAAGAAGACTACATGAACCACAGATGCATACCTAGTTAAGCAATACAAATAAGAATGTAGAAGCAATTCCACATACCTACGCAGAAAGGCGAATACCATGTAGGAATGATATGGATACCGATTTGGACCTCGAGGCTGGCTCTCATTGTGAACTGTCAACGCCGGCGACGGGCGGTGTTGATTCGTGATTTCGTATATAATTCCGTCAACTTGCAGGTTGCCTAGGTACTTCTTTTTTTTTCCTACTACAAATATCTTCCATCAATGCTCTCCTCTCCTCCGAGCACTCAACTCGTTACCTATTGTGATTACCAGCAGTTCGGTCTCGACACATGAAGTACCTACTAACCTACACCCATAATCCATTATGTAGGATCTGCTCGTGCGCTGTCTGATTACAGTATACCTAGGGGTGGAACTTGGAAGTAGGTAGTCCGTCCAGCCTCCAGGTCACAACCGGTTGCAGTGGGGGATCCCAGTATGTGAGTGTGTAGCAGCGTCCAACGTAAGGCAGAATGAATTATAGCAGCACAACGCTCCCAATCACTACCTGTACATCAAACAAATGCACCCACTACCAGTCTACCATGCTCGCGGAAATTGTTACTACTTAAGCAGTCAGAGGCCCACAGTTCGGTAGCCGTGGGATATCTCAGCCTCTGTTACAACTTACTGCACACGGCCTCGTCCACCAAACACGTATATACAAGCGGTTGAGGCGGATGCTTTCCTTCTTCTTCCTTCCTCCTTCTTCTTCCTTCCTCCTTCTTCTTCCTTCCTGCATTGTACTGTACTTCCGTATTGTAATTTGCACTCAGTTTTCTTCGTAAACGATAAGCCTCATCTTCTTGTTGACTTTCCGGATTAACCACCTAGCTCTTGAAATCCACTGCATAGACCACCGGCCATAACCCTCGCCTTTTTATTCCCCCACACCCCACATCCCAGATGCCCAACCAAACTACATCAACGACCAACCTAAGAACTCCATCCGATTCTCGTCAACCGAGCACACATCGTCTCCACTACCCAGTCTCCACCACACAGCCCAGCCCACAATAACAAGCCTGTATGCTTGCTCGTTGCGACCTTGATTCCCCATAACAACCAATCACAACTGATCACTCACAGCGCCGTCACATCCTCACATCCCAGCACTCGCGTTTATTATCTTCTCGTATGTACTGAGTACTATGCAGCCTGCGGATCGCTCGCTGCCCAGTGCCAGCACCTCCTTACCCCACCGCGGGGCACAGAAAACCAGCCAATGAACTCCACATCCAGCCACATACGCCAGGCACGACACGAGGTTAGCTCGCCACCCACCGGCCACCCTCCGGCTACGAGCCACCAGCCACAAGCCACGAGGTGACGTAACCATACACACCCACCAGGTACCTACATAGCATACCTAATATGTCTGCCCGTTCCTCGTGCCTCAACTTCACCCGATGAGCAGCCTGCGCATCTCGTCATGCCTCAACCTCGCCCGATGAGCCTATATATATACCCATCTCGTCCAGCCTCACATTTCCTGAGATGCCACTCCGTCAACCTTCTACTCCGCCAGATTCCCAGCCGCGGCAATTACAAGTCTCCCAGCCCGCAGCGAGGAACGTCAATGTTTCCTCCCGCCTCCCTCAACCCCCCCGCCTCCCTCATCCCCCGGCTTGGGAAGTTAGTAAGTCTGGCGATGACGTATCATCTTTACATCTCTCCTGCCAACTCCGGGGTGGTCAACTTGCCAGCTTGCTTGCTCGATGGACTTGTCTCGCTGCTCTGCTCTGCCCTAATCGGCGGTAGTGACATCTCCTCTACATTTATACCGGGATATTCCCACTTCCCTGAAGATCTGCATCAGATGTGTTTCGGGTTACACAATCCCGCCACATCATCCCGCCTCATCCCGCCACTTCATCCGCCACTGTATCACGGGCTTATCATCATCATTTCGCTTCACCTCTCGCTTCACCTCTTTCCCACAAATCCTTCCCACAAAGGACGATAAGCACAACGCAACAATCGTCATTTATTCGTAACGGCCAATCAGTTCAGTTCAACACAACTATCAGAGTCACCACTTCAATTCACAATTCCGCCATCTCTCCTCTCGCCGTCTCGCCAACACGCCATGACGCACGCAGTCACCAACCTCTTTTCCCGCCCCACACCGAAGTAAAGAAATACAAAGCTACTTCTCAAGTGTTTCAGCAAGCTCGCACGCCTACTCCTTACTCCTTCTTGACAGTCTGCCCGCCACCGAGCATCTTTCCAACATCGCTGACCTCACCGAACCTCTTGACAAGCGACTTGGCGACAGTCCACGCGCTCTTCGCGCCCTCCGGGACCTTCGAGTCAGTAACGAGGGCATCGCCCCTGAGCTCGAGGCCCTTCATGGCGTCCCTGACAAAGACGCTCTGGGCGTACCTTGCGCGGAGGAAGACGGTGTAGACGACGAGCAGGGTCCACGAGTTCTGGAAGACGAGGCAGTACAGGAACACGCGCGCCCACAGGAACAGCTCCAGGTTTGCGACTAGGTGCATACTGGCGTCGTAGTTCTTCTTAACGAAGCGCGCGATCGTCTCGGCGATGGCGGGCTGCGGCGCCCCCGGTGCGGTAGGCGTGATCGTCGGGATCAGATTCGTGCGAAGGTACGTCAGGAAGTGGAAGGTGCTGTACACGGCGAAGGGCAGGAGCGCGGGGAACACGGGCTTGCAGTAGAGCCAGGTGAAGGCCATCACTATAAATCATTAGACACTATCCTTTCCCCACCGATCCTCTGCTGAGACCTACGAAGGTATTGCACATTCTCATCGCCCAAGATCTTGATAGCCCCTTGCTGTCCGGTGGGCATGTTTCCGCTCCTGAACCTAGCACGATAGGCCTTGTAGACGACGATGCCATAGGTAGCGGCGGCACTGAGGAACGCCAGACGGTAGCAGATGCTCGCGCCGGTGGTGTTCCACGAAAACTTTGCGATCGAGAAAGTGTAGAGGAGGGTAGTAGTGAGGAGCGTCAAGTGTCTTTAAACGAATCAGATCAGGATGATACTTCTGGTTGAGCAGGATGGGAGAGAACTTACCCGACAAACCACGCAAATTGCAGCGTCTGCGCAAGGTTGGTGAGCCTCACGGTCAGCGGCTGAGCGGCAGGGGGAGCTGCGGCGGCGGGAGTCGACATCTCTTCCGCTCTGGCTGGCTTTTGTGTATGTGTTGTTATTGGGTTGTGGATTGGGTGTGTGTGTGTGTGTGTGGGGATAAAAGTTTGTCGCAGCTGTTGATGGGAGAAGGAGGAAGGAAGTAGAAGAAGAAGAAGAAGAAGAAGAGGAGTAGAGGAAGGAAGGAAGGAAGGGGATGATGACGGGAGAGGGGGGGCTAGCGAAGGAACCGGAAAGCATGCAAGTGGTGGCTTGTCCACCGACCGACCTTCGACCTAACTACGGAGGACTAACGTCACCCACTGCGACCCACTCTCACGCAGTTGCACCCACCCAACTCCCAACCCATCCTGCGAGGCCAATGAGCAGCACACCAATCATCCATCCAGGAACCAAGCAGACATCACTCACTCATGCCACCTTTCCTCTTCTCTTCTCTTCTTTTCTCTCTTTTCTTTTCTCTTCTCCGTTTTTTGTTTCCAGCATCCCCATCCCGATCCATTTTTTCTCTCTCGCTCGTGTGCTTTTTTTTTCTTCCCATCCGCATCCGAACCGTGCCCACGCCAGCCATGCCAAGGAGCGCCACACTCTCGCTCCAGATGAAGCCACAGTGACGTTTTCCTCTCGTCTCCGCCTAGCCATGCATCGCACACGAGCCATCACTGCTAAACTGTCAAACTGCGTCGCCTGTTCCCATTCTCGCACCGAGCTCGTCTATCAACTCGCTCGCCTGCCAATCCACGCTCGCCTGCAACGGTGCGAGGCTGCAACGGTTCAAGGCTGCAAGGCTGCAACTATGTCACGAGAGGCAGAGGGAGAGTGTCTACAAATAGCATCACTCGATAGTCGACACATAATACATATTGTCCAGTGCCCACATCCTTCACATGCAATAGTTACGGTCCAGTGGTCCGTGCCAACACATCACCTCCCACATAACATCTCCTCCTACATGCATCCATACCTACTCTGCATAGCACTATAGCACCTACATACCTGCGATCACGATCCTACGCATCCGTCTACTCTTTTTTCTTCATATGCATAGGGTATCATATCACGATTCACGATCCCTCATCACCCCCACATTGCACATTGGGCACAGTACGCAGAAATTTTTGGATAAAACGTTTCTCACACGCACACACACACACAGCACACACAGAGTTTCACACTTACAGCACAAAAAAAAGACCCGAAAGAAAAAAAAAAGAAAAGAGAAAGGAAAAAAAAGAATAACTGCGTTATACTAAACGTTGTAAACCAAGAAACATGGCATAGGTATCGGGTGAGTTAGGGAGGACGAAGCAAAGCAAACAAAAAGGTAAAAAGCAAAGTACAGAGGGAATAAAAAAAAAGGGTAATAAACAAGAGAACAACCAGGGTGCTCGCTTGCAAGGCTGGAGGATCGAAGGGTGAAGGGTGAAGGAGATAGTTAGAGGTCGAGTAAAGTAGGTGGTGTAGAGAACACACAAAAGGAAGACAATGAACGGTTGACGAACCCACCAGGCGCACGGAAGCAAGCAAAGCAAAAAGAAATGAAAAGGGAAAAGTTATCAAACAACCATCCATCGTATCCCGCACATCGATTCGAGACCCCCCTTTTCTTGCGTGCAAAAAATTGACGGCAATGGAAAGAGAAAAAAGACGCAAAATCAGTAACTTCTTCCGTGGTATACCCGACATTCCGCAGCCCCAATATCCCCCTCCATCCCATGCCATTACTCTCTAGCGACGACGAGGCGACTACATGTTGAAGGCTTAACGCAACGAGAACCCCTTCCGGCCCTTCTTCTCTTCCAGGGGTCGGCCGCTCTCGATCCGCTGCTTCTTCTCCTCGAGCTCGAGTCTCTGCCTCTCGAGCTGCTCCTTCATCTCGCGATGACGATCGTATAGCTCCTGCTCGCTCATCTTGAGCTTGCTCTCCTTCTCGGCCACCTTCTGCTGGAAAACCATCTTCATCTCGGCCTCCATCTTGGCGAGCTTCTGCTCGTGCAGCGTGCGCTCCTCCTCCTGCTTGACGGCGGGGTTGACCTCCTTGAACACCGACGGGTCCTGCTCCACACCCATGGCGGCAAGCTTCTCGGAGCGGTAGTTCTCGTACAGCATGTTACTAGTATGCTCCTTGAGCTCCTCCATGTGGGTGCGGATCAGCATCTGGCGCAGCTTGACGAAGTCACAGTGCTCCTCGTTGTCGACCTCAATCACACCCCAGGGGTAGCGACGACCGCGGATCTTGCGTCCGTCGGCGGACTGGACCTCGTTGTTGGCTCCGACAACGGCGAAGGGAACCTTCGACATGATCTCGTTGTTCTCGGCGATGGTCTCGTCGTCGTCAAGATCGTAGCTGGGTCCCTCGAAGATGTGGATCTTGTGGTGATTAATGTCGGCGAGAATCTGTCGAATTCAATTAGCTCCAGATCGCTCACCCATCTCACACGTGCACGTAAACATACCCTGAGCTTGAACGCAGAAATCTCCTCGTCGGTCAAAGTATCCGCCTTGGCGATGACGGGGATCAAGTTGACCTTGGTATGAAGCCTCCTCATCACCTCGATGTCCAGGGGCTTGAGCGAGTGACCAGTAGGCTGGATGAAGTAGACGCACGCATGGATGCGGTTGTCGATGATGTTCATACGATTGACCTTGTTCTCGGCCTCGAGGTAGGCGTCAAAGCGCTGCTCGATGTTGTCGACGATCGGACGCCACGACTCGTCGTTGTTCACGAAGTCTCCGAATCCAGGGGTGTCGACCACGGTGAGACGCAGACGGACACCGTTCTCCTCGAGCTCGGTAGAGATCGACTGGATGGCCACAGTCTTGGGGATGATGTCGGCGGACGGGCCCTTCTGCTCCTTCGGGGGGTATAGGGAAGTGTTGAACAGAGTGTTGACTAGGGTCGACTTTCCAAGACCAGATTCACCTGCAAGTCGTGACGCCCAAAACATCAGCCATCCATCACAAATCATGCAGGGCACGTGTGCCGCGCGAAAACAGGCGAGTGAGGAATGCGCGCGGCGGAAATCTCCGTTTCAGGGCAAGACATACCGACAACCATCACGTTGAAGTTGAACCCTTTTCGTACAGACTTCCGGTGCCACTGGTTCGGCAGGTTGGCGAAACCGACGTAGCCAGTGAGCTTTCGCCTAACGATGTTCTTCGCATCTGCGGCAGCGGCGGCGGCAGCCTGGGCGGCGGCCTTGGGGTTCGTTGACGCGACGAGCGGCACCGGAGGGGGAGGAGACGAGGGGGACTCGACAACACTCATTTCTGGGTTTCCGTTCTCTATTGTCGCAGCAGCCGGGAGAATGTCAGTCAACGTAGATTTGAGAGCGGCAAGCATGAGAGCGTCGAGAAAGCAAACAGACAGTATCGATGGGAAGGAGAACGGCGTATGAGCAGAACGTGATGAGAGATGTAGATGGCGAGGATGGGCGGAGGAGACAAGGGGGTAGGGGGGGTTAGTTGGGGGAAGGTAGATGAAGGGGGGATAGTGCTGCTGAGATGAGGGGGCAGCAGCTGCTGCGTTATAGCAGCGTAGGAGCGAAGGAGGATTGGATTGGCCAGGGTGACGTGGTGCAGCAGAGATCCAGGGACTTTGAATTTGTGACAGACACCACTGGATGATCCCCAGTTTGCCGAAACCGCAGCCGATGCCCAGCACCCAACAACGACAGCCCAATTCCCCATAAAGAACCGACCCCCAACCAACTCTTCTCTCTCTATCTCTCGCTCGGGTGCTTGCGCTTGAAACCGCATCACCACCCCCCATACTCACACCCGCCCTAGAAATAGAACGAGTGCAGTACATCGGGCAGAGAAGAAGAAAGGGGAAGGGAAGAGGGCGTGAGCTCGCTACACACGACACGTCCAAAGCACGCACGGCGGCGGCGAAGACGACCGTTGAGCGCACGCATCACGCGTCTCAACGGCCAACAGCAGCGGTTGTACGACATAACGAGAAACGAAGCAACGTACCCATAGTGGTGGTTGTGGTGGTGGTTTATCGACGACGGAAGTGGTGAACGTGGACGAGGAGTCGGCGGCGGTGGTGTGTATGGTGGGAGGATGGAGGAGTAGGGGTCGCGTTCTTCAGTGATTCTTCTACTATGCAGCGCAGCAACCATGTTAGCAAGCCAATCCAGTTCCTCCGAATCAATTGAAGCCAGCCAGCCAGCCAACATCGACCTCGACTCAGGGGCTAAGCAGCCCCTCGACAATCCTTCAGGTTGCGTACCCTCAAAAGCCAATGGTGCGTGCGAGAAGTGAAGTGAAGCAGAGCAAAGCAAAGCGAAAAACAGAAAAGGAGTGACGAGTTTGTTTGTAGATGTGTGGAGTGTGGAGTGGAGTGTAAGGGGCTTTCAATCGAAGAGCAGAGCAAATGGACAAGGAACGTACAGAGAGCAGACAGAAGCTAAGCCGCAAGAAAAAAGCGGGTGGGAAGGAACTGGCACTTTTATTCGGGAGATGGGGAAGAATGAGAGAAGGAAGGCAGGAAGGAAGGAAGGAAGGAAGGAAGGAAGGAAGGAACGAGGAACGAAGTGTGGCGGAGGTGGAGGGAGGAAGGAGTAGGTAGGGCAAATGGGAAGGGGCAGCAGCAATTGCAAGCAAGACAGAGAAGAAGAAGGAGATGGACTCAGAGATGGACGAGAGTCAACTGCACTGGATTGGGAAACAACTCATTCCTGTCAAGCCGTGTCCCCCTCCCCCGAATTCGAAGCTCCAACAGCTTCATCTCTCGTCTGCATCATCTATCTCCATCCATCTTCTCATCGCAACCTTCACACACAAGAAAACAGACACACACACTCAAAACGTACCTCGAATCTCGTCTCGCTCGCACAAACAATTACTTCCCGCTTATTGCTGTTGCTGCTGCTGCTGCTGCTGCTGCTGCTGCTGTTTATGCTGTTGCTGCTGCTGCTGCGTGGTGATATGATTGATATGATAGATAGCTGCGTGCTTACTGCTTTGCCGATGGAAGTAGTGTGTCCAGTCCCTCTCCTTCATAGAGACGGAAAAAAAGGGGGGACGGACACTCGCACTGACGCCAAGCTTAAATCAGCACTTTAACGCTGCCTGCAGCATCGCTCCCTCCCTTCCTCCCTGAGCCCTCCCTCCCTCCCTGGGACGCCCTGACCGAAACATCGCCAGCGAGCGAGCGAGCGAGCAAATCTCCCGCGCGCTCCTGGGGAGATGCGTGCTGCCAGTGCCAATGCCAATCAATGAGTCCGTCACTTACTGGTATCTATCGCCCGCCTCCAATTGGAATCCCCCACTTCCAGTCCTTTACTCTCTCTTTCTACATCTCTCTCTCGCTCGCTTTCACACATCGTCCTCCCAGCCAGCCAGCTCCAATTGAGTTTCGCCCGACCTCCGCCCGTTCTCTGTAACTTCAGGGACTCACAGCTCGCACGCGAAACGCCGCCAAGCCGCCAGACTGCACAGAGCCACTTTCCGACAGTCGACTTTCCCAGGATGTCGCAGAGCCTCAAAGCGAGCGAACCCCTGAGTTTGTCAGGCCAAGTCAAAAACGTCAGGCGAAAGGCTAACTAGTGAGAGGCCAAAAACGGGTGAAGCTTCAATCAAAAACGTGATCAGTTCAACGGGAAAAGTTTAGGTAGTTAAGGGCGATGATGATGATACATGATAAAAGGGGATGATACAAGGTGGTGATCTGAAGATCAGGTCCCATCAGGTCTCTGTAAGGTCTCCTCTCTTCGAAGCTCACGATGACACTAGATATGCCGCCTCTGCCCTCCGCGCACCTCGCTATGTAAGAAGGACTGAGGTCACGCAAAGTTATTCGCATCTGCAGATAGGTGGGGCGATATGTAGAATATATACAAGCACGGAGCTCGAGGATCAAAGGTGCAGACAGTACTTAAGCAGAGTACTTCAGCGGAGGCTGTTCTATGTAGTACTTGCAAGAGTATCATACACTCCATCTCCATTTCAAAGACAATCGCAGCAGCAGCAGCAGCAGCACGGGAACATCCCCATCCCCATCCTCACCCTCACCCTCACCCGCACACTCACCTATCACCCCATCGAAAGCAAGCAAACTTTCGTACAAATCTCATCAACACATACCATGTATTCTATCTTCCCGCCCTGCCCCCCTCCCCATTTCAAACCGTAAAAAAAAAGAAGAAAAACCCATCCATTTATCCACGTAACACACCCACTAAGTACATAAAAATCTACTGCGCCTGCTGTAGCCCAGCCTTCTCCATCTCGACCCTCATCTTCTCCTGTTTCTCCTCCTCATTCCTCTTACGCTCCTTCTCGTCCTGATCCGGGCGTCTAACGGCGATGTCCTTAGGGCGGTAGTCACTAAATGCCGCCTTGAGGACCTTCTCGATGACCCAGCAGGCGGCGTAGTCGAGCGCCATAGTAACCGTCATGGTGATCTTGAACTCGTCCGTGAACGGCACGAGCTTCAGCTTCTCGTTGATCTCGGGGATGAGTTCTGTCGAGCACGAGAAGGCGACTGCGGCGACGCCAACAAGGCCCCAGTACATGCCGCGGTTCTCCTTGATGCTCTCGCGGAACGGACGGCCCTGGTAGTTGATAGCGAAGGTCGAGATCTGCTGGATCAGCTGCAGGAGGTAGATAGCGGAGTTGAGCAGCGAGGGCGAGAACTCGCCCTCGAGGTCGACGTTGGGGTCCTTGGGCTCGAGCACCGCCACGTAGCGCGAGATGTAGATCAGCGAGATGATGTGCACGGCGAACTGCCCGAGCACGCTGCCGATGATGTACGGGTTGAAGATGTTGGGCTGCGGACGCTCCTTGCTGAGCTTCTCGACGGACTTAGCGCGCGAGAGGGACAGGAAGCACACGCTCATGAGCATGCCCGAGATGGTGACCTGGCCGTCGCCGAACTTGATGCCGTCGAGGTACAGCACCGAGAGGGAGTACGCCGAGATCAGGCAGTTCAGCGCCAGGATCTTGTACATCTGGATGGTGGCGACGAGCGTGCAACGGCCTTGGCGGATGATGTTCGGGATCGCGATGACGTTGGCGAGCTTGCTGGTGAACGGTGCGGCAACAGAGGCGTCGCCGAGCTTGATCGACGGCGGCTCGGAGTCTTCCTCCATTTCCATCATCGAGCCCATCATCCGGTCGGCCAGCGCGGCGCCCTGGTTGGCGACCGCCTGCTGCTGCGGGGTGTTGCGGCCGGGGTTGTTCGTCTTCTGGAGAGCACGGGCACCGGGGGTGACAACCGTCTCGATCGCCGTGTGGCCGAGACGAGCAGCGAACTGCTCGACGGGAACACCCTTCTTGGTAGCTTCGCGCTCGATGGCGACTTGGTAGTGGGGGTTTCCGGCTCCGGGAGGGTACAAGTGGGCGATATGGGCGGGGGGAGGGGGACAGGGCTGGTTGAAACGCTTGGTGATCGAAACCTGCTTCTCGTACATCTCCTTGAACTTGGTCACGCGGTAGTGCTCGGCGATCTTCTGGAGGTCTTCTTCGGATCCGTTGAGGAGGGCGACTCCGACGTGCGCTTGCTTGAGGGCACCGACGTCGTTGGTTCCGTCTCCGCACATGAGCGTGGTGTATCCGGCATCTTTGAGGACGGTGAGAATGAATTCCTGTAAAGAAGATTAGCATCAGCATCATCATCTCGTAATTTTCCACGCGAGTGGAACATACCTTCTGAACGGGCGAGACACGAGCGTAAACCCACGTGTGCTTCAAGAGCTGGACAAGATAAGGCTGATCCTGGACCTTGCTCAACGCGTATCCAGTGATGCAGATATCATTATCCCTCAGAATCTTCGGGTCCAGGGGGTCTAATGCCTTGACGGGAATGATGATGGTCTCATCGACACTCCTCCACACCAACTCGTGTGGCGAGTTCTCATCCTCAGGCGCGTCCAAGATCAAAACATCGCGATCAACGATCTCGACTTCCCTGGCAACGTGGACGGCAGTAAGTGGGTTATCACCAGTGATCATGACAACCCTGTGCGAGCTCTCATTCAACATGCGGACGGACTTCTTCGCATCATCCTTGAGCGGGCAGCTGAGGACCAAGAAACCAGCAAAAGTAAGATCGCACTCGACCTCCTCGCGGCTAAGGCTATTGACCCTCTGGATGCTCATCTCGCCGTCGGTAGTCACCTGCTTGTAGCCCAGCGCGAGGACACGGGATCCCATGCGAGTGAAGTACTTGAAGGTGTCCTCGTAGTCGTCCGGCACATGCGTGAGCATTTTGCGGATCGTCTCGGGGGCACCCTTGACTCCGACGAAAGTGGCTTTCTTACCGCCGGCGACCATGATTGTGGCGACGGAGGACTGGCGCTTAAGCGCGGAAGAGAACTGGAAACGACGCTTGATCTGAACAACACCAGAGGCGACGGCAAAACCCTTGCCGGGAATCTGCGTGGTTGCCTTGGATGTGAGAGTATCGCGGGCACCGAGAGTCCATCCGAGAGCTTGAAGGGTGGCCTTCTCCATGGGATCTCCGACGATCTCGCCCTCGTCGAGCTTGACAAGGGCGTGGGCGGTGGCAAGGACAAAGGTGGTCTCTAGTCCAGCGGTCTCGACCTTCTTCAACTGCTTGTGGTCACCCTTCGGGCCAATGCCGGCAATACCCTCAACGACGAGATCTTCACCGGTCAAGGTGCCAGTCTTATCGAAGCAGCAAATGTCGACGCGTCCGGCGAACGGAATGCGGAACGGCTCGGTGCAGTAAATCGCGTACTTTCCAAGTGCCGCGAGAGACGTGTTGACCGCCAGAGACAGCTCCATAGGCAGCTCCGGGGGAACAACAGACGTGATGATGAGAACACAATCGAGCAACAGCTTGCTCCTCTTGCGGTCCTTGATGACACCTTCGGTCCAGACGTACCAACTCGCGGCGATGGCGAACATGAGAAGGAACAGGATGAACAGCAGCGCCTCGGCGTTGTTGGCCGAGACACGCTCCGTCGAATAGATCATGGTGCGGACGAGGGAACCTTGCGAGGTCTCGAATCCAGTACGCGTAACGACAGCCAAACCGCCATTATCGGGAGGAGTGGGAACACCGTTTCTACTTGCCGAAATTGACTCCTCCTCGTTTGCCGTGTTGTGGGTGATCTGCAGGACCTTGGTACCGCCGTAGAGCAGCGAGTTCTTGTCCATTCCTTCGGGCTCAAGGGTAGCATCGCCAGCGCGGAGCGCGATGGAATCCTTCAGAAGCGGCGTGGACTCTCCAGAAAGCATAGCCTCGTTGACGATCACCGTTCCGGAGAGCAGGACCATATCACAGGCAATACCGGAGTCCTCCTTCGTGCGACCGACAGAGACCAAATCGCCCGGAAGAAGCTTGTCGCTCTGGATCTCGGTCCATTTTCCGCAGCGGAACACCCAGAGATCGTACGGCTTAATGCTCATTCCACGGAACTCGGTGAGTGTCCTCTGACGCTGCCAGACAACCGTAGATTCGAAGGCGACCAGCATGAACAGCGTGAAGAGCGAATAGTACCAGAATTCATCCAAGCACCAAAGACCGACACAGAAGATCTGGAAGACGAAGAAAGGTGCGACCGCGTGCTCCTGGAAGAGCTCCGAGAACGTGGGAACCGGGATATCGAACGTATTGTCGCCATAGTGGTGAAGCAGGTGATTGATCACCTTGTCGCTCTGAAGACCCTTGGATAGCTGGAACTGGGAGAGCGTAGGAGCAGCATCGATCGGGTAGACGAGAGGCGCAAAGGAACCAGTTTCGGGGTTGTAGATGTAGCGACGCTTCTGGAAAAGAAAAGAAATCTCATCCTTACCCCCAGACTACAGACCCCCCACGCAGCACATCAGCACCAAAATGAGAGACGCGATGCGAGGGGACAACGAACCTTATCGTGAATCAGATTGCAAATGTCGGCAGCACCGGAGTTCGCCACCGGGATGACCTTGATCTGTTTCGCGTCCTCCACTCGTGTAGCCTACAACCCGTATCAGCACACCATCGACTCGCAGCGAATTTTGTTCTTCCGGTCTCGCGCCGCAGGAGACGCCGTGCGTTCCATACCTTGCTGCCCGTCGCCATAGCTCTCCAGCCTATACTCCAGTGACATCCCAGCCATATGAGCGCTTGGACCGTCAATATGGTGCCGAAGTAGAGGACCGTCCATTCCTGGCTCTGTATATGTTTATCGTAGGTCTCCTGGCGGAGATAGAAGCTGAAGAACGCAGGGTATGCGGCGAGGAACGGCCAGTTGTACAATCGTAATAACGGCGGTAATGGATTTAGAAGCGACGCTGAAGCGATCTGTGGGGAATCTACGAGCGCCGGCCTGGAAGAGGACTGTGTCAATATGTGATCTCTCCAAGGTCCGGAGGAGGGAGTGTGCGGCGGGCAGACTGACATGGTGGCGGTAATGTGGAAAAAGGCTTTCACCAGTCTCTGAGCTCAAGCTCCTTGACCGTGACAAGCTCGAAAGGTACAGCCCGTGGAAGAAGAGGGTTCGGTGACAGAGACCGAAAGTAATGAGGAACGGAAGACAAATGGGATAAGGGAAGGGATTTGTAGGCCGCAGGTCCTCTCTGTCGGCAAAGAGGAACACGTTGACGAAAGAAAGGAGATGACACAAGGACAACATCCAAGAAAAAAAAGAGCCGCATGCCGAGTCACCTACATGCACTCGACCGGAACATTATCGGCTCCTTCCGTTGCACTAGCGGTCACTCATACTCGCCCACCGCAACTCCGTTGTGAATGATGAGGAATATGATTGAGGAGAGAAGCCGAGAGCCTCCGAAAGTATAGACGATAGGGTAAATACCCGTGACTAATATATTGCAACACATTCTTCGAGATCGAACACACGATACGGTACCTACATGTCGCATATCTACGAGGTACACGGGATTTTGAACAGGACCAGGATAACGCACTTGCCATGTTCTAGCTATTTCACACGCATTGTCCCCATTATCGCATCGAACCATAGTGAGTGAGATAGGTACGACACGACCAGTCCTATACTGTGACACATCCCCTTAACGGTCGAGTGGTGGATGGCACTACGGAGAAATCCGTCTTCGATATCATTTAGGAACCCAGAAGTGCAACTTCTCCGTCCACCCAAGAAAGTTTAGATGCGTGTCCTTAGACACCATGCAACGATGAGGCGACGGAGCCTCGCCAATCGAAACCAGCTCGGAATCCTCTTGTTCGCGCTCAAACACGTAGAACGATAGGATCTCCTTCCACCCGGAGTGATTCAGTGGCTCGCCAAATTGGACCATCGTTCGGTGGGGCGTCTGGGCATGAGCCACCGATACTCGGACGGTCGCGCCACAGATGTTGGGATATAGGTACGCTTTGAAGCTTGTCCGCGCCGTCCAGCCGCTGTGATCTACGGGCTGTCGTGAGAACAGGCAGCGGTGCGGTTGGAACGCTTCGCCTGCATACACGGTGACGGTGTGCAGCTCCTCCTAGTATGTCAGGGCATATCCGAGCGTAAAGCTTAGGATTGGGTGTTAGATGTAGTAGCTACCATAGGAAATTTGGAATTGAATTCAGAGGGCTTCATGTATGGCGAGACCACATCGCTTTCCGGTAGGAGCGCTGCTTGATTAACCTAACCACGTTATGCGTCATTAGTATCGTACGATAAAGCAACTTTGCTCATCTAAGTAGGTACTGATAGTGATAGGGGAAGAATTTCGTACGTTTGTTTGAAGAACCTCCAGTTCATTTTCGCAGGCAGCTATGCCGTTGCTCAAGGCTACCGAACCGCCGACTAAGATATCCGGTGTTTGGCGGTCTTTATGTAGGTAGTTAGCGACGAAAAAGGTATTTTTTAGGTTTCAATACATGTCTTGAGTAGAGAATACAGTAACTGATACTCGAGGTAGGCATCCAACATACGATATGTCTGTTGTACATACTCTACTCAGTCACACTCTCTACCGGATGGAATCATACTCACCGTCGACCGCATCGCGAGGATCTGATAGTCGAGCGGTTTGAAACCGATTGAAGCTTCGTTGAAGCTTCTCAACTCGCGATACCGAGTGAGGACTGCACTACTCGGCATCAGCACATTACGATCAGCAAGCGGCAGCAAATGCAGGGTATTGGATCGAGTCTTCTCACAAAAGTCTAGTTGGAACCAGCTTCAGTTTCGAGCTCTCATCGAAGCGAGCCAGATATTGTGGCAGACCCTCCAAGTCCAGTTCACCGCATTGCACACCTCCTGCTTGTGCGACAACGGAAACCTCGCTGGAGGATGTCATTTGCTTCAGTTTCGCCACTGCTTCGCTGAACTCGACATCCGCTGCTGCTACTCCCCTGATACCAAAGTTTCGAACACCAAGTGCTGGGCCTGCACTGTTCCATCTGATCAGTGGTTGAAGGGACAGGTATTTGCATATCCAGAAGCTAGGAGAAACGTACAATCTTTGCAGCTCAGATACATTGATCCCCTTCTTAGCGGTCAACGACACGACCACCATAAGTTCGGTTCCCTCGATAAACCCTACGCAGGGTGTCAGGAACTACTAGTAGTGTACCGCCCCACGATCACAAATCGCTTTCCTCTGATGAAGCAGTCACCGTAGAGCATTCTATCGCTCCTATTCTCAGCCTTCAGATACTGAAACTCCACGTGGTCCCAGACGTGCCGTTGCCGGATGGACGAGGTGATGACATAGTTGAGGGTGCCTTCTCCAAACTGCGCATACCGGCCTTAAGCGTCAGCCCCAAGCGATCAGATATCAGAGCACTTTCCGCCAGCCTGCGTGCCTTTTTCTGGCTGAAAAACGAAAACCTCGAGGACACACTAGCGAGTCCGTGTTTGATGACCGCGCCGGGGCTGATATGTTGCGACGAGAAAATATCTCTGAGTCGAGGCTCATTAGCTGAGGAATCGACATTGGCTGTAGCCTGTATGTAGCATTGAGGTCCGCACCTGTAGTTCTCCACGAGCTTGCAGCTGTAGTTGGTGGACTGTGGACCCCGCGACGCCTCCCCGACCGTGACGGCATCGGCCATACACGTCTCCTGAAGAAACGAGTTGTATCTACAGTACCGATGGCGGGTGTTGCGTCAGCAGCGGAAACTCGCTGTGCCGGGAGTTGAAACGTACCCCATGCCTGTGCCGTATGTAGATGCAACCGTTAGGATACCGCGCAGCTGAGACATCGACGGAAGATCTTACCGGGCTGCATGGAAGGCATGTAAGGAGCCAACATATCCATCATACTGGTACCAACTTGAAGTTCTGTGGTCTTGGTGGAAGCGGGTGCGATGATGGACTTGGGACGATAATGTGTGACGGGGCTCGACATTGAGGGGAATAGCAGGAAGACGATGGTGCATGGTGCCTATTGCGCACGTACGACTGGCGAGCCCGTTACCCCACTGCTGCCGTGCCGCCGGTGTGTAGACAGAGTAACGAATCACAGGACAGATAAATCGTAACACAGTGCAACGGTGTAACCAACCATTGAAGATCCCTTCCAAAGCCACGCAGTACAATACATATCCGTAGCATGTCTGTGATGTCCTGCGGCTGAGCGTAGAGTGTGGCGCTCTGTAATTGTGTCTCTTTTTTTGGACATAGTCTAGACCGAATTCCGAATAGACAAGAATGCGTGAAGCGAGTGATACGTCATGATAAATAATGCAGTTAATGTTTGTTTGCGTACACCACGTCTTACTCACAGTACGTATTGTTGAAACTAGAGGGTGTCTACCATATGTATACCGAATTTAGTGACGGGAATATTCTGCTCAGTACCGCATTTCTTCCGTCGGACTTTTGTCGTCGTAATTTTACTACAGTCTAGCAACTACTTGGTTAGCATGACAGCGTTTTCTCTGCACCACGTTGTTGTGCGAATAGGGCAGTTCTCTGGTAGTTCTCTGCTATTCTGGACAATGCGTAGTATTTTGCATTCGGAGAAACTGCAGAAGAGCTTCCGGCTTTTTAGTAAGCGTACTAGTAAACATCCGTGTGGCGACCACACGGTGTGTGGTCATTAAGCCAGCGCCACTTAATGTAAAGTCATAAGTATGTACGTTGCAATACTTGCTGAATTTTGGGCGCCTCATAGAAGAAGCAGCGAGCTTTTCTTCCAAGAAGTGAAGTGCTTTGCACCCTGAGCACCCATAAGTGAGACCGGAGAGCGTATGGCGTAAAGGTAGATTTGCTCCTAGCAGCCACTGCCGTGCTGTTGGTAGTGCCTGAATCGGATCGAGAAGCCTGCTTGGACCAGGCCGGCTGGTAGTATTTGCCGTGCGTTGGGCGTCGCGCGCTCCACAACCATTACACTCTTTGTATCGTACTCCAGGTTTCCAGAAAGCAAACGCAATGACGGAAAGTGATTGACGGCAGGTTCTGCAATACGCGGTATCATCGCCAGAGTGAGCTGGAGCAGGTACAGTCGGTTCAATCTGTAGATCTAGTGGCATCATAACTTCTGCGGCATCATTCGAAATGCGATCTTGAAACAGAGGCTGAGTATCTGCTTCCACGCCTTGTAGTGTTCTGAAGTAGCCAAGAGAGAAGGTAGCGGGTTGAGGTCGTGAAGCACTTCATCGCTTAGCACTACTATCCTGATAAATTCCATTCTATTAGAGTTCACGGAGATCTACAAATCTAGAAGTGTAACGGCAGCGCAGTCGCTCCGCAGTATCGTCGCTAAAGCTCCTCCACGGCTCCGCTCCAAAATATTAGGGCTGGGCAGTCGCTTCGCTCCAAAATCCGACGGTCGGAAACATAGGGTTGAGCCACGGAAATCGCCACCATGAAACGCTACACCGGCTACCGTAAAACCCCACACCAGCCACCGCAAAATGCCACACCACTGCCCTTTATAGGAATAGATCTTTACAACACTGCGTATAATTTTTCGATACTGTAGAATTGAGACTATAGGAAAAAACATATACTAAGTTAAATCTGTATTCTCCTGAGACTGCTGGTTACAAATTTGTGCGGTAGTACTACTGATGACCTTCGGCTTTTCTCGGACTCTTCAGACCGAAATTTGGATTCGTCGAGTGACATCGCATGTACCTACTTCATGACACCAGCCCGAAAATAGGGTGGAGCACTGGAGCCAGCTCGGGCTCACAATCACTGTCACAGAGCTCGAGCATTTGCTTTCGCATGATCACGGGCTATGGTGGTACGTAGATCGACCTTTCGATAACCATGGTTGCTACCTGTGCTTGATGTAGAGTACACAACAGGACCGAGCAGCACGAGCTCGGAGTCGCAAATGGTGGGTCGTCCATCATCCGTGTGGTTCGCCAGGCCTAACGAATGCCCGCGGCTGGGCTGCACCTACCTAGGTAGGTACTACCTATATGTGAAGTGTTTTCTCGAATCTGGAGTAGCATTGAATCGGTATACTATCTAACCACAGGCAAGTGGCAACGAATGATCCCCCGTGTACAATACATAGGATGAGAAGGAGCGATCAGGGGCCATGCTCAGGTTTGATTGGTGGGCTGCAAGCACAGAAGCGAGCGCCTCCCGCCTGCAGGATTAATAATAATGGCACAGGGTGATAGACTGATAGTTCGCGATATGGAGCAACGCTACAACGACGGAACACATCAATTCTTTGCGCGAAACCACAGCGCGTGCCTCTTCGGTAGTAGGTACGACTTGATTGAGCACATATATATATACATATAAAAAGGCTTACATACGATATCATCCAGACATTAACGATTAAGTGTTTTGAAAATGTGCACACTCTTTACAGCAGTCCAACCAGAGCGACCAGACCAGCCACAGCCCCCACAAGCACCCCAGAACCACCAACCGCCGCCGCAGCAGCACCCGTTGGTGTTGGCGTCGATGTGGCGGCTGGCGTCGGCGAGGCTCGAGTCGACGTGACGATTGCGGTCGAGACCGATACTATGACGCGAGGGGTGGGCGTTGTGTTTGCCGAGCCCGAGCCCGAGGCGGTGGCCGTCTGGCTCGCCTCGCCCTCACCGCTGCCGCCGCCGGTGTTGGTAGCGGCGGCGAATATTTCAGTGAGCACGACCAGATCGCTGTGGAGGCCAGTGCGGGCACTCCCCTGCAGGTACGACTGCGTGGACACGAAGTCGACGTAGATGGAGAGGTACTCGTCGACCGCCGCGGACGACGCGGACTTGATGCTGGAGTATACCTCGGCCGAATTGGTGGCGGTGCTGATGACGGAGAGGACCGACGGGGCGAACTCCGGCCCGTCCTCGTAGTATGTCTGTGTGCTGTAGTACTCGGCGCGGAATGAGGTTCGGGCCGACGAGAACGAGCTCCAGCCCGGGTCGTTGGTGTATGCCGTTGAGATTTTCGAGACGAGTGACGTGATGACGGCGTTGTTTCTGGCCGTGTCAACACTCGTGGAACGGATTGGGGGGTGGGGGCACTTGTGGACTCACTGGCACGCCGCCAGTGCGGCGAAGGAGATTAGGAGCGGGATGGTGCGAGTCATTGTGAGGAAATTTTCGAGATGTCGAGAATGGCTTTGACGGACGAGCTGTTGATGGTGGTGGTGGTGGAGCGACGGCGAGAACGGACGCACCGGACGGGCCGGACGGGCCCTTATATGTACAAAGAGTAGTTACGAAAACACTCAGGCAAGGTAACTATTTGTGACGATTAGGCACAGCTTCTGCATGCGTACATACACCGGCAACATGCGGCCGAGACAGGACTTTCTGTGGATTTCCACAAAAATCAAGCCTTTCGGTTGGCCAGTTTGGCGAGGGAGCCGGGCTTTGGTGTAACTCCAGCTGGCTGCTGATAGGCTGGACCATTGCGCAGCGAAGCACGCCCCTGAACACCAACCGCAGGCGGACAAGACGTGCGCAGTAAAGCCATCCCAACTTCCCAAGTTTCTAACCACAGAGCCAGATATAGTACCTATACCACCGTAGTACACAGGCACTCTACACAAGTACTAACTAGAGAAGAGTATGCCTGCGAAGAGTCGACTCAGAGCTACATACGGGGGCCAAAAGCGATGGTCTGATTCGTACAGAAGCCATTGCCACTGTGACCGATTGCTCATGGAGGGCGCCACGTACCTGAACATGCGGGGTACTACCTAGTACCTATAGCAACACCACGGCGTTGGAATCAGTAATTTTGGCAATGTGGGGATTTTCTTTTCCTCTCGATAGTTTCTGTTTCCAGGCCGCAGTTCACAGGATCGGCACGTATGGTCGTCGCGTCGGATGTCCAATGCTTGAGGATCAATACCGATGGCCCTTTCTTGAGTCGATTGGATGGAAACTGGCTGACACTGCAAGGTCTCGTACTTATTGATTTCGCAGTTAGGCGACGACGCGTCACTGCCAATCACCCGTGCTTTCACGGCACCCGACAAACGGGGACATCGTCGCCCCCCCGAGAAACCCCTGGTAAGAATCAAGATAATTTCGGCTGCTTTGGAGCGCGGGGCGCCAACGTGCCGTGATCTTTGCTCTAGTTTCCAGCTCTCCTTTGGGCGATCCAGGTGGGCACTGTGATCACACGCTGTTGGTTAGGTAGTTAGCAGTTAATCTATCGTGTTCATCCACGGGTCAGGCAGTTACCGCTGTATTGTACATACAGTCAAAGCGGGGTACCTAGAACTTATGCTATCGATATGGTATTCACGATCGATCGATTGGTGCTGCATGGCGAATATGCTTTTTGGCCGGGTTGCCGGGTTTGGGAGGTGGAAAAACGGGTGTCACCGAAGCATTCTGCAGTACGTTTTTTCTAAGTACCTACGCGACCGTTCTCAGTACCGTATCGATGGCATAAAATCCCACCAAACCTCCAGGCCCCTCTCAGCCCCCCTGATTATACAGTACTCACTATTCAACATAGGAACAGTGCAAAATTCTGCGGTATTCCCCCGCCATATCCAGGGATTCGAGTTCACAGATCTGTGCCCGGAGTTTGCTCCTTGCTCCGCTTGACACTCGTTCTGAGTCCTGACTCCAAGCTCAAGCGCAAGCGCAAGCTCAAACTTGAGTTCACGAGCCTTCTTCCCGGGCTTGTTTCTGCCCCTTGAGCTGATGTTGGCCTCAATGGCCTTTCCGGCTGCCGTCCTGACCGTTATTGCCTTTTCCTCCTCCTCTTCCTCCTCCTCTTCCCCACCATGTTCTGCCGCTCCCCCATTTCCCAGGTCTCGGGAACGGCGATCACCCAGCTATCGAGCTCCGTGGTCTGTTAGCAGGTGCTGTGCGTGTGTTACAAACCAACTCTGGTTCACTTGGCAAGACCTTTGTCCTACATACAAGAGTTGGTACCCAATGGCCTCGACCAAGTACCTACTCTACTCTATGTAGTACCAGTCATCCCGCGTCCCACACAACCACTCCGCCCTCTCAAGGAGTCAAGGACGATGAAATCTGCACGATCAAAGCCTACATACAATCGAGATAGTTTCACGGCTTTCTCGCCCTTCTGCGCGCCGCCACCCCATCCGACCGGAGAATCGAGATCGGTGGACAGTGGACAGTGGACAGTGGACAGTGAACGTCGATCGATTACGTTTTATTTTTGACGGAGAGGCGTTTCCTGAGGTGTATGTAGCTGTGGGCCGGTGGCGATGGTTACGTGCCATCGCACCGAGTGTCGGAGTGTTTCCGAGTGCTCGTGTCGTCACTGTAGATAGTGCGCGCGGTCGCTCCTCGGCGTGGGCTCGGCGTGGGCTCGGCGAGCGGGAAGACTACTCGTTGATGTTCTGGGCCGGAAGTTGAGTTGGTCTCACTTACAAGAGAAGAAACGGGGTGGGTGTGGATACTGCATGTCGCGACTACCGAAAGAAGTGGTTGTACGGCATGGAAGCAAAATGGAGAGCTACCAGTAGTCGCGCCCAGGCGAGGGGGGTGGGGGAGCGAAGTGGGTACGGAGCGATTGAGAGCACAGATTGCCTACTGGCATGGTTCACAACACAAAGTTTGGAGCGCCACAGAACAGAATATCTACTGTTGCTGCCAGGAATTGCGGGTGGACGTATGTGGGGAGGAGTGCATCCTAGGTACTATGTAGTACTTGGTTAACTAACAACCAGCCACCCCCGCCATCGGCCGAACCACTGTTCAGTGTTCACCCCACAATCTGCACATGCGAGATCAATACGAACGTGGAGTTGTGAACCCTAAACTCCCGGCCTGTGGGACCGATAGCTGCAGCTAAGCAATGCGCCGTAGGACCTCAATACAGGAGAGCTCAGCGTTCCAGCGAGAGAAACCGCTATCGAGAGCTCCAATTACCTACCTCTTCGGCCGTCCCCGTATTCGGTCCGCACCCGAGAATCAGCCCTGGTCCAATTATAGCACCTCCCGACTCCCGAGCTCTATGTAGGTATGCATGGATCCGAAGTCGGATGGGCACTAGAAGCTCTACGGAACAAGCTCAGGGTCTCAGGGCCAGGAATGACGCATATCGGGATTGGCGGTGGGGGTAGGGTCCGTCACGTAGCGGGGGCTTAGAAAGCTCTCCGTTCTCCTTCCCATTGAAGTGAACATATCCCGCCGATGACTCAGATCCTTCCAGCTTAAAGAGTCGTCGAATTGACATCGCCATTGTTGTTGATCTCCAGTAACGACACACACAATGGCTATGAAAGGTGTCGAAATGGAGACTGCGGTCTCGCTCGCTGTCGCCGACATCACCGCGGAAGGCGTTCCCAACTTCGGCCGCGAGATGCGCAAGTACTTTCAGTTCGACGATGACTGGATCAACCTCAACAATGGTAACCAGCTCTCCACCCCATTCAAGTTCCGCTCCAAGTGACACATACGCAGGCTCCTTCGGCAGCTGTCCCGAACCGGTGACCCGCGTCTACCAGCACTTCCAGCACCTCTCCGAGCGTCGCCCAGACACCTTCATCCGCACAAACCTCCCGCGTCTCCTCGCCGAATCCCGCAGCGCCCTCGCCAAGCTCGTCAACGCACCGCCCGCAACCGTCGTCTTCGTCCCCAATGCCACCACCGCCGTCAACATTGTCCTCCGCGGCCTCGAGTGGGCCCCCGGCGACAAGATCCTCTACTTCGACTTCATCTACGGCGCATGCGGCAACACAGTCCTGTACGTCGCGGAGTCGACCGCCGCCTCAGCCCTCCGCGTCGAAGTGCAACTCCCGATCACGGACGACGCGCTCCTTTCCGTGTTCGAGGCGACGATCACCGCCGCCGCCGGCACCGTGAAGCTCGCCGTCTTCGACGCCATCGTCTCCCTCCCCGGCGTGCGCCTCCCCTTCGAGCGCCTCGTCGCCGCCTGTAAGAAGCACCACATCCTGTCGCTCGTCGATGCCGCCCACAGCGTCGGCCAGATGCCGCTCGACATGCAGGCGCTCGACGCAGACTTCTTCACCAGCAACTGCCACAAGTGGCTGTATGCGCCGCGCGGCTGCGCGTTCCTGTACGTGCCCGAGCGGAACCAGAGCTTGATCCGCAGCACGCTGCCGACTAGTTGGGGATTTGTGCCGAAGACCGGGGGAGCAGTGATCTCGCCGCTCCCGCAGATCGAGGGCGACGTGGGTTGGGCGAAGATGTTTACGTTTGTGGGAACGGTTGACTCCAGTGGCTATCTGTCCGTTCCGGCGGCTATCGCTGTGCGCGAGAGACTGGGTGGTGAGCAGAAGATCATGCAGTACACCTGGGACATTGCGAGAAAGGGCGCGGAGATCTTCCGTCAGCGGCTGGGAACCGACATCATGCCTAGCTATGGGGCGGGGGAGGTGGCGATGTTTAACATCCGCTTGCCGTTGGAACTCCATGAGGTCGAGGAGAGCTTGAGAGGTGAGGTGGTCACCTTCTTGACGGATAGTTTGGATGCCCATGGGACCTATGTGGCGGTTTATCTGTACAAGGGCGTGTTCTGGACGCGCGTCTCGGGGCAGGTGTATCTGGACGAAGAGGATTTCGTGAAAGGCGCAGAGATTATGGCGGGGCTGGTGGATATGGTCAAGACCGGTGAGTGGAGGAGCCTGGAGGGAAAGATAAAGGGGTTGGCTGTTTAAGATTCAATGCGGGGAGGAAACATACTGGGCAATGACAATGTATTTCACGGAATCAACGCCTTGAATCTTGATCGCTGTGGCCAATAGCAATGACATAAAATTCCCGTTTTTTCCCCATCCGTTCCTCATTTTTTGGAAATAAATCCCTCTCTCCAGAGTCCAGACTCCGATTCTACCGGGCAACCGCTTTCTCTGATTGATGACAAGCCACGAACGGCTGGGGGCCCAGCCCCGAGTGTCCACTATCCAATGAGGCGTGCAATGTGAAGCTCCCCATCCGATCACTCCCTCGTCCAGAGACTTGCACTTCCGGCGGCAGGACGTGCATGGTCACCCAAAGGTTCTCTTCAAATCTTCGCTGCTGGTCAGCTTACCCGAAGTTTCCAACCAGTTCAGTTGGCAGTACCGATCAGCTTTGGCATACGGCAGGGCCGTTCTATAATTCATTACTGTTTACTCCATGCTTACCACCATAGCTATTAGCGGTTCGGTACCGCATGCCTGCTTGGACTTCCGGAGCACGGCACGGCACAAACTTCCAGCTGGATCAGCAAAGTTGATGCCCACCGAATGATATTCTATGACTTGATCGGGGAGGGGAGGTCTTCAGGGCACGGTTCACTGCTGTCGATCGGTCCGGTGGATTTGGAACTATTATCTATTCATAGGGTGGATTGGGTACGTCAGTACATATTAAATCAATCCCATTCCATTTCTCCTGGCTGATTTACATACACATTCGCCAGTGTTTTCTTGGGGGGGTTGGGGGGCATGCCAGAATTTGGGAGGCGTCCACACGGTCGTCGTTGTCTGAAGTGCAAGAGGAAGAGCGAGAGCAACACCGGTTGCAGCGGTTTGGTTCGGATCAAATGCATCAGCAAGGACATCGCTGTGCTGATAGTTGTATCCAGAGAATCCGGCGGCTCAGATGGCAAAAAAGAGTCGGCCTTGGGAGTCTTGAAATAACAGAATCTCAAAATCCCCAAGGCGTAGAGATAGCAAAGGGATTTGAACCCTCGTCTTCCGCTGTTGCCAGCAAACGTGTTGCCACTACACCACGCCACCTCATGTTAATAACTACTCCGAAACGCGCCCCACGTACCAGTGCGTGGGCCGTCACGCAGAGCCCCCCTCAGAGCCTCCTAAGTGGGCTCTCTCCTCCAATCTCCCCCACACACCCTATCTTCACGCCTACGGGCAGCAATGAAAAGAAAACAAAAGATTACCCGCGAGCGGTAACACTGCTACGATGCAATGTTCGTCGCAAAGGTGCCGATAAAGCTTCCTCAACGGAGGTGAAGGTCGGGAGCCTCAGTATCTCTTCCTCCTGCTCTTTCTCCTCCTCTACACGGACTCCTCCCTGCTTACCTTCCCTCCCGTAATCCTATAACCGCAACCAAAACCATTTCCGCGCGAATAACAGCCGAGTGATCTCCCGTGCCCGCCTGCAATCTAGACCTGTAATCACTCATTCCTAGTGGCAAGGTTGGTCGTTTTACCACTTATAACCCCACCTCTAACCCGCACCCCCATCCCCACGTCGCAAAGAATGCCTATCCTCCAATGCTGCGAAATTATCGACCGAGTATACAGTGCCTGTCCTCCCACAAGTCGACAGCCGTCTCGCAGCGATGAGAAACGGCTTGGGCCCTCTATAGTAGATATCCACGGTGAAGCACTAAATCTGTCCCATCATCAGCTTCAGCGCGCGTGTAGACTATTTAGCGCGATCATCTCTTCCGCTGGAACATCTATATATAACACGGCCCGTAGGCTGTCTCTGACATTTTGTTTCAAGCTTCCTAGTATGTACCTCTCACACCGCAGGTTGAATGGGACAATACTTTCTTTAACCGTGACCGAAACCACTTTCTACCCGAATACCAGCTGACTGATCTAACAATGGCGATAATACTTCAATCTGACCGCGACTACAACTTTTTGGCTGTGCGCGATTAACAGCCGAGTGATCTCCTGTGCTCACCTGTAATCCGGACCTGTCCGAGCTCGCTCATGTCCAGTGGTGGTGGTGGCAACTTGCAAGGTTGGTCGACATACCACTCGTAACTCCACCGCTCACTGCCTATCTCCATTCTCACATAACAGGAAATCCCTACCCCCCAACGCCGCGGAATGATCGATCGGGTATACTACCTAGGTGGTAGGTAGTAAGTACAGCATCCGTCCTCCGACAGGCAGGTCGACGGGTCGACAGCCGCCTGGTCTTCCTGAGCACCACTGCAACAGATGTTACTGGAATCGGAGCGATCTCGTACAGCCTGCCTGGACTGTGTAAAACCCTGGTTCTCCCACAGCTCTTCATGGGTCCTCACTCGCAGTGCGGGTGACAACTCATGCCTCGCCGGCAGTGACAACCCGCAATCAACGATCCCCGCTACAACACACTCGCATCCTAGGTTCACCAAGACGCTAAGCGCGTGCCATGTTCCTATTCGCTGATTCCATCATCGCGAAAAATTCTCCGGCTTCATTCCTACCCCTCTTGGAATGTCGTATCGCAATTGCTACAACTGCGGTCGTCTCGGGCACCTGGCTCGCCAGTGCACCGCCTCCCCTCCACCGCCCTCAGAGCCAATGGAGGAAGAGGATCGTTCTGTCCTTGGTCTCGACGAATCTGTCGCTTCGCCGATCATTGACGAAATCCACCACCTGTACCAAGACCTTCAGGAGATTTTCTCCACGAGCTTCGGCCCGTTAGGACTGTTGCCGAAGAGTCAGTAGGATGCGTCAAAGTACTCGTATCAGCGGTACGAGAGACGCGACAGGATATAAGGGACCTCAAAGCCCTTATGGAGACGATGAGTGAGAAGATCGACAAGCTCACAGAGGAGGACCGAGCACTCCGGGAGCAAACGCCAGTGCAAGCTACACAGCCACTGCCACCCCCATCATCGACACCACCTCCGCGGCCGAAACGGAAACGGACGGGGCCGCCCACCCCGCACCAACCGGAGAAGCTGGCAAGAGCCAACCCACCCACCCCGACGCCTGAGCAATCTGAGCATAGGGAATTGGAGTCCGACTCCATACAACCTGAACCACCAGCATCTGCCGTGTCCGCAGCGCCTCCTCCTTGTGACACTGAGACGGATGAGGGATGGAAGAAGGTTGAGAGGAAGCGGAAAGGGAAAGCGGAGAAGAGAGGGACGAGATTTGGAAGAGAGGGAAGCGTCCCGTCGTGGGCTGATATTGCTCGCGGCAGGGGCGGCGTACATGTGACCGTCTTCATCGGCGGGAGCAAGAACGCCAGGCCGAAAAAGGCACCCAAACCCCATAAGAAGGATTTGGAAAACCCTCAAACGAAGGGACAGAGGGCAGGTGGGAAGAGCGGGCGAGTCAGCCCGTAGGGGAGAGAGGAGATGTGGGAAGGGGCGGGCGGGTATGCAGGCCCATTTCAGTCTTTACCGTGTATCTACTTTTCTGGGACAGCCCGGGGCGGGGCAGGGAAAGCCACACCGGGCCGCTCGGTGCAAGCCGGGTTAGACAGTGGCGTGGAAACAGGGGGGTGGACGGGGTGATATTGCCATGATCTAAATAGGTCGCATGCAATCAATGATTAAACAAAAAAAAAGTGACAACCTGCAATGACGACGCTACGGCGATTCAATTGAAAGCACCGCATGGGGCTTAACCCGTATGGTCTCGCTTTTCCTTCGTCCTCTCTCTTTCTCCCCCTTCTTCCTACTTCACCACCAGTTTTCTTTCTACTCTCCCTTCTTACTACAGTTCTACTTCACAATCAACTTCCTTTCTCTCGAGCTTCAACCTTATCACTACTCTAACATCATCGCCCTCGTTCTACCTTCCCCTTCTCGACACAGTTCTACTCCACTCAATCTCTTCTCTCTCCCTCCCCCTTCCACCTCCTCAACGATCAACTTCCGCTCTCCCTCTTGGCAGTGTGGCGTGGCGTATGGTACGTAATACTTACTCCTCCTCTCTTCCGCGATGTTCCGTCCTTCTTTCACTGTGAATGAAAGCATTCTCTGCCGGAGACATCCCTTCCTACCGTCCCCTAATCCATCCCCGTGCTTAGCTGTCCTACACATGAAACGCTTACATTATCGTGGGGGTTCTTCTTCGCGATCTCAATCGGATACGGCGGGAGCATTCGCGCTTCTTGCCCTGGCCGAGCCCACCTATGATAGCAGTTCTGGCGAGGCTCGGACACCCCCACAAGCACCTCCGAATGCGAGAATAGCGCCTATCCTTCCTAGACGCCATCGCTACCATTATCCGGGGCTCGAAGCTTCGCTCGATCGAATTTCTGTTTTCACCCGCTCCCACTACGCTCGCCCCGACGGATGAGATGAGGGGTGGGCTGGAAGGCGCGGCCGCGAGCCTACATCTGCCCCAGCCCAAGCCAGGGGAGAGGGGGGGAGCCACAATGGTGGCGAAGAAGAAAGGGAGGATAGGGAGAATGAAGATGATGAGAGGAGGAAGCCTCCTCGAAAGATGCGGAAGAAGACTCTTCCGCTCGATCGCCGAAATCCGTATCACAGTACATCGCAATCCGATATCCCAACGATCAATCCGAACGGAACATCAACCGGCAGTAGCCCAGCTGCTACCCCCCAGGAGCTGGGGGGATAAAAAAGCCACCGGCATCAAGTCCGCGCATATCGGGGAGGAGGAGGAGCTGCTTAACCAGGCTCTGGGACTGTCTCCATTGGAGTAATTCCTCTGGGGATTGTCTCCGTTGGAATGCTAGTGGGGTGTAGGGAGGGGTGTTGGGATGTTTTTGTCTTTCGCATTGCAGAGATGGGGGGACAAACGAGCCACTTAGGTGGCGCGGAAGAGATGGAGGAGAAGGACGAAGAGGACGAAGACGAAGATGACGATGACGAAGACGTCTCGTACGGAGACAGCGGAAACGATGTCGATGAGGAGGCCGAGGAAGGGGAGGAAGGGGAGGAGGGTGACCAGGTTACGGTCGGATCTGTGTTTTTCTCTCTTTCAATTGTATCACAGATAACTGCATCCTCAATGATTTTGTAACTTTTCGAGCTCGTTATGACCCAATGTTTATAGTAGGCTCGTAGCCATCCAGTGTTCTAGATAGTACAGTCCAGCCCAGTCTTTCCCGACGCATTGAAACTTCGTGTGTAAGGCGTAGAGCCGGCCGCCACCACCAACTCACCACCGCCGGAAACTACGACCAACACCTCTCCTCACGGTACGGAGGTTTCTCAAGAGGCAACACCACCCGGGGAGCCTGATCGCCACCGGACCACTGCTGCGGACGCCAAAGTGGAACTTTGAGAGCCCTAAGAGGACGGGATATTCGTTGCTAACTTGCCGTTCTTCCGGGGCTTTACGGTAGAGTATAGCAACAGTGACCGAAACCATGCACCGGCGTGTACGGTGTACCAAATAGGGGCCGTCGCTGCTACTCCCTGCTTAAGCCATAGCGGTTCGGTATCGCATCCCTACTTCCGGACCACGGCACAAACTTCTAGCCGGATTAGCCAAGTTGCTGCACCACCGAATGCTATTCTATGATTGGATCGGAGGGGGGGGGGGACATGCCAGAATTCTGGCGATGTCTACATGGCTGTCGTCGGCAGTGCAAGAGCAAGAGTAACACGGTTGTAGCGATTCGATCGGCGATGACATCGCTGTGCTGTTGGTTGGATCCAGAGCTTCCGTCGACTCGGATGGCAAAAAATCAAAACATATCTGCAGTCATAATGCCCCCTGAAGGTATTTTGACTGCAGAAATGAAGATAGCAAAGAGATTCGAACTCTCTTCTTCTGCTGTTGCCAGCAAAAGTGTTCTCGCTACACCACGCCATCAAATGTTAGTAACCGCCTGAAACGCGCCCCACGTATCGGTGCGTGGGCCGTCACGCAGAGCCTCCCCTCTGAGCCTCCTAAGCGGGCTCCCTCCCCCCGTCCCTCACCTTCACGCCTACGAGCAGGAATCGACAGGGGAAAGATTCAGCGCAACACACCTCCACGGACGCTGAGCGGCGGCGGCGAGGAACGGCTTGTGTTGTCTAGCCACGGTGAAGCTGCTCCCCCTTCCCCCTCCCACACGTTCGGCACTATGACATGGCCTGCTTTCAAAATTCCGTTTCAAGCATCCTACATACCCCTCACACCGTAAGTTCAACCACCACCAAAATATTTTCCGCTCGACTATTGAACGAGTGATCTCGTGTGCCGGGTGCAATCCGCACCTGTATTCGCCCATTTCTAGTAGCAAGGTTGGTCGTTATACCATATTTAACCTCACCGAATACCACCCACCCCCATCACCACATCACGGCAAATCCTATCCTCCAACGCTGCGTGTGTAAACCGCTTGGCGCGGATATATCTTCCGCTGGAAAATCTACAATACTCCGTTTCAAGCATCCCACCCTTTTCACCGAAAGTTCAACCACGACCAAAACGACTTCCGCCCAGATACCAGCCGATTAATTCAATAATAGGCACAATACTTCAATCTGACCACGACAAAACCCACTTTCTGTTCTGCTCGAATAACAGCCACATATGAGTGATCTCTCGTGCCCGCCTGCCCGCGTGCAATCCGGACCTCCCAACAATACCAGCACTATAGAGCACACCAAATAACACCAGGAAAAGCCAAATTCCGTTTACTCCATCCTGCCCGCTGCCTCTTCATCAGGAGATACCATAAAGAAGGGTGTGGGGGGTGACCGCAGCTTCTCCTCCTGCTCCTTTCGGCCTGCCTTTCCTCCCCGTAATACTCCAACTGCGACCGAAGCCCAATTCCGCGCGATTAACAGCCACAGCCGAGCGATCTCCTGTGCTCGCGTGTCCGCATGTAACTACCTACTATAATACGGACCTGTGCTCACTCACGCCTAATCGGACAGATTGGTCGTCAGACTACATATATCCCGAGAACGGGATAGAGTAATCGTTGCTGTGCTCGCCGGACTACCCTCAAAGTACCTAATCGAATAGCAACAGTGCCCGAAACCATGCACCGACATGCACCAGCGTGTATAGTGTACCTCTGCCCCTGCGTAACTGCGTTTCGTAATTTCAGTTACGCAGGATGGCCGTTTTACCTTTTCACGCACGCAGCACACCCATTGCCTATTGCCATTGCCAGTCCGCTGACATCGCGGAGCACCCCGCCAAGCGAGTAATGCCCATGCTTCTGCCTTCACGCTGCCTTCACGCTGCCTTCACGCTGCCTTCACGCTGCCTTCACGCTGCCTGTACATACCGGTAGGCACTTCATTCCCACAGACCACGGTCTCGACTGTCCATTGTCCAGCTCTCCACTGTCCAGCTCTCGTCCGCATCTTCAAAACTTCACAACTTCCAAACTTTAGAACTTTAGAATCCAGATTGATCCCCCCCGGCCCAGCAGTGGGCCAGCACTCCAATTAATATTACATTTCATGTACAGACACCCCCCCCCCCCCCCCCCCCCCCCCCCCCCCCCCCTCCCCCCTCGTTCTCTCTACCGCGCCTCGCCATGCCCCTCCTCCTCCGTGTCCGCCGTGTATCCCCTCCTCCGTGTCCGCCACTCATCTATCACCCATACCCCCCGCCCCAATCGCCATTAAACACCGCCCAAGGCCTCCGAACGCGTCACAACCAGGCAAGCAAGCAAGAAGCTACAAGCAACAGCAAGTAATCACAAAAAACCAACAACCGAGTGGGTATCCGTATCCAATCCAACAATTGCTCCTGCACCGCTCCCCGCCCGCTCCCATCCCGCTGCCCATCCCGCTGCCCATCCCGCTGCCCATCCCGCTGCCCATCCCGCTCCCATCCCGCTGCCATCCCCGTCGATAAACGCACACCACAAGTAGGAAGTATGTATGTAGCCAAGCAAGCAAGCAAGTAAGAAGCAGATTAAGAAGAGAAGAGAAGAGAAGAAAAAAAATGCCCCGTTCAATATCATCGTGCACAGACAGAGAGCTGCACTGACAGAGAGCTGCACCGAGACTCAGAGAGTTGCACAGAGTTGCACTACCAGCACCCATACGTATGTAGGTATGTGGGTACCGTACTACACTTTATCACCGCTCTTCACCCTCCTCCTCCTCCGTCCCTCCAGAACCATAGTTACTACCCCCGCCAGTCCCCACCCGCTTCTTTGAATAAAAAGAGAAGAAAAAAGAAAAAACAACATAAAAACACACACGCACATGGGGGAATCGAGCATTGATAAGCGCACACAGACACGCACAGCACACAGCACACAACACACACACAGCCACACACTCCACAGACAGACAGACACTACACACACTACAGTGCACACACAACAAAGGGGAATCAGAGAAAACGAACGAAGAGCAACAAAAAAAGAAGAAAAAAAAGGGATGAACGGAAAAAGAAAAAGGCCTGTTACAGTAATAGGAGGATCGGCAAGATTTAACAGAGAAAAGAAAGTGAAGAAGAAGAAAGAAAAAAAGAATCAAACTCCTCAAACCATGCCACGCAAGTATGAAGTTGTGAATGAAAAGAGAAAAGAGAAAAGAGCAGAAGTAAAAAAAAGAAGCAAGTCAACAGTGGAAACCATCGTTTGTAGTAGCTATGCCCATGATCCCCCACGCCCCATGTAACAGAACTAGTCCCCCGTTGGTTCTACAGTAGAAAAGACAAAAAAAAAAGACTATGAGTATGAGTAGTGAGTTTGCTCCTCCCCAATAGTCGTGTTCTCGCCGAAACTCATGACCGAGCGCTCTACAGTCGAAAATGTCAAGTGGAAAAGATAAGCCGGCATCTAAGCCTTCTCTCCCTTGCTGCGCGCAGTGCCTCGTCTCCTAAAGAAGTCCATCACGCGACGCGCGGGTCCACTGCTGCCGTGTCCTCCACTGCTGGATTCACCCTCGAAGGCGTCTCCTAGTCTCTTATGCTTGGAGAGCATGGTCTTCTTGTTGGGGGCCGGGGCATTAGGCGAGTCGACATCAGCACTAGCACGACCGAACGCGGAAGCAGGCGCGGATCCAGCAGCCAGAGAGGTGTCGGATCCCGTCATGGCGCTCTCGGTATCGTTACTGTGGTGATGAGAGGCACCAAGCTGAGGCTGGCTCTGCACTTGAGGTGACTGCTGTTGGTTCTGTGCAGCAGAGTTGTACTGCCTGGAGTTGGTCCTCGAGAGCTTGCGCTCGTGCTTTCCCTCTCCGGTCATGCTCCTCAGTGAGAACGAGGTGGGCAGGAGGCTGAAGCGGCGGCTCTTGGGCGCAGATGCTGACTTCTCCATCTTCATACGCGCTCCCTGGTCGATCGATTGCCTAGGGTCGGTAGTAGGGGTACCGCCAACGACCGCAGGTCTAGCAGCAGGTTCCGTAGGCCTCTCGGAATTTCCAATAATCTTGCCAAGGAACCGGTTCGAATCGCCAGCGGCTCCACCGACCGTGTTCGCGCGCTTGTGGCCCTTCGGTAGCTGTTGTTCCGGCTGGGTGGCGGGACGGTTTGCGGCGAGATCCGGGTTAAGGCTGTCACCCTGCAGGATCGGGGCACTGATGTAAGGGTTTCCGCTAGATGGCATCGCAATCCTCCCTTGGACATTGTTAGCAGCCACGCTCGGTGCCGCCGGTAAAGAGTAACTACCCCCTCGCGAGGGCAAAAAATCCGACCGCGGGGGATTGGCAGTGGTGTTCGTACCTGAAGAATTGTCCTTTCCGGAACTGTTCGGGGCCGTCACGGGCTTGCCAGCCACCGGAGGTCCAGTCCTGTCCTTGCTCGGCCGTCTTGTTGGAGGGTTAGATGAAGGTCCGTCAGAAGCAGTGGCCGCCGCCGCCGCAGCAGCAGCAGCAGCAGAAGCTCGGGACGCGCTGGTCGACTGTTGGTACGAGACCGGGCGCCTTCCCTTCGCATCTGGCATCGGTGCTCTCGGTCCCTCTTTGGGCGCACCACGAGATTCCCGGGCGTCGCGATACGTGCGTTCACGGGTGGTTCCAGCCGTGGTGGCAGCGCGAGAGATGCTTCCATCCTTGTGCTCCTTGTGGGTGGCGACCACTGGCGGAGGCGCAGCGTCATTGGCTTCCTCGGTCCTCTTGGATGCGACATCCGGATCGACAGCTGATCCCCTCTGCGTCTGCTGCTGAGGCTCAACGTATTCGACTTGTACGGTGCGACGCTTATTGTCACCGGAGGGCTTGGGTTGCGTCGCCGGAACGATCTGCTCATGGGGGTGGTGTCTCGTGCCGAGCGCGCCGGGAGCATGCGGGTGACTTGTGGATGATGGTTCTCGTACAGACGCTGACCTGGTAAGCACGGGGGGCTCAGGCTTGGGTTCTATACGGAATTCCGGATGTCAGTAATCGCGCATCCACGAGGTCGAGGAACAAAAAAAGAGATGCGGCAAACCTCGGACAGTGATTGTTTCAACATCCTTGATTCCGGTAGTCGCGCTGGTAACCTTATTGACGATGTCGGCGAACGGACTCAACCAACTGTGTCGCGCAACCTCGAAGAGATCCGCTCTCCTACGTGGATCCGGCACTAGGATCCTTCGCAGAAGATCACGCGCATGAGGCGTGACGTATTCAGGGAATGTGAGCGAAGTAGATACTATGTACTTGTACAGCAAATTTATATTGTCGCCTTCGGGATTCGCGGGATCGTCATCGAAAGGTAGGTATCCTGCCAGCATCGCGTACTAATCGAATCGAGCAGAACAGAGATTAGCACCAAGAACACGGAAACGAAACGAAACGAAACTCGCAAGGAAGCCCATACCAGGATAACACCACACGACCAGACGTCCACCTTGCGGCCCGTGTATAGTCCGTCACTAACAACCAGTTCTGGTGCCGCGTAGCAAGGGCTGCCACAACTGGTAGCCATCAGGTCGCCCCGTCTCCGTATCTGGCCGGGTCCGACTATGCTCAACAGACTGCTCCCATCCGGCGTACGGTCGGTGTGGGGAACACCTTTCTCGAGTTCCTTGATGATTACCGGATCGTCGAGACGGTCTTCCAAGTCCCCGAGCTCGTCTTTGGGATCGAACACATTAGCAAAACCAAAATCCGTAATGATGATGTTCCTATTACGGTCCAACAGGAGGTTTTCAAGTTTCAGGTCTCGATGCACGATTCCCTTTTTATGCAAGTATCCAACGCCTGACACCAGCTGCGCGAACAGACGACAGGCCGGTGGATCTTTGAGATATCGGTGGGTGAGAATATAATCAAATAATTCTCCACCGGACGCATATTCGAGAATGATTCCGATGTGGCGTTCTGTTTCGACCATTTCCCGGAGGCTGACAATATTGGGGTGCGACAACGTGCGGAGGATCGCAATCTCGCGATATATCTTAGATATGCGATTTGGGTGCGGTGAGATCGAGTCTCGTCGTATGAGCTTAATCGCTACCTAAAACAACGGGAAAGGGGGAGACGACTCAGTAAGCTGCATCGACAAAAAAAAATCGCTAATTCGGAAACATTTCCGAAGTCGAAACGCGATGGAAACATAAAGAGAAAGAGAAACAAAAAGGAATGAACTTTACCTGTACACCACCGTCTCGCCTCCATCCGAGCTTGACCTTGCCAAACTCTCCCTCGCCCAAAGTTTGTCCGAGGATATACTCACCGAAGCGAGTCTCCTTTCTCGTGTGAGCGCGCCTATTCGAGGAAGTTTGTTGCGACTGCTCGTCACCATTACTGCTAACGGGGTTACTGCTGCCGCCGCCATTGCCTCGCTTGTTACCACTCGACTCAGAATCCTGTCTGCGTCTCGTGTTGGAGCGTGATGGGTCTCCCTGTTGCGGCGCGCTATTGCTATTGCCTCGCGACGAGGAGGAGGTGCCACGCGTCGAATTCGAACGACCAACGGGGGGCTGATCCTGACGCGTACGACCGTCTTCCGTTCTCCGGCGATCCCTATCCCGATCTCGATCATTTGCACCGTCTCCTCCTCCGCGTGTAGAATTACCTGCGCGGGACTCTGGGGGCGTAGCTGCGGTCGGAGTCTGTGTCTTGCTACTCGTGCGCGGCGGTGGTGGGATCGGGGGTCCGTTAGGTGTACCAGCCGATGTCGAACCGGACGAGTGCGGGGCGCTCGGCGACGGTCCGCTGTAGGTAGTCGGTCGTGGATGCGGGGGGCGGGCACCTCGAGGGGGGCCACTCGGCGAAGCTGGTGCGGGCGCAGCCGCTTGGGATACCGCTGAGGTCGACATCTCCCTCTTGTCCGGTGTGTTGGCTAGAGGGGATGTTGGGGGGGAGGGGGAGGGGGAGGGGAGGGTGGGAAGGGAGGAAGGGTGGGGGAGGAGGGAGGGGGAGGCGGGGGAGGAGGAGGTGGTGGAGGAGGAGATGTGGTTGTGTTGATGGTAGTGGTAGTAATCGGGGGTAGATAGTGTAGGTAGTTAGAGGGAGTTGGAAGGGAGGGCGACCGATGAAGAGGAGGGAGGGCGGCGCGTTAGTAGGATGGACACGCCCGAGTAGAGCAGCGTCTACCCTTACCGGATGTCGTCTGAAATGGCAGTAGTGCGGATGCCGAGCCCGATTAGTAGCGATGGTGGGCGGTGGGAGTCGGCGGGGGGTAATACACGGAATCGGATAGGGGTAAAAGACACGAGAAACGATGTCGATTTGGCGGTCACTTTTGGGAGTATTTTCGGAAGGGCAGAAACTTAATCGAGGGGGGGAGGCACTTTTTTGTTTGCTGGAGGAATTGCTGACTCTGACGGGGGAGGCCGACAGTCGAATAGGGAAGTGAGTAAATGAGTGAGTGAGTAGAGTAGGTAGGTTTGTACAGGTGGCAGGCAGATCAGGAAATGGCAGGTGCAGCAGCAATGCGCCGCAGGAGAAATCAGGCGCGGGCGGATTGAAACGGTGCCGATATTTCTTCTCTCTCTCGGATGGAGGATGGATGGATGGAAGGATGGTTTGGTACGACTGATGGACGAATGGCGGTGGGTGACGAGGCAGGCAGGCAAGCAGGCAGGCAGACAGGCGGGCGGGCAGGGCTCAGAAGCCGTAGCCGGGGGCAATTCCAGGAAATGTGGAAAGGGAGAGGGAGAAAGCGTATTGGGATAATCGAGCTGGGTGGAAATGGGGGTGGAAATGGGGGGGGGGGGGGGGGGGTGTGAATTTTGATGGCGGCTAGCAGGCCCCCGGGGGGATGAGGGGGGCTATTTGCAGTTGCTATTGATTGGATGGGGTAAGGGGGAGTGGGGTGTCCTTTCTTCTTTTCTTTTCTTCTTCTTCTTCTGCTTCGTCTTCTTCTTGATCTTCCTTCCTTCGAATGGATGGGATGCCGATGCTGATGGTGATGCTGATGGTTTTCCGAGACTCCGCGTCTTCTCTTCGCCTGTCTTGCTGCGTCCGGTGGATGATGGCTGCTGCAGCTGACGTTTAAGCGGTCAGTCAGTCAACGTGCACCCCTTTTCCCAGCGCCCAGCTGTCCAAGCAGGTACTTCGTAAGTGATTAAGTATGGTGATTTGCGGAATGGACCAGCGACCGCAGACGATATGTACGGGTTAGTTACCAAGCTTCACGGTGTATGGCGATCGGCTTGCCACTTTCTTTTCGTCCCGGGAGCTGAAGCAGCAGCAGCGGAAGTGGTGTGGATGCGTGAGTGCGTGATTGCGAGTGTGCGAGTGGGAGTGGAGAGCAAGTGGTCGTACTCTCCAATCCCTCCGAAACACAAGAACGGCCGAATACGGTTTATTCGAGCAAACACAGAAGGAGCGATCAACAAGTACCTCCCAGGTGCTCCAGCTATGCTCGAAGAACAGCCAGCCCGCCGCAACAACCCAGACGAACGAACCCGGACGAACCCCGGGAACCGCGCTTGGAGCCTTGGAGCAGTAGGTACTCTACTCTAGAGTCTAGCGAGACACTTGGGGAGTTTAAAGCGACTCTTCTTTGTATGTAGCATACCGGCAAAAGACGAGCCAGTCAAATCAAAAGTCAAATCAACGGAAGGAGATTCGAGTCGATCGGTGATATGTACTAGGTATAGAGATGAAGTAGAGATGGAGCAGATAAAGTCCAGTCTCCCCCCTACCTACATACCGGTGCATAACTCTGTCCGCATTCTCGATCTTGGTCTTTAATGCGAGTTATTTTCACGGCGCTGCTCTCTTTCTCCTTTTCTCCTTCTTCTCGCTCTGCCAACTCGTCGCGGTCGTCGCGGTAATCGGGGGAGTGGATCGCGGCTGGACGTCCTCGACTCCTTGTTGGCTGACGGCGGCGGCGGGTAGGCAGCTGTCCGGCGTAGTGACCGTCCATCGAGGGGTGGGAGGGTGGAGTCGAAGAGGGAGATGGAGGGAGGGATGGAGGGAGGGATGAGAAGACGACGGTTCGCCGTTCGGTCGGTACATAGGCGAGGAGGAGGAAAGGTACTGAGCGTGTATTACTATTACTCCAGTAGGTACTCTATGTACCTGAGTACGTGACGCTGGTTTCAGATACCTACTCTACTCTGCGTCGCCCATGAGCAGATCCGGAAAGGAAAGGAAAGAGAACGATTTGCAAGCCAACAGAGAGGAGAGAGCGCGAGAGAACGAGACCAATTAATCGTGCGTGGACGAGTCGCGACGATAGCGAAGCCACGCAACGGCGCGACAGAAACAAACAAACAACAAAAACAAACCGAACAAGCAAAAACAATCAAGATCCGGAAAAAAGAAAGAAGAGAAATTTGAAATCGGTTTCTTTTGATGATGATGTGCAGCAGCGACGCCGAATGGGGACAAGGGCGAGAACGGCGCGCGGTAGCGGAAGTTACTAGTAGTTAGTAGTTAATCGGGCACAGTAGTCGGGCAGATGTGGGGACAACTTACAGGCGTCAGCTATGGCATGTATGTACGGTATGCGGCGGAAGGAAGGAAGGAGATGACGACGGAGCGTGGAACGGAATGGACTCCTACCTAGTACTCCGACGACGGCGGGAGAGAGAGAAGAAAAGACAAGAGCAGAGTATTGACGGCGGCGGCGGCGGCGGCGGCGGCAGATCGATGAGAGGAGGGGTGTCAATGCCTCCCCCGGACGGAAGATCTGTCTGGTGGGCAACGAATCAATGCGAAACGGACCAAATGAAACGTCCCCGGCGAATGAACTGGCCGAAGCGATTGGTTTGCTGGTTTGCTGGCAGGCGACCGCCCGGAGGCTGGTGAGAAGAATGCGGTGGTATAGGTGGTGGTGGTGGTACTGGTGATCCCAGGAGTTTAGCGATGCGAGTGTTTCAGTGGCTTCGATTAAAGCCGCAGCACGCAGCAAAGTCAAGACTCAAAGTAGTCGTCCGGGTTCATCGGACATCCAGCACCGCCCGCGGCTGGGAAGTGGCCGTCGAGAATCGAGATGCTGGGACGGTGTAGAGTACTGTCCGTATAGTACCGCCCGCGGATGAGATTTGGTCTTTGAGATGCTGGAACCGTGTAGAGTACCCGCACGCCCAACCGCCATCACATCGCGAAACCCGGCGACTCGTTCGCGACCGTCAATGCTCATCCAGCTGCCGGCCATCTCCCGCACAACACAGCATAGCACAGCGTCTCGAGATCTCCCTTGCCCTTTCGTGCATTCCGCATTCCGACGACCTTTGCTCGATTAGATTTAAGGATGCCCGTGTGTACGGCATGAGGTCACTAGCGTCCGGCCAATCCCCGCCCAGATTCGGCTGGATGGAGTAACGACTCTAACGAGTCGTCGAGAAGGGCCTGGTGCGACACCATGAAGCGATCCTATTCTATCATTTCTATGACGCGAACGACGAACGTGTGTCCGGAACTGACTTGCAGCTGTTCCTTTTTCTCTCTCTTTTTTTCTTTCTCTTTTTTTCTTTCTCTTTTTTTCTTTCTCTTTTTTTCTTTCTCTTTTTTTCTTTCTCTTTTTGTTCCTTAAATCTTTTTCTTTTTCTTTTTCTTTTTTCGATTAAGCCGCGTGTGATGATGAAATTCAATCGGATTCTCCGTCCACCAGCAAAGCAAGCCTCGAGATCGCGCCATGCAACTGCACTGCTGCACCTCTGGAGAAGAATATTCTCCCCGGCCGCGACGCGATGGCCAACGGATGCATCTTTGCAACGAACCCCGCCTTCTCCAGCACTTGTCCATCCCCCCGCCAGCCAGCAAGCCAGTCGGCCATGCTACCAGGATTCAGTCGGTGCAGACGGAAGCGATCGCCGTCTCGCCAGACAGAGAGCCAACTGTCTGCAAATCTGCAAGTCTACAAGTCTACAAGTCTGCAGCGAAGGTTCGACAGAAGCATGTCACGTCTGTCACGTCTGTCGGTCTGCTGCTGTCTGCTGTCTGGCATCTGCTGTCTCTCACCACCGACTCTGCCTTGCCTTGCATGCTATGCCAATGGCCATGTGTCGCTTAACCCGCGATTCCTTCCATCCATCGCATCATCGCGAAGGATACATATGACATGTGTAGATATCCCCACCCCCATGCCCATCTCCTCACCTCACCTCCGCAGAGCCGAACAACGCAACGCAGCATATCGCACTAGGTAACGATTATAGCGCGCCGGGCGGGTGAACCTGCCTACAGCGGGACAGCTACCTAGACGAAGTTCGAACCAGCGGAGGGGCAAAACCTACCAAACTCACCTACTGTTAGTCCACACAGAATAAGCGTGCACCACGCTCTGGATCTAAACCCAAACACTCGACTCGAGCCGAATCCCGTCGTTATGTACTAGAGTAGTAGCTCCGACTCTCCGAGCAAAGCAAAACAAACCCATCGACCAAAACCTCTCTACTCTATGATACGTACATATCTAGAGTGATATTTACTCCCGTGTGTGTGTGTGTGTGTGTGTGAATTCCTACTCCCTTATCCAGGCCCCCGAGGGCGGAGAAGACCAGTCGTTTGACCGCGTTAGTTAACGTGTTTGGTATAAAACCGTTTTGCAAGTCCTGTGCTGTCCTTACTAGGCAGTAGTAGCTACCGACCAACCCATGCAAGCTGACAGCTCACGTCATCGCTCGGCCCCTTCCCCATCCCCTTCGTTCTCAACTCCTTCCGTTTCCTTCCCCGGGACTCGAGTCTCGAAACTAGAAACGCGAGACTCGGCGTGACGGTTGACCAAGGCACCACATGCAATTGCAACCGCAACTGCAAACACGCCCCAGCCCCCAGCCAGCCGGGTGGCAGCAGCACGTAATATCCCACCGCGGCCCGCCGTCTGTATGTAGCATGAGTACACATGTAACCGCACTTCATCCGCGAGAAAGTCCACATGCGTATGTATGTATCATGTACCTAGGGAGCACCGTAGGTCCGTAGTACAATGAACGGCCCAGCCAGCCAGCCCTGCAGATCGGTTCGGTTCGGTTCAGTTCTGCCGGAAAAACTGTAGCTATCCCGGTCCCCGGATCATCTGTTACTTGTCCAGTGTTCACCCACCCGCCACCCGTGCGGATCGTCGGTGCGTAGGTAAGGCGTGGTTACGGAGACCGGTCACAGACTCACAGGTGCATGCCGAGGCTGGAGCTGGAAAGTGGACTGGACTGCACGATGCGGTGGGATGGGATGGGATAGGATGGAGCAGAGTAGCGGTGGTGGTGGTGGACTGTGGTGGGGTGGTATGCCTAGGTTGGTATGTGCAAGAACACGTGGGGGGTGCGGACCAGAGTCCAGACTCCAGGCGGGCGGGGTGGGATCTGTGGCGCCAAATCTTCTCAACCGTCACCGTACATGGATATCCTGCAGCTCGAGAGAAGTGGAAGTGTAAAGTCACGGCCTGATCGGCTGAGAACTCGACTCATGCTGCCGCGAGCGGGCGAGCGATGCATGAAATATCACGCGGTGAGTGATGATTTGTGACCACGTCAACCACGTTTAAATCGTACGACCACTACTCTACTTCGTACTACGTTGAATTCCTGTCAGTACTACTGTCTACAGCCGCTCTTCCGCTCCTCCTCCTCCCTTCTCCTCCTACTCCTCCTCTTCTTCTTTATGCGTGCCATACCTCCATACCTGTCATCCGATCTGTTTGTCACCGGGTATTCGGTTCGATCGCTTCCAACCTGCCACCAATTTCCAACCGAATAGTCAATCTGGCTACTGCTTACTGCTTCTGTACGCAGCTCGGTTCAGACTTTGAACTTCGAAGTCCTTCCGTGGCCGGTTCGGGATAGTCGGTCAAAAGCGACAACTCCGAAGCGGATCCTACTAACAGTTAGCACTCAGTCCACTTATGTACTTTGACGATTATGCATGAAACACCGCGGTTTAGTGCGATTATTCACTCAGTCTTATTCGACCAGATGTTAAAAGATCCATTTCTTTTGTTTCGTTTAATTATTGATTGCATGCGACTTATCTAGATCATGGCAATATCCGCCCACCGTACACGCTCGTTTCCACGCAATGACGCCACTGTCCAACCCGAATTTCATCGAGCGGCCCGATGTGGCTTTCTCTGCATTCCGTCCTGGCCTGTCCCGACGATCTGCATAGAGTATATGAGCGCACCAAGGAAATGACGCTAGGAACAGGACAAAGAAAAAGAGAAAGTCCGCCCCTCAACCGCCTAGTCCCTCTCAACCTCCTCCTCCTCGTCCTTCTCAGCGGCACCCTCCTCATCGTCCCTCCCAACGCCTTTCTCCTCTCCTCCTACTCCCTCTCAGTGTCTGCCGCCTCGCCTAGTAAACCCAGCAAGCTCTTCACCTGTATCTCTTCCCGTTCCCCGGCTTCCCACTCGAACACTTCGCTGACTGCATCTTCCTCAGCGGCCGAGTCCGGTATCCGTCTACCAAGTTACAACATCAGTAGCAGCAAGAAAGTCCAAGATTGCCCGACTGCACCTCTCGTCTGCAAAGAAGTCGCGGGTCTTGAAGCGAGCCTTCCATCCACTTGGCTTCCGTGATCCCGCGCTTCAGATGGGTAAGCGATGGAGGTGGTAGCGGCCTGATGCCGTACTGGCTGAGGTGACGGGGCCCCTCTCCCCCGCGAGCGGTGGGGTTGTTGGCCGCCAGCTTGGCCGATTCGTCAGCCTTTTTCGTTTCCGGGGACGCCTTTGTGTGCTGGGCACCATCTGATCTCAATGGTTATTTCCGGCTCTCTGCGTCGCAAAGTCTTATTCGACCAGAAGATTGGGCTGGGCGAATACCAGTGGATCGAGTGATATTTCATTCTTGCAGTTTCGTCGGATGCCGATTAGTTATGGCGATAAATTAACAGCATGATCTCACTCAGCGGGTTCCGAACTTCTAGTTCCAATCGACAAATAAGGATGAGCTTTTTTTTTACCCACCTCACCGGTCGACTGCATGAGAGCTGGAGCTGAGCGGCGCATGATTGGATGGGTCCCAGAGTCTCAGCCTCAGAGTCTCGATGCACGCACCAATGAACCCCTCCACGAATCACTGTTGACGCACAGCTGAGTGGACGGTGGGCTTTCAAAGCATCGAGGCACAAATTTTAATCGCGAGCCTTCTTTCGCTCCTCCTCCGCTTTCCTTCGCAAGGAAGGGGACGCCCGCTTCATCCTACAGTGTACATACAATACACAGCCGAGTTCGCACCACCACTTCACGGTATCGATGGGTAACTGTTGGTCATGCTGCTGTTCCTGCTGCTGTCCATGCTTCTGCCCTAAGAAAAGAGTCCGGAGACGGTGGACGCCCCGCCAGCGCGACCCGTAGCGAAAGCGAGCAGCGGAGATGCGAACGGCGGCACCCACCACGGCGATTCGCCACCACCACCGCCGCCGCCCAGAAACACGCCCCCGCCGGAGCGACAATCGATCTCGGCCATCGCGCCCACCCGCGAAGCGGCAAACGACTCGGGCGACGAAAGCGGGAAGAGGACGCATGCGCGGAAGAGGCGGCCGAAAGACCGCAAGCAAAAGTTGCCCGATCGCGTGGGGAAAAACGACAATGGTGTCATCCGAGGTAAGCGTGATGGAAGAGGAGGCGGCGGGGGCAGGGGCGGCGGCGGTGGGCCCGGCGGAGGACTCGGTGGGCGTGGTAGGGATGGCTGGGACGATGATGACTTCGTGGGGACTTCGGATTACAGGCCTAGGAACTACGGAAATTCAGCGTACGACCGCAGTGTGCCCAAAAGCAAACCCATCCCAGGGCGCAGGCACACAGTTGTGGAGACTTACCCCCTCCAAGCCGATGGAAGCCGAAGCTCGGCACCATCGGAGTCGGCTAGCACGATACCACCGGTGTCCGTCAGCGGCGACGATGGCGACACAGAGCCCCCTGGTGACCCGCCGTCTCCAGGAGTCCCCGCCGACGAGTACTCACAGCCGCCTCCAGTAGTCACCGTCGACGACTACTCACAGCCGCCTCCAACAGCCCACGCCGACCACTACTCACAGCCGCCTCCAAGTGCACCCCATACCCCCGAGGAACCAGCTCCGCCCAGCTCCGATTCACAGTCTTTACCGAGACGCCCATCCGTTCCACTAGAACCATTCCGGCGAGAGCTCAGACGAAATAAGGTGGGCTTGACGGAGGTTGTGTGGAATGGCGTGGAATAGAAGCTTCAAGCTACCTTGGTGGATATCCAAAATTCACGCAGGATGGGTGGAATGGGGGAATAGCTGGAGGGGGGACTCGAAAGTACTCTGTAAGTTGAGGGTGAGTGGAAGGAGAGAGAGAGGATATGTTTGTAATGTCTAATGCGTCATGCCAATGGAAGTGTAGATTATTGTTCTTTCCTCAGGGAGAGAAGGTCTGAGTGCATATAAGGAATAATTGAGTCCGTGTCTCAGCTCAACCTCGCGGGCTATGTAACTATTGAGTCGTGATTTTCAAGATGCAATGCTCTGTCACGTTATCTTCACTTCGGGCTGTTGCAATATCACTTGTTTAGGTTGGGTAGAAGGCACGGCCCTTTATCTCTATTTCCATATCTACTACCTAGTACTGTAATACTGTTCTCACGAGGCTACAACCTTACACTTCAACCAATACACTAGTAACTTGTTCACGACCACATTATAGTAGTTACTCTATCATTTCAACACGGGTCTCAGCATTCCGGTCGAGTGATATCCTATGCGTGCTCGCACAGACCCCCAGGCTCCAGCTCAGCCGCCACCGAGGCCGAGCCACAGGCCGATGGACCGTGGACGCCACGGGTACTGGGAACGGCTGAGTAGAGTACGACTCTCCTCATAGGCTCGTACAACCGAGCGACTGTAACACACAGCCAATCAACCGTCTGTACCACGCAAGAAGGGCTGCAAGCTGCAGGGCCCAGGCTGGAAGCCTGCAACCTTTAAATTTCGTATTTGTCCCAAATGGCAAAAACCTAGGGCATCGGGGGCGTGAAAAAGGGGACAGCAACAACAAACATATAGCGATGTAGCGCCCCGTCAGGCTTCCATCCATCTCTCAACTTCTCACGTCTCCGTCCGGACTCCTCTGGTTGCCATGAGTGTCCCCAGCATACCGGTATTCAGCCTCCTCCTCCTGCTCCAGCTCCCGGCAGCCAGCCGCGGGCATGCAGCACCGTCCCTCCACCGCCGCGGCGACTTCTTCGGCGCCCTCGCGCTGCGCGCCGCCGTGTGCCCGCCAGAGCACTCATCCTGCGGCTCAGCCTTCATGCAATGGTGCTGTCCGTACATAACCGTGTGCAGCGTCAGCGGCACGGGGGTGTACTGCTGTCCTACTGGTCTCTCCTCCCCCCTTTCCTTGCGGCTAAACTGACAATGGGGAAAGAGGAGGACTGTTCCCAGCTCGCCACGACGGCGCCGATGTGTACCGACCCGGGTTTTGGGCTGTTTTCCTCGGAGATCGGCATGTTTTGCTGTGAGAGCGGGGGGGTCGGATACCTGCCCGGTGGATCGCAGGGTAAAGTGGGCAGTGAGGCGTGTGGGCTCCCGCCGGTTGATGAAGGCATGCTCGCTACGGCGGTAGGTGCTTCCGAGTCCTGCGGAATACCTGGGAATCTGGGAAGGTTGACGGATGACGGACGGCCGTGATAGATCGCAATGAGTGCCACTGCCTTTCCGCCGCCGGAGAAGATGTCCGTGGGCGTTGCCAGCACCACCAGCACCGCCAACACGCCTAAACCTTCCCTTCAGAGCGGCACGGTGGCTACGATTACAAAGGACGGCGTTGTGAGCGTCATCACCAGCACACCCAGCACCAGCACCAGCACCAACACACCCAGCGGCAGCACACCTAGTAGTAGTACTACCAGCAACCTACCACTCGCCGCCAAAATCGGCATCGCCGTCGGCACAGTCGTGATCCTGGCGTTGTTGGGAGTCGTCGGGTGGATGGCGGCGAAGCTGCGGTACCGGAACAGGAGCCGAATTCAAAAAGCTAAGGATATGCCGTATCCGTACCCGGACGGTGTGATCGAGACGGATGGGACGGCGGTGGTGGTGGTTTGCGCGGAGAAGGAGGCGGTTGTAGTGGATGTGGTGGATGTGGTGGATGTGGTGGATGTGGTGGATGTGTGTGAGATCGGTGGGGGTGATAGAGGTGTGCCGGGTGAGCTGGTGGGAAGTGAGGTGCAGAGATGATAGCTGGGTACTATGTAGAATGAATGTGGAGTGTGCATCATTGCCATGCCATGCCGGCCTCGTACCAAATCGCTTGCCATATACTCGTGAGCAAGCGTCAGGCCTTACTCGTAGGGAAAGGCGTAGGTAAGTACTATGTCTTTACTTTTACATACGGCAAACGCCTACAATGTCATTATGTATTGTACATGTTTTTATGGACGTTTCAAAGTTCAAACCCCACCACTGAAACCCGCCACTCAAACATCCGTCTACCTGCTTCAGGAACATTAAAGTAGCCATTCGCACAAATGGCAGCAAAGAGTTCTTCCGAGCTGTCGGCGAGAGTGCGACCTCTCTGCACCAAGTTCCAACTGGTACCTACATTGTACAGCACTAAAGCATTATCTGCCAACCACTCAGATTCGATCGATCGATGCGACTGAAAGTCAGAATCCAAAACCTGGAAATTGTAATCTGGAATCTGGAATCTGGAATCTGGAACTGCGGGCCGGACAGAATGATAGTCTGTGACTCTGTGGATTGGTACACTCTTCGGCTTCTATTCTTTAGATAGCTCGTCCTGCTTTGGCCCGGAACTACTGTACGCCAGGCAGAATCAAGGCGTTGTGTACAGAACTCGAACCTGGTCCTCAGCTTTTACGGAGGGGTTAGATCATAGGTAGAGCCTTCCAAGAGCTACATAGGTAAGTGGCTACGTGGAAGCGGTGGTTAACCGCTCGGCCTCCTACAACACTTAATGACCGTCACGAGTATGTAGGAACAAAATGTCCAGACTTTCGGAAAGTGCATATGGAATCCGGTTCCATTGAAACAGCCAAAAAAACAGAAAAATGCAGATATGTAAGCTACAAAAAACACCCGCACCCATCCATCATCTGGTGTACACTCCACACCCGCCCCTCTCTACGCATCATTCGTAATCTGCACCTTAATAGCGCCACTCTTCGGGTCGGCACTGACTTTAAACGCCTCGACGGCATTATCGAGGGTAAATCGATGGGTGACGAGCTTCCTAATATCCTGCAGAATACCCGAGCTGACAAGCCTAATCGCGCGAGGCCAAGTATTGCAGTACCTGTACTGGAACTTAAGGTCTACCTCGCGGGTGCTAAGGCGCATGAACGGGAACGTCATATGATTCTTCCCGACGCCGACGACGAACACCGTGCCGCCGAAGCGGACCGCAAAGATCGCTGCGCCAATCGACGACTCGACGCCCGTGCACTCGAGGCAGGCGTCGGGCTCGACGCCGCCGAACGTGGCGACGATGGCGGCTGCGTTCTCCTCCTCGCTCTTGCCGCGCGGGACGAGGTACGTCTTGAGCGTGCCCGGCTTGCCCGCTACGAGCGACGTTGCGAAGTCGAGTCGTCCCTGGTCGATGTCCGTGATCACGATGGGTTCGGCGCCCGCGGCTTTGGCGCACAGGAGGGAGATTAACCCGATGGGCCCGGCGCCGCAGATCAAAACTGAGTCGCCCAGCTTGATGCCGGAGCGCTCAACGGCGGCGAGCGCGACTGAGAGAGGCTCGAGCAGAGCGCCATCCTCGAAGGTCATGGTGTCGGGCAGCTTGTGGCACCAGACGGCGGGGTGCGTGACGTAGCGCCGCAGGAGACCGGGGACTGGAGGCGTCGATAGGAACAGCACCTTTTCGCAGCCGTTGTAGCGCCCTGTGAGGCATGGCTGGCACGCATGGCAGGGGATGTTCGGCTCCACGGCGACGACGTCGCCGAGCTTGAGGTGGGTGACCGAGGGGTGCGCGGCGATGATCTTTTGTTTGTCTCGGTGTTAGGATGGGGTGGAGACGAGGGGGACGTCGGGGCTTTTTTGGGCTTACCTCGCCTGCGGACTCGTGGCCTAGGATGTGCTTGCCCTCGACGATCATAGGGCCAATACAGCCGGCATGCCAGAAGTGGACATCGGAGCTATTGCGAACGCGCGTTAGCGTAGGGTCCCGGAAGAATTGTGCATGACGGACAGGCATCGGGGGGCGGGGAGGGGGAGGGGGAGGGGGAGGGGGAGGGGGAGGGGCCATATGCCAGCCAGACACGGCTAGGAATTCGGAACCCACCCGCAGATACCGGTACTCCGGATCTTGACGACGACCTCTCCGTGCTTCAGCGAAGATCCGCTCTGGAGCTCTTCCACCGATGGGCTGGCGGAGTCGATGTACAGGTTGTGTTCAGGGTCGGTGTACACTCCGATGTTGGCCTTGAGGCCCTTCAGCAGGCTGTTGTCCGACATCTATGGGAGTGCGTGGGGGCGGATATGTGTTGGGGAGTGAGGAGTGAGGAGAAGAGCGGAGTAAGGGTCGTCTGTTCTACGCAACGGCCAAGTCAGCACGGACTGTCACTCCGCACAGCGGTCAGAGTTCGAACCTACACGGTGGGCTTGTTCGGAAACTGGAGGAGCTGGAGGAGGCGGAGGAGCTGGAGGAGGCAACCGAGGAGATATCAAATCTAGATGGGAGGCAAGAGATCTTGAGAAACGATCGCATGGGAAAGGCACAGCAATATATAGGTAGATCCCCCATCGCGCAACCTCATCTACCTACCTACCTACATGTCTTCTACCCACCTACCGAGCCATCGCGGAGTCAGCTCGGCGTCCGGAAGACCATAGCCCGCAGATTTATCCATGCGCGGTAACGCCTCCCGGCGAAGGCATGTATGTATTGCTATCTATCGAAGGATCAGCCGGGAAATTCTGGTGGTGCATGCAGGCAAAAAGAGAGGTGGTGGTGGGTGCATTCGGATTCACCAGCGGGGTGGTGTATGTACGGTGCTGTATCATACGCACATACCGTATCCTCACGAAAACTGAAGCGAGAAGGTTGGAGTGTGGGGTTGAATTGAGGGGCGTCGCCGCCCATTTAGCCTGATGTCGCCAGGATCTCATCCGCCGAGTAGCGTGGGGAGAAGCGAAGCTTAGGTTAGGAGGAACGGTACGTAGTAGTGCGTGCGATGGACCCGACAACTGTGGGACCTCGGAAGCTGGCATGCGAAGAGATGGCAGATGGGCAGCGAAGAGAAGAGCCGGAGAGTTTCGGTCTGCAGGGCGATTTACGGATAATCGATGGATAGCGCCGTATTATTGGGGATGATTATGATAGTTGCCGCGGGAGAATTCTATTAGTCTTTTTTTTCCTTTGCCGCCATTTTGCATGCTGATGGCCATCATCAACCTACGGTACCGGTACTCTAACTACATGTTATCCTCGAGCTGACTCGAGATAGGTGCTCTGTACTCCGAATGGACTTCGCAGTCTGGGCAGTCAGACAAGGGAACTCGGAGCGGAGGAATCATTTTCGACCGTCCGGTTGGCGGTTGTGTCCTGTCCGCGGGCCATTCACCAACCAGCACTCGAGCTGTCCCGAAGGAGCATAGCATGGCTGCTCCCCGCCGATCGCCCACGGAAGTCGTCACCTTGACTCTTGCTTGATTGCGAAGCAAGGCACACACACAGCCCCAACCCAAGCAGCCCACCCATCCGAAGTATTCCAACATCCAAAGTATCCCACGCCAACTCTTACTGGCAGCTACTACAGATCGTCTTTGGCCTCCGTCCCAAAGAAACCTACCTACAATATCTCCACATCCGGCCCCATCATGTCAAGCGGTGGTGTCTTCTACACGTTAGTCCGCCCCTCCCCCCGCAGGCGGCAGCAGAGCCATCTCTCAGCCTCATCGCATACCATGCAGCTAACATACCCGCCACCACGTCTCGCAGCCTCGGGATCGTACTCGCGATAGTCGTGATGCTGCTCTTCCTCCGCAGCGTCTTTATCCGTCGTGCGCGCACCGCGTATGCCACCGGCCCCCGCGTGGTCGTCGTCGGCGGAGACTGGCGCGATGGCGGAATCGGCGGGATAGGCGGACGAGAATACCAAACTCCGACGCGGTTTGCCACCCTCCCTCCCGTCCCACGCACGTCAGTAGGTACTTTGTCGCTGACGACGGGGCGAACTACACAGACCGCCAGTGGCTGCAGCAGCGACAACGGGCCGCCAGCGGGGGGGCGACCTCGACGCCGATGCTAACGAGCAGTTGCCAAAGTACGAAGCGGCGCCGCCGATGTACGATACGCTGTACAAAGACGGGCCGCCGCCGACGATGGCGCAGGGGACGATGAGTGACCTGGGAAGCAGCTCCTCGGCCGCTGTACTTCCTCCTCCTCCTCTACCCGCGCATACCGCGCTGCTGCACCCCCAGTCCCAGTCCCAGTCCGGTGAGGTCGTGATCAACGTCGAGCCGCCGTCACAGCCCGGGTCGATGCCGCCGCCGCCGCCCGCTCAGGAGGACGGTAACGTTGCGGGACGAGCGTGGGCACGGCTAACGGGGGGATTGAACCGGCAATGAAGTGATTACAACCGTACGAATGAACGAAACGAGAGGGATATGCTTTTTTACAGGACAAGCCAAGAAGCCTGGTTATGGGATTTGCTTTTTTTGCGGAGTTACGGTGTCTGTCGTGCGTGCGTGGTCTTGGGGCTACATGTTTTTTGTTTCCCGATCGATCTGTTTGTATTGCTATCATGCGTATCAACATCGTCATTCGTTTTTTTTTTGTTTAGCGGGGAATTCGAGAGCACGTTGGCTGGTGGTGTGGGGTGTGGTTGCTCGACGAGCGAGCAAGCGGTATTATTTTGTCACGAGGTATGACTTTGATGTCAGGAAAAGTCCTGGCGAACGGCTAATGACACTGGTACCGTGGTAAGATTGTTGCGATCGCTGTATAAGACAAGACCATGCTTTTCCGTGATTTTGCTGGCAGGGTACCGTACCGTATCTGGTAGCCACCAATGGATCGTATTTACTCCGGAGGAGAGGAAATACGGCTTGGGATGAATAATCCGGAAGCAGCGGAGGAAGATGACTACACACATCATACATAGGCTATCATGGTAGCATAACCAAGTAGGTAGGGGAGGAACACTTAACCATAGCACAACTGCCGGCATCGCACGCACATTCGTGACGGCAGAAGTGATGGCAGGGCTACTAGTATGTAGAAGTCTCATTCCCACGCAACTCTATTCGCGTGTGTAGGGGATTCCGCACGGCTGTGTGCAATGCTGCTATGTGCTAGGCAGCTTCAGGGCTCGGACCGACGTCAACGCAGGGCCCGCTGCCCGCATTGCTGCCCGCCCTGGGGCCTGCATGCAGGTAGGGCGTCGATCCGGGTCAATTCCGTTTATATACCCAACCCAACACGAGACACCTCTGGAGCGTCCGCGACGTTTCAAAGGAGACATATCCGGATATATGTATGGGAGGTATGGTAGGCATCTGCAAACGGCTTTTGGTCGCATGGGTGGCGGTGGTAGGTGTCCGCACTGATGTCGAGTCGGCTAAACACGAGGTCGAGAGCGAGGCGCCTGGCGGAGTGAAGGGCTGTTCCAATCGCGGATGGGTACGGTACTACTGGGGAGACCACGGCGGCGCCGGGCGGCCTTGCTCGTTGCTGAGGCCTGCTCGTCACAGGATGTTACTCGCTATTCCGAATCCGTCGTTACATGGATGATGATCCGAAGCCTTTCACGTGTCTGCCAGCCCGTTGTAACTAACTTGCAATTGGCCAAATTCCCACTGCTATTAGCGCGGCCTCGGCAAAACGTTGCTCTCGGTCTCTAGAGTCCAGGAGCCTGAAGGTAGAGCTCTTCTTATCTGAACGTCGCACTTCCGTCAGCTCCAGCTTCAAAGTGAGCATAGACATTACCCCCCCACTCGCAACAAAGATGGCCCCGCAAGACTTCCTCAACTATCCCCCGCCGGTTAAAGCCGCTGAAACCCCCTACGAGAACCCAGCCTTCAGCAATCCAACACTCTCGGGCATTGCCCTCTCTATCCTGAGCACTGTGTATGTAACTTCCGCTGTCTACCCACGCACCTACCCCGCAATACGTTCTGACCAGCATTTTCCCCCCGCAGCACCGAGAACGTCGGCCCTCTCCAGCAGCTGCTCTGGAACAATGCCGGGTTTACCCAATCGCTCGCCGCGATCGAGAAAACCGGCTGTCTGGACGCCCACGTCGCGCGGTACGATCCCACCGTGACATCTGTGGCGCGCGGCTCGGCCGACGCCGACGCCGAGGAGGAGGTGCAGGCTTCAGTCGCACCAAGGGCAAAAAGTGTATTTCACTCTTCGGCTGACTACATCGCCGCGTACAAGTCCGGCGCAACGACGCCGACTGAGGTCGCAGAGAGGTTCATCGCCAGTCTGGGAAGGGACGAGAGGAACCTCGTGTTCATCTCCGTCACGCCGGCAGATCAACTTCTTGCCGCGGCGAGGGAGTCCACAGCAAGGTATGCGGCCGGGAACTCGCTTCCGCTCGATGGCGTGCCGTTGGTGGTCAAGGACGAGCTCGACGTTGCGGGGACGCCCAAGACCCTCGGACTGACCACGCAAGAGGCGGAAGTGCGCCACGTCGGCGTGGCGGAGCAGGGGCAGACATCGTGGTGCGTGCAGAAGCTTCTGGACGCGGGCATGCTGTTCCTGGGCAAGAGCAACATGCACGAGATCGGGCTGGACACGACGAACAACAACCCGAACTGGGGCACGCCGCCGAATCCGTACAACAAGCACTACTATCCCGGCGGGTCCTCGGGCGGCTCCGGCGCCGCCGTCGGCGGCGGGATCGTCCCCATTGCGGTCGGCGCCGACGGCGGCGGATCGATCCGCGTGCCCGCCGCCTACTGCGGCGTCTACGGCCTCAAGCCCACGCACGGCCGCGTCTCGTCTGAACCCACCGTCAGTATCGCGCCGAGCGTCGGCGTCGTCGGCCCCATCGCAGCCACCATCGACGACCTCGAGCTAGCCTACCGCATCATGGCCACCCCGGACCCAACCAGCCACTTCCCGCCCCCCACCACCCGCACCTCCCCGCCACCTAAGAAGACCCTCGGAATCTACACCCCATGGTTCAACGACTGCGACGCCGAAGTCCTCGCGCTCACCACCGCGGCGATCGCACACTACCGCGACGTCCTGCACTACGACATCGTCGAGATCTCACTCCCGTACCTCGCCTCCTCGCGCAGCGCACACGCGCTCACAATCCTGTCCGAAATCGGTGGCGTTTTCTGCCAAGGCAACACTCGCGGCCTCACGCCCGCCAACAAAGTCCTCGTCTCGATCAGCTCGCGCGCACCAGCGCGGGACCTACTCCTCGCGCAAAAGCTGCGCGCCCTGATGATGTCCCACCTGGCGCACCTCTTCCAGCAGCACCCGGGACTAATCATAGTCACGCCCACGACGCCGCACGTAGGCGTTGCGATCCCGGCTGGCTGCGCCGTCCGCGGCGGTCCGGGAGTTAGCGATTCCAATACGAGCCTGCGGAGCATGCAGTACGTCTTCCTTGCGAATTGGGCGGGGTGTCCGGCCGTTACCATGCCGTGCGGGTATAGTGCGCAGGCGGGCATGCCCGTGGGATTGATGGGAATGGCGGAGTGGTGCAGGGAGGATAGCCTCATTGACTGGGCGAGGGAGTGGGCGGATAGCTGGGAGGCGGGCGGGGAGGTCGAGGCGAGGGGAGTCGGCGGCGTTAGTGGCAAGAGACGCCGCGGTGAGACGTGGCTTGATCTGCTGGCCGGGGGTGAGGTCGAGGAGGGCGCGATGAGCTGGATTCAGGCGGAGTAGGGCGGTGAGGACTGTAGTGACACGGAGCCGCCGGGTTTTGGGCGAGTAGAAACTTGAGGCTTGTATGAATCGTAGGATCACGACAGTCGTTTTTGTGGATGATTCCCTGCCTATCTGTCTGCGGATGCGAATGCGAATGAATTGGTTTTGGTCTTTGGGTTTTTGGTAGAGCGTATCGCGCTGTTGGCCGTACAATTTAATCAGCCATATGCTCTCGTTACTCAAATCATCTCTACCTATGTGATCACAACTTCTCACTCGCATATATACATATGAAGAAATTGTCCCATTTACTTGCCGGTTTTGTTTGACCCAGCCAAACTGTACCCAGATTTGTACTGCGGGAGCGGGAGAGGGAGCATCAAGAAGAATAAGAAATAATACTGCAAGCCTTAAGCCCTGAAGGAAGTAAATAAAACACTTGTCCAAGAAAGAAAATCGAAACGAAACGAATGCCGGTTGACCCGGACAAAGTTAACTGCAGTGTTTCTTTTCCATCCTGCTATGTTACCTGTGATAGTCGGGGGCCGAGGGCGATCGCCGCTGTCGAGTGGCTTCGCCAACACCACCACCACCACCGACAGACGGTCACTGGTTAGTGGAACTTACTCGGTGAAGTTACTGGCACTCCTGTAGGGTGTGGAGTCGAGTCAAGCTTGGTCCGCAGCATCAGGAGGTAGGTAGGTATCAAGATTCAAGTGTACCTATCGGTAGGTTTGTCCGCTCGCTGGGACGCACGCTTTTCAATAACTACCTACTTACCTACCTAGGCATGTCTCGACTCTCGAGAAGTCGTAAAAAGACCAAAGAGTCTTCTTACCTATGCAGGTATGTACCTAGGTGTTGTCTTCGATATCCACCGAAATATATACAACCTGTCAATCTCTAGGCAGGCAGGCCAGAAGGCTTGAGCCTTAGGCTTCCACACGCGGTCCGGTCGACTTGGGTATTCTACTCTACTCTACTTTACTATGATTAATTCCCGCCTGCTTCGTGAACTTTGAAGCCCGCCGAGAACGAAAGAACGCAGCGAGCGATGTAATGTGCCATGCCACGGTTTGCCATGGTTGGCCGTAGGTAATCCGACGATTGAGACAAAGGAGGAGGGACCGGTGTATAAAATGTCCGGTAGGTATGTGGGTAGATTTGAGAAATTGAAAAATTGAAGATTGAATTAAGCGAGTCATGACTTGTGAAGTTGTGATCCACCGTGGTGGATGTAACGAGCCCCAGCATATGTAGGCACGTAGGATCATAGCAATCGAAGGCTTGTCGCTTGTCAGATGGAAAGAGAAGGGTTTGCGCACGGCCGGGGTTGAGATGGCACTGGGTATAGTAGGGTGGTTTTAATCCGTCGTATGTCTTGCATACAGTCTACTCGACTATATCTGGAGTATATCATGGCCAGCGTACTCTGGTTATTCCGCGTGTCTTATCTGACTACTAACTAGCCAACCCGAAACAGCGGTCGATCAGCTCGCTAGCTGCAGCCGGCTTCCCTCCGCCCGTCCACGCCCGCTCCCTCCTGATAACTCGCCTCCGGGGTGGCCCGAGAAAATATTTTATCAGCAAAGAGCTTTCCCGTCCATATATGGTCCCCTTTCCAGAGCAGCTTCTGCTGGATCTTCCAGCTCAGACATCGCTTGACGAGGAAGTGTCTGCGCCACCAGCACTGGGACGTCAGCCGGCCGGGGCTTGATCCGGAGGCAGTGCTCTCCTGTGAATCTGTGATGGCTCGGTCCGTCTTCGGAATGGTACTTGAAGACGATGAGCTACAACCCGCAGGTTGCAGACCGCAGCTGTTAACTGGGAGTGAGGAGTTCTCACGCACCCTGGAGTCTGCGCGGCTGATCACTCGACGATCACTCGCTTTGGAGTACCAAGTCACTCGCATGATGGGAAATTTTTCGCCATAGTCTAGATACTTATGCGAAATAAACTGAAGATCTCTCTCTCTATCTCTCTCTCTCATGATGGGAAATTCCAACCGGATCGGAGTTCAGGACCCCGAGTCAATCGGACCCAATCGGACTCAATCACAATTATTGACTCGAGATTGTTGTCTGATGAATGTCTTGGTGCCCGGCTCCATGTTGCGGAGGGCTGGATGCGGATTACATAGATGATAGATCGATCGGTGTTCCCTCGCGCTCGCGTTCGGTCTCGGTCTCGTGTAGTGCAGATGGCGGTTCGTTTCCACCGTCTACATACATGACACTACTCGGCCCACCAGCTCTCCTCGCCTACCGACAAGGATCGACTTCCGCGTCCTACCTGCGCGTGCTGGTCGCTCCCCACCGCCCACGATGGTATGGCTTGGCTGGAGAGCGGCGTGTCCGTGAGCTGCTGCTGGGACGATAAGGAGTAGACTGTAGAGTATATTGCGACGACCGGTCACCGGCGAGGATCGATATCATATAATGTTTCCTTGTGGTTCTCAGGTGCTGTCTGCCGATCAGCGAGCGCTTGTGGTCCCGTTCCGTTTCGTTTATGCTCCAACCGCATTCAATCCCGGGTCCCCGGTCAGCTGCATCCATCTAAGTTGAGCAGAGTATACCCCCGGTGACCCGGTCTCCATCCACCGTCCTCCATATCGAAACTCATTTCCAGGACGTTATTTGTAAAAGTTTTTTGATCGGTAGATACTACATAGGTATATAGATAAATGTATAGATCTCCCTCCGATGCAGCGATGCATCTAGCCATTACTGTTTCACTGTTTCACGACTGCGGGCGGCGGGCGGGTCCCCGCGTCTGGGCCCTGGGGTTGTAGCGGAGGTCTTTCCGTTTACGGACCACGGGGTCCAATGTCCATGGGATCACGAATCACGAGCCACGATGGCCGTTGGAACTTGGTTCTCTGCAGCTTTGGGGGGAACGAGCGAGGCGTGCCGAGGTTGAGGTTGGGGGCGAGGAATTAACCTTTCCCCACGGGCTACACGAGAGACCTGTCAGAGACCTGTCAGATAAGGCGTGCTTCTTGATCTTCGCTTCTGCGACCGGAAAACCGGGACAGCTGTGGGAGTGGACCGAGTGAGTCCAGCGCGCTCCCGACTCGGGCCGGTCCGAACCCCGAACCCCGAACCCCGGTCTCGGCCAAAGCTGCTAGCAAAAGTTAAAAGTTAAAACACCAACAAAAACTCGTTGTTTCTCCCTGCGGGCCGCGGCGACAAACGAAACGGTGATCGACACGACGACACTCCAGGTTCGATGGCGTATACGTATTACGCGTATACCCTACGGCTTGGCCAAATTTTCCGTGGCGAACTGTTGGGGCCCGGGGGGCGAACCGCATGGCGCTCGTGGGCGTCTCGTCCAGCCGGTGGTCGGTCGCAGTTGATCGATCGTTGAAACATCGCCAGCTGCGGACCCAGGCGTTCAACGCCCATCTATCCAACGGCTGGGGAGTTGGTCGGACGGAGTCGCCGGGAACTACCTAGGTAGGTACGGCCGAGGCACAAAAGTGACGAGTGAGCGTTATGATTGGCGTGGATACTGAGTCTTGGCCAGTGACCAGTGACCAGTAACACCATCCAATGGCATAGAGTACCGTATATATAGAGTATCGACAGCGGATTGCGGGGAAGCAATAACCATAACCATAACTTTAACTGACTCCACTCCAATCTATCCTGGGTATGCCTGTAGGCTGTCGGATATTTCTCGTTGCCACATGCCAGGCTCCGTGACTCCAGCGCAGCGTGTCGCCTGCCGCGTGTCTCATCTCCGTATGTATGTATGTAGGCGTCCATCCCAAGGTTCCTGGTGGCGCGTGCGTCTTCCCGGTATTCGTCGATTCCAAGGTGTCGAAGGTGTCGTCACGTATTCCCTCCCCCGACCAGTTTCTTATCTGATATCCGTCCGTACCCATTGAATCGGCATCCATCCGCCCCCCAGGGCCCCTCCAGGGCCCCCACTAACCGCCCGCTCGTCCAAAGTTCCAAATTACAACCCTCTCCGTTGGTCGAGACTGGAAACTCGAGAGCGCATTCCGGACTCCGGAGGGAGTGCACGTACGCCCCGGGGATGGCCGTGATTAGCGCGGCTCGGCGTGCGCCGATCGGTTTCATGAGTGCTCCAGCGGGTTTCGGGTTGCGGATGCCGACTAGACAGTGACGGGCTCGTAGGTGGGATTGTAACCTGGAAAGACAGAACGAAAGGAAATGATTCTAGGGAGCCAATACGTCGTGTCCGTTGCCGCGCCGGTGGGGACGAAGGTTCATCGGACAGGATTGGATCGGATGGCCACGAACCTCCATGATCCATCCGAATATGGTCTCGCCGCGGCATCACCGCGATCAAAGCCAATTCAAGTCCAGTCCAGTCAATTCAATTTCAAGTCACGGCGAACAGGAAAACTTTGGTTCGTTTCCAAAAAATGTATATTTTGTGTGTAATCAAAAATCCCCCGACCGACCATCCAGCCATTTCTGCGAACTATTCACTAACCACCCAACCACCCCGACCCGAACCCAACCTACCCTAGCAGTCAAAGACCAAAAGAAAAAAAGAAAGAAAGAAGAAAAAGAAAAAAAAGCGAGAGAAAGCCTCCCCCACCCACTCCCTACAACGTGCAAGCAAGCAAGATCTATCCCTCCAAAGAAACCGAACCCAAACCACCGGATAAAAAAAGAATATGAAGAATTAAGAATGTACAATTGACTTTTTTTTCTTTCGCGAGAGAGAGAGGAGGGGGGTGTGTGTGACAAGAGACCAGACAAGAGACCGAGACGATTTAAGCGGCGGCCATACCGGACCACGTGGGCGCGTTGATGATGATACCCATGAAGCAGCCGGAGATGATACCGGCGATGGGCAGGGTCAGGATCCAGCCCGAGTAGCACCAGGCGACCATGCGCCAGTTGAGCGCGCGGTAGTCGCCGTTGCAGAGCGCGACACCCATGGTGGCGCCGACAATGCACTGCGTGGTAGACACGGGCAGCGACAGACGGGTGGCCATGACAACGGTGACGGCGGAACCGAGCTCCATCGAGAAACCACGGGTGGGAGACATCAGAGTGAGACGGTTACCGAGGTTGCGCATGATGTTGTATCCGTAAGTCCACAGACCGATGACGATACCGGATCCTCCGTAGGCGAGAACCCAGAGAGGGACGGGAGCCTTGGAGGCGATGGTGCCGGTGTTCCAGACGAGGAAGATGGTGGACAGAGGACCGATGGCGTTGGAGACGTCGTTGGCACCGTGGGCGAACGAGGAGGTGGCGGCGGTGAGAACCTGGAGGAACGAGTACAAGTGCTCGGCCTTGTTGTCGAAGTGGGCGGCGCGGGCGTGCATGTCGACCATGTTTCCGGCGAGACGACCGTCACGGTTCTGCTCCTCGATGACGTCCTTGGTGACTCCGTGAAGGAAAGCGGCGAGCATCATCTTTCCGATGTTCTTGGGCAAGTACCATGGGCCAGCATCCTTCTTCTCGACGTCGGCGAGCGCCTTACCGGAGGCAGCGATCTTAGCCTTAGCAGCCTCGATGTCGTCGGGGGTGCCGGACTCGAGGACCTCCTTCTGAGCGCGGAAGTGCTCCATGTCCTTAATGGTGTCCTCGTTGATGTGGGCAGCCTCGAGATCTTCACGGGTGGCGTGTCCGCGGTAGTAGTCCTGGACGATGTCGAGGTTGGCACCCTCGGGGGCATCGGGAACGGGGCCACGCTTGAGGAGGAGGGGACCGAGGAATACATGGTAGCCCCTCAGGGTCCAGTCGTTGAGCACGAGCTTGCGGTGCAACCAGGGAAGGAAGAATAAGATGACGATGAGCATGACGGCGCCGGCAACACCGAAGATGGTACCACAGATCTGGGCCGCGTTCCAGTCGTCGAGGTCGAGGGAAGCAGCTCCCTTCCAGACGATCAACATGGTCAAGATGGCGGAGGTGATACCGAAGTAGATGGGGACCATGATGAATCCGTACTTGACGGGGTTCGAGCGCTTCAGGACACCATACTTGGTGACCGAGAAGATGACGGCAGCGAAACATCCGGCGATGGCGGGGGCGATGACCCACGAGGCGACGATCTGAGCGACACCCTTGTCGTTCCATCCCCAGGCAACGTTGTCGACACCGACAGTCGCGATACCCATTCCGATGACACCACCGACGATGCAGTGAGTGGTCGAGACGGGAAGACCGATGAAGGTGGCGACGGTGAGCCAAGTGGAAGATCCGATAAGAGCGCAAAGCATGCCCAAAGCGAGAACACCAGGCCTAGAGAGTGTATGTTAGAGTCTGGACGTTGCTCATGATTGGGAGAAGGCAGCTTACTGGTCAGCGAAGGCCGAGGGGAGAACAATCTTGGACCGAATGGTGTCCGAGACACGGGCACCGACGGTGAGAGCACCAGTAAACTCCATAACCGTTGCAATCATCATGGCTTGCGCCAAAGTGAGGGACCGAGAAGACACCGAGGTAGCGAAAGAATTGGCGACATCGTTGGCACCGATATTCCACGCGTCCTATGATCGGAAATGTTAGAATACCAATCGCCTCAGCCAAAAAAAGACGGAAATATGTAAATACCAAGAAGGCGAAGATCATGCCCAAAGCAAAGATGTAGTCGATCTCATGGTAGATGGCCATCGTGACGACTGTTGTGGTGGTGGTTGTGAAGGTGGTGATGCGAAGAGCGTCGAACTCGAGGAGGGCGGAAGCTGACTGAAGCAGCTATCGGCGAAGGACAGAACGGGGGATTCTGGCCTGTGTCTGAGAGACTGCAGAGGGCAAGCGGAGGATGCTGATGATTCTAGGGAACGGATTCGAACGGGCTGGTGGGGGGTGGGCGGGGGAGGATATTTATGTATCTATCCATCTATGCCCGAGTACCTACTTTCCATGTATGCCACCAACATGCTGCGGGCGTGCCACCACCAGCACCACCACCACCACCACCCACCACGCAATCCGCTCGCACGGAATGATTTTCGTGCAGCAGCGATAATGCCAGTAAGGCCCTCATTCGGTGTCACCACGTTCCCACGCCAGGGCCGGCGTTCCCACGCTAGACGTGCGGGTAGTGCTCCTCGCCAAGGAGATGGCCGCCAAGGGCAGGGAGGTTGACTCGCCAAGAGCTGGCGGCGAAAAAAGAAAATAGAGTGTGTCTACATACATCCCAGAGTACTTGTGATACTTGCAAGCTTAACTAGCTTCACCCGTGGGTGTGTGTGTGGGGGGGAACGAAGGAAGGAGCAATCGAGTTTGAAGTGACTAGCAGGCAGGAGCAGGGAACCCCGAATCTGCCTGATCTAGATCCGAGAGAGACAAAAAATCAACATCGCATCCATATCATGCTGGAGGGCTGGAGGGCTGGTGGGAGTGGAGGGTAGCCACTCTATCACGGCATGGTACCAAAGGTGCTCTATCTGGAGACACATCTGACTGCTGCCCAACCAACCACCGGAACCCTGCGTCTCGGCAAATAAGAATCACGATACACATCGGACTGATTTACTCTAAATAATTGTCGTGGATCTGCTACGGGCACTGGCACTGGCAGTAGCAGCCCGCGACGAAACGAAACAGGCGTCAATGGCGACACTACACTACCCCGGGGTGGGGATGTACGTACTCGTAGTATATAGACCCAACACCCATCGATAGGTATGGTAGAGTACCTATCCGACCATGAGCGGCAAGAAATGACGACGACAAAGCATCAGCCTTCGAATCTTCGATTTCCAAGCACAGCTCTCGAATCTCTTCCTTCGTTTCCTTGGAGTACACGAGGCATGATGGATGTATCGCCGCCCGCCCGCCCAGCCCAGAGCGACAATCTGCGACAATCCGCGACACTCCTCCGTCACGTTGCCATAGTCCATCGTCCTTCATTCTACGGTACGATATGTACGGTACCTATGCTACGGTACTCCAATGTCCATGTTGCCAGTTGGTTCGGTGATCGCCGGTTAGCTCAGCATGGTCGCCATGTCGGGAAGGAAAATGGAAGGAGTACGAGAGGCTACAATAGCGTACCAGAGTAGTCAGCACCCCAAGTTCCCCACTAGATATAGCAACTAAACGGGCAATCCCGTCCGTCCACTTGATTGGTCGGTTGCGAAAAACGTGCATGCTGTGGCTTCACTTCTTCGCTGGGGGGGGGAGCCCACGAGGTTTTTTTTTGATTTTTTATTACTCTTTCGGTGGAAGCCGCTATGTAAGATGTAGGTATCGGCGGGGATCGGCTTGCCCATCTGGAGTTGAAATTTTTCGGTTTCAGCTGCCAACTGCTACAATACGTCGTCTGATGGATGCTATCGATTCTATCCATGCTCGCCGCCGTGTGTACCCATAGTACTATGGGTATGTATGTACTGGGGCGAAACGCGCACGCGGGCGGGCTGGAAACAGAGTTTGTATCTGCTCTATGTACCTATGATAGGTAGTAGTAAGTACCGAGTTAGGTAACACGGCCACAGTACCGGACTCAAACCAGCTGGCTTGCTCTCCAGACTCCGGGAACTGCTACTCCTATGCTACCTATGCTACCTATCTGCATGCATACCCATACATACAAACATACCATACAAACCTGCGGATGGCGCGTGCACCGCCGATTCCATTAGCTGCCCACGAGCATGTTCCTGCTCATCCGTTGGATGATCTCTCGCCAAGCGTGGATCCACCGTCTGTGTGTGTTAGGTCTTTTCTTCTTCTTTCCTTCTTTTCTCCTTCGTTCTTCGGGTCTGGCGCGTTAGCAGCCCGTCCTATGCCACCGTATAGGTGCCATAGTGGTGTGTATTCTACTACTTACTAGCTGTGGCGACGAAAAGATCCGTCGTTGTAGACCGACCTCGCCAGAGATCTCCCCCGGATAGGTACCGGTATCCGTCAAACGAACGAACTTCTCCAGAGTCCAGAGTCCAGAGTCCAGAGTCCAGAGCTCTCTCTTCTACATATCTCTTCCATCTCGCCCCTCGGATAGGTAGATATCGGTATCCGTCAAACGAACCTCTCCAGTTCTCTTCCTTCTCTCCTCGGATATCCGTCTTGGCGCAGACAGAAGGAAGGAAACTTGAAGACGCACGAACCAAGGTAACCAGCTAGCCGGTACTTTCGCGTGGGGGGATGGATGGGTGAGGCAAACAAGGAAACAGCATCGTGTATCTGTCGGTCGCCATGCGTGGTAAGGTAAGAGTGGAGGGAGAGTGCTCTAGAGTGCTCTTGTCGTAGCGGCGTCGAAATGTATGCTCTGTCTGCATCTAGTGCGGGGACGGTTTTTCCGCAGCGAAGCTGGGGCTGTTGCTGCTGTTGCCGCCGCCTCTGCGCGAGGAGAGGTGGTTGGGGGGAACAGAACAAGCTCGTGCGCACATGGGCACATCCCGGCCTCTCATTGGCCGGCTCCAACGTCAGTCGGTCGGCCGTCGACGACGAAGAAGAAGACAAAGAAGAAGAAGGCCGGGGAGGGGGATTGCGCTTTTGCTTTTCTAGCGCGCCCACTACATATTTCTCCTTGCTAGTGCTATGTGGTGACTGTACCGTACTCTACCGTATGTATGATAGAGGTATGATACCTATGATATTCGGACTCCGCCAATGGGATATCCTACCCGCTTCCCTCCCTGACTGACTGAGCAGACCGATCCCACGGACGGTTACTATCACCAGCCAGCTGAACACAACCCATCCCGAGTTCTGGCTGCTCGGTACATGGCTGCACCTGCCACCCGCCAACATGCAACCTGCAACTGGAACCTGCCCACCCGCTGAAATATTTCGTCGATGCGACAACATGCACTCCCACGCCCCTGGATACCTATCAGCCTCTCTCCAAACGTGCCATCAGTCATGGACGGGTGTTTCTGTTTGTCAGTGACGGCGCAGAGCGTGCCACCACCTCACGCGCTTCGCTTCCCGTCGGGGTCAGTATCGTATCAAATCCCATCCATCGTCGAGTCGGAATGCGACTCGCACGTCGAGCATGTAGGTGGGTATCTTTGGTACATAGGAAGCGTGGGATATCGAAATCGTAAATCGCAACCGTCTGTGTGGATGGGCTAACGGAATACCCACTACCAGCCAACTGCAATAACGATGGATGCATACCGTACCCAAAGCAAGCACGAACGAACGTCATGCGGAAATCTCCGAGGCTTTCGATCGGCGCCTGCCTCGCTTTCATCGGGTAGGTATGTCTGTATGCATGTTTAGTACTACCTACCGGTGTTCTGCGGACTTGCGGTGCGAGACATGATCCCAAGCTGAGAGCCTGAGACGAGAGCCTGAGACGAGCTTCAGCTCTCCCTCTGGTTCTCTTCCCCCCTCCGACCTCGCCCTCGCATCTCGCGTCTCAGAGACGGATCTGGCGTGGCGTCAGGTACGGAGAAAAAGCGTGGCTAGGGAGGTACTTAGGTAGTAGGTACATGTGTAGTGTAGATACTTGCCTAGGTGCTGTCGAGTACCTGCTTGCCTAGGTCCTTACCTAGGTACTTTGGCGCCATTACTTACCCAAGTTACATACCACTACGCAAGTAACTACTTGCATCCGCAGCAGACCAACCATCCATCCGTCGCCGGACCGGAGCCACGATGTTTGTCGCGGAGGTTCTACGTAACTTCTCGCGACGGCTGTCCCTGCAGAGTAACAGCGTCCGGGTACTTGGAGTGCTTCGAGAGCTTCGAGATCCGCTGGTGTCCATGTCCATCTCCGAGATGCTTCCGCCGGGAATAGTTACTCTGGAGTACCTACCTAGCCGATACACACACGATAAGTACACACGACAAGTACACACAAGTACCATACATACCACACATGCTACCGGTATTCCGTGCATGCGGGTTGTCTTTTGGTGCGGAGTCTCTAGAGAAGGCTTTCCCGAATGGCGGATCGACGCGCACGTGTGTGGCCATATGTGCCCATACATATCAATCATATCATATATCTATGATGTGTAACCACCGTGGAGTGGAGTGGAGTGTTTGTCTGGTCTGGTCTCGCCGGAGCGAGAGCAACGTACCGCACAGCGAGGAGAGAGTTGTCTCACCGTGTTCCAAGCCCGCCATGCACGGAAAGTTGAAACCCCTACCCTGCGCTGCGCTGCCCTGTCCTGTCCTGTCCTGTCCTGTCCTGTCCTGTCCTGTCCTGTCCTGTCCTGTCTTATCCCTCCCTTGCCCTTCGCTTGTGGGCATACATACATAAGGAAGGGGGGGGTGGGGAGAGGTGGGGGATGGATCATGGCCAATGGGATTGGCCGCCACCCCACCACCCCCCGCACACCCGTCCGCGCCCGTGATGTGATAGGCTAGCTCTCGCACGTTGACCACGCTCGCGCGCTGATTGGTCGTGCCGACGACAATGAAGCTTCATACGCTGTCACCCACCCCATTTGCACCCACAACTCGAGCATGCCAGTAAGAGCGAGGAAACCAGGCATGCCGGTCACCGGTGGCCACGCGAAATAGAAAAAAAATTACGTCCCCCAGGAACCCAGCAGACGAATCGAGATGCGACGATGTTGGTTTTTACTTGCAACTTGCAAGAGAGGCTGGGCTATGCCGACGGAGTGGCCCCCGTCGAGTATGGTATGTAGAAGACACACGTGATACGTGATATACTTATTACTCCCGGGAGAGACGCTGAGACTCGACTTCCTCCTCCACCGATATGCGTGCAACATGCGTGACTGGAGGTCTTTGAATCGCGGCGGAAGTATTCCGAGTATATAGTTACCCGCAGCCCACCAACTCGTCGCCTTGCAAGTTACCACGGCGAGCCTCGTGAATTCGTAAAATCGTGAATTGGTGGGGGCTCGCTCGGTGATGCTGCCGCTCCGCTCGATACATAACCATGAACCATCGACGAAGAAACAAGATTGAACGGCCATGTCCCATGGCCCATGGTGGACCGGGTCGGAACCCAAGCCCAAGGTTTGGACGATCTATGCACTCTGTGCAGTG